GGCTCCCCCCTAATGCCCTTTAAGTACATACCTCATGTCATCCAGGGGATCCTTTGCTTCATTAACTATAATACAAAAGACTAGCTCGGAACCTTACATCTCGCCCGAACCCAACCTCGATAATGCAATCTTCCTTCTTCGAAAGCCTGAGCGCCTTCTGGTTTCTTTTCTTCCATCTGTCATGACCAATCAGGACGGGCATTTAGTCCCCTTATTGACTTCACTTCGCCTGTCCGTGGTTGTTAAACGGGTACTGCTGGTCAGATGAGGAAGGAGAGTAACCAAAAGGAGAGTAGCTGCTGCCAGAGTATCCCGCGTTGAAATGACCTCCACTGGCAAAGTGGTAAGGGTTCGTTGGGTATGAAGGGCGATCTTCTTTGCTATTGCGCCCAAGATAACCGGCACGCGCAGCCCATTGGCCACCCTGGTATCCAACACGACCGTCGTTTGCAATATCCGGAGGTGCCATCATGCCGCGGTTATCGACCACATTGCCCACGTCAGAGACAGGACCATAATTTCCAGCAAAGCCTTGAGGCTGGGAGTAACTCTTGTTCGGAGTACTGTTCTGTCCGCTGACAATACAGGGCTGACCCGCCCTCTCCTCTGACGACTTTTGCATGGCCTGCAACATCTGCTTCAGCTCCTTGATTTCTGATTCCATGCTCGCCATCTTCTTGCCTTGATCCGCGAGAGTATCGGGAATGCCCTCATTGATGTTGTTCTTGAGCAGATCGAGGGTAGCGTAGACGTTGTCGTGGTTAGTTGTGATACTGTCGAAGCGACTCATGTATTCGTGTATACGAATGACATTTTCTTCAAGCTTGTTCAATTGGGACTTGAAGTCATCATAGCGCTTGTTGGTCAATGCAACTAATTCATCGTGCTTCTCCTTAGACGTGTTCTTGTGCTGCTTGCTAAACATTTCGAGGAGATCCCAGGTTGTCTTGCCCACCACGTCCAGATGCTCATTCGTCATGAAGAAGTGGTCGTCAATACTCTTGGGCGAGCGATGTGGTGGAAAGGGCCCAAAGTTAGCATTGGGCGGCGCCAACGGCCGTGCTGTGGGGACTAGCACTGGTGCTTTGTGCAGTGGGCTAGGAACGGCACTGAGACAATGAGGTCGGAAGTCGCCATGTGACTCGCTTCCACTAGGACTGACGGTATCCAGCATGTCAGTGAGCCGTGAAGACGATTGATCTGGGTGAAGATGACCGCCATGGTCATTGTTATGTGACGTAGGGTCGCAACGATCGCTGATGCGAAGCTCTTGCATGACGCGCGTCGTGATTCCAGTGTCAGGTTGCATGCCCTCCGCTCTAGCACACTGTTGGTTCTGGTAAAGTTCTTGTGCAGTTGGTGAGTTTGGATCAATATCCCTTGGGTCACCCTGGAAGACCATTCTGATGGAGCCGCTGGTGGAGACCTTGCGTAGGTGCGGTTGTGATTTCAACTCAGAAGGGAGTGAGTATACGAAGCGGCTAGCGTCGGTCTGAGGGGTATTGTCAGTGTTTGTCCATGAAACAATGTGTTCATTCAATGAGAAGCGGGGCAGTCAAGGTGAAGGTGAGGGTACGTGCGAGTCCGCGAGGGAACGGTGCTTCATCTTTGGTGAATACAAATTGCAGTAATGATGGTAGACTCACATTTTTGGATGGTGTCTCGCCCTCCAGGAACCCGTGGGCAGGAATGTCTTTGGGAGAGTAGAAGCGAGGCTTGAGTGGGCTGCAACTGTTCTGCTTGCAAATGCTGCTCTGGTGGTTCTCACTACTGTGGCTTGTACGAGGAAGGAGCGGTGCCTCCTGACTAGTGCCTTGCAGCGGAGCACTGCACTTGCCTTCAGATTTAGTCCGTGAATCAGTCCGCTCAGGGTAAGGCCATGTCAATGCCTCGCCCACTATCAACTTGGTATAATCCTCTGCGTCGTAAGGCCGGAATTTTGTTGGACTACAAGCACTGTTCTTAGGCAAGGCGTCCAAGAATGGCGATGGTGACAAGTCGAAGTTTGGAAAGTGCAACTGCACGCTTTTTTCACCTTTTTTGTCGTAGCTTTGACGAAGGTCTTGAGCGGGAGCTATCCTACGAAGCGGACTTGCAGGCCTCTGGTTTGGAGGAGTGTCCTTGGCAGGTGGTGTCGGTGGGATTATCGAGTTTGGCGACGCACCAAGCGCAGACCTTGGAGAATTGTTCTCAGCATCAGATGATTGCATCTTGAAGCCATATCTATCAGGCGACCCATGGCCGGTCGTGGGGCTGCGTAGTGATGGACCATAGCGGTGGCGATGAGCGTAGCTATCAGGGTTGGTGACCTTTGCAGGCAGTGACTTTACGGTTTCCGAGCGAGAGGGCTTTGCAGGTCTTGGTTGAATAGGCACTGCCGGCTTGATTGGGCGGACTCGGACAACACGGGGCTGTCGTGCTGCTGTGCCCAACACTTGGGCTGCTTTGGACGGCATCGGCGGCGGGGCTGTGGAGCTAGATGACTTGGAGAACGGGTTGCGGAGGTTTTGGAAAAGTTTCTTTTTGGGACTCTTGGTTGCCTCGTCTTGATCTCCTTCTGTCTCTGTTTTGGTAGTCCGACACTGTGATCGTAGATCTTCTGTCCTGACATAAACCTCGTCCTCATTCAATTCACCTTTTGCCTTTTAGTTTGCACCTCTTGAATAGGATATATTGACTCACCAGTAGTCGGGGTAGGTGGTATCTGTCCGGTCATCTTAAAGAAGTTTCTTTCCGACCGCGACTCAATCTCACCTCGAGCTGTCTTCTGGTCAAGGGCTTCAAGCTGGGCTTGAGCAGCCGTGGCACTCTGCTGACTGCGGCCTGACTGCTTTGAGCGTGACGTTGAGCCACGGCGGCTTCCTGATGTAGAGCCGCGGTCTGATTTGATGGGAGACGACACACGTGCCTGCTCCATGAGGTTGTTGAGTGTAGCCATGGCGTTGCGGCTCCTACCGGGAGCTGAGTGTTGAGTTCGTGCCCCAGCCAGGTCCACAGGTGTGGTCATTGAGGTAGCGTCAGCCGAGTACTGCTCCTGTCGAACAGAGTGTGATCTATTACGAGCATGTCGCTGAGTTTTCTGTTGGTTCACAGGTCTAGCATCTGGCCGAGGTTGACTGAGTTGCTGCGGGAGGGGAGGTAGGTAGGGAGGAAGAGGTGGAGGGCGTTCCTCCTCTTCACTGAAGCGAAAAGGCATATCTGGCAGCCTTCTGGTGAAAGACTCAGTTTTGTGTGTGAGCCTACAGCGGATAATTGTGAAGTGGGAGAGTGAAGACCCCCCCCCCTACGGTATCGACTCGGGCGAAGTGAAAAGCTCTGTTATCTGTCACTGCTTACACTGGTTAGTGCTTCGAGACTTTCAAATTAAAGTCGTGCACGTCCAGAGGTTCTTCGACTGCGGGTGTGTGGAGAGTAAGGTTGTTGCTGAACGGAGACGTCTTTGCTGTATACAAAGTGCTGCCACAGGCAACAGTGGCGATAACAAACACACGCCTCACTCACCTCGACTTTGAAGACAAACGAGACATGTAAAGTCTAGAAATGACGTATTGGAAAAAGTGAAAGAAGAGCAAAATTCAGCTACCACTGGTGCCAACTGAAGCACCAGAGGCACTGCAGTAGAACCCAGCTGTCTGCAAGCAAAATGGCCTCGAATTGGGAACATGAACGCAACTGTAGATGGAAACTGGAATGTGATGTTCGAATTGACTGTCGTCCGAGCACTGTGCAGCGCCCGTATGCCAGCCAGATCAATATGTAGAGTGCAGAATGAAAACGAGCCTGGTAATGGCAGAAGAAAAAGATCGCTACCCACAAATGGCGCCTGTATTCGAAGAGGTATCCAAAAGATTCATCGCCTAATCAAGAAAGATCTGCAATCCAACGCTCCCTAGCATGCGGTTGAGCTCAACTGTCGCCTCCACCCATGTTCAAAGTATGCAGCACTTCTTCCCCTTCTTTCTTTCTCCGCCTTCTTTCTTTGTCGCCGGTGGCTCGAGTGCTGCTACGATTGCCTGTATCTGGGATTAGCATCATGGGGAAGTGGGCAACCTGTCATGTCCACCTACCTCATCAAAGACATCCTTGAGCTTGAACTGAGTTAGCGCCGAGCACTCGACGTATTTGACAGCACCAAGCTCGCGCGCCATTCGCTCGCCGTCCTCCTTCTTCACAGGAGCCATTCTCTGCTTGGACAGCTTGTCTTTTACTGACGCATCCTCCCGCAGATCTACCTGTGTGCCTACAATGAGACACGGCACGCCGGGGCAGTGGTGGTGCACCTCGGGAAACCATTTCTCGCGGACGTTCTCGAAAGAAGCGGGTGAGGTGACGGAGAAACAGACGAGGAAGACGTCTGTCTGGGGGTAAGACAAGGGTCGGAGACGGTCATAATCCTCCTGTCCGGCAGTATCGAAAAGACCCAGCGTATAGGGCTCGTCTCCAATCCTTCAACGCAGTCAGCAGCTGCTCCACCAATAACAAGCGGCCCAAAGCCCTGGTCCGCCAGGAGCATGCATTGCTTTTCCAGATGTACGAGCGGGGGGAAAAAGCAAAGGAGGGCTCACATGACGGTCACGGCGTAGTTGTCGAAGACGGTAGGAACATATTCTGAGGGGAACTTGTTCGTGGTGTAGCTGATGAGAAGACATGTCTTTCCGACCGCACCGTCGCCGACGACGACGCACCTGCAGGTACATGGTGTTAGTGACGAGGACCAGGGACGAGGGTGGGAGGCGGAGGGCTGGACATACTTGATTGTCGCGACAACCATGGTGGAGGGAGAGAGGGCAGACGACAGCTACAAAGGCGTGGGAGGTGGTGATGATGCAAGGACCGGTTCCGAGGGCAGCAATGTCGTGTTTGACAGTGGCGTAGAAACGGTGACGGAAAGTCGGGGTCGGCCGCTGGGGACTAAGTAGGCGGTAATGCGGAGATGGAGCTACGGGCTGGAGCTAGAGCCGCAAGGTGTTATGCAAACGAGGGGTCGAAAATGAGTGGAGAGCGTCTGAGCAGGCCGGCTGGTCAGTCTCACAGTATGCGACGACGAGGGCGAAGACAGCAGACTCGGGCAGGCCTACCTGGGACTCGTCGTGCAGACGGGCGGCAGCGGCGTGAGATTCGGCGGGAGGGGGAGAGAGAGAGGAGGGTGAAACTCGAAACGTTAGACTGCGCTGAGGTCGGAGGAGCAAGGCAAGGCGGTGGGTGGGTAGAGGGCTTGCGGGCGGAGGGCGGTGGGCGNGGTGGGCGGTGGGCGGAGGATGTGGCGGGCAGGTGAGGCAGTGCCAATGACGAGGCACACGACCGGAGAGAGACAGCACAGGCGCAGCAGCCAGCGGCGGGGAGGCGAAGATGACAGGAGGGAAGGGAAGACGTTGAAGGCCTGGGATGGGGCTCGAGTGAGGTTGCGAGATGCGCCTACGGTAGCGGAGGGCCCTTGGGCAGGCCAGCGGGCAGAGGCCAATCAGTGAAAGTCGGTCTAGCACTGTTATCAGAAGCTTGCATTCGGCTCCCGCCCGTAGCTCGGGACCGGCGCAGATTGCATGTACGGGAAGTGTGTATGTATGTACTTACATAGGATCCAAATCCGTACATAGACCTGTGCTTGTGTACACGCTGCAGGCCCGGCGTCTGCACAATTCCTCCTTGTGCTGTATGTAGACCGTGGACGGTGGACCGTTTTGCTGGCCAGACCCCAACCGCACGAGATTAACCAGCATAGCACACACACTCACTCAACGCGCGGCCCCTATAGCCCACAGCGCTGCAGTGCACCACAGCGCAGCACACTGCAGCAGCTGCCGCCGGGGATTAGCATTGGCCTGATAGACGCAGCACAACTCGCTCATGTATGCGGTCGACATGCTCTCGTGGCATTCACAGTGTGTGCACCCCTGACACGCCCGTCGGGCGCCCCAGATTTGACGCCATCCGTGCACCTCCAACAACGTGGCTGATCGCCTTGCCTGTCCATGTCCACGCAGTGGCTGCTTTGCCTTGCTTTACCTACCTGCTTGCTGTGCTGTGCCGTGCTATACTGTACTGTACTGTACTGTACTGTACCGTGCCGGCATGTAATGTGCCGTGCCGTGCTCTACTCTGCTCTGCTCTCCCCAGTCTGCTCCCCTCGCCTCCACCACCCCCAACTTCACCTGCTCTCGGCCCAATCCCGCAACATGACCTCCCTGCCGCCCTGCCGCCCTGCCATGCATGTGCTCGCCCAGCAAGGACATGTCTCGACTCCCTCCATGGATGATGCCATGTGCTGCGTGCTGCAGCTGGGTCCCGTAGCCGACGCTTCACTCGATTAAACTGCCTAGGCCTGTCCAACGCTGCAGGGCAACTCTAGCCCCAGTCGATCCCGCCAATCAACGGCTAGCGTCATCATGGAGGAACTCTCGGCCCGTAACGCTTGGGCCCCAGAGTCCCCATCTTGTTGCGCCTCACATGTGCAGTGTGAACAGGAGCAGAAGAGCAGAACAGCCAAATAGCACAACCCCAGCATCCACCCTCGATCCACCCTGCCTTGGCTCTGGAAGCTGCTCTGTCATGGACCAGCTCGAAGATGAGCTGGATCTGCGCTACCACAAGGGCCTCGATCCCGACGTCTACTATCGTTGTCCAACCCTTGAAGTAATCGACTCTCCTTCACCCTCCCCCGATTCAGCTAAGGTATTCTCTGTCTAGTCCCTCGCAGGAGCGCTACGCAACGAAGTAGACAAAAATGCTTCCAGCTTCATTCCCACTCATGTCGTCACCGAGTTTGTCTTTGCACCTGCTTCGACCATCACAATACCCGTGACCCAGCAACCCAATCTTGATATTCTGATAGAACCAGCCGACCATCTCCAAACCATTGCCGTTGAGCATGCACTATGCAAGGACATCCATGGCAAACAACGCCTTCAGGTGCAGCGGGCGATTGCGAGGTACCTGCCTTTCTGCGTGTGCGCTGCAACACATTGACTTATTCACTACAGAGCCATCATGGCAACTGTTCAGGAAACAGATAGCTTTGCCTACTCTGAGCGCTCAGCTCTCAACAAAGATGGCGGTGATGGCGTGAGGTTCAGGTATGTCTGCTTAGACAGCATGCAGAACAGATATCGCAAAAGCAACAAGAAGAAAGACATGTCACATGACTCTGATGGAAGTGATGTTGAGCCTGGAAAAAACAGCAATGGCGCATTGCCAACCTATGACTGCGGCGGAGCAGTACATATCAAATTCTCCCTTAAGCGAGAAGCGATAAACGTTGTATACAAGCATAACCCTATACACACCGCACGCCCAGCCAGCGACAGGTGAGTTGCCGACATGAACCTGCTGAACAAATACCTTTGCGCTCCCCTTACACACGTAGCCTCCCGGCTGGTTCCCGTAACTGACTTTGCTGTAGCCCACTTGCGCCAGCCGTGGGTCATAACGTCGCGCCTCCAGCTGGAAGCGCACATGAAAAGCCGCCACGAAAAAAAAGACGTGGTAAAGAAGCCGAGGCTGGTGTAGAAAACGAACACCGAAATACTGAGCCTGGAATATCAACTTCTCCAATATACCCAAGACCATCGGCAAAGAAGCGCAAAAAGGAAGGTGCTGTCGTGTTGACTAAGCCTACCTCCCCCAAGCAAAGCAAAAAGGCGAAATCGCTCACGGCACCTGTCAGACCTCGAAAGAACATTGCTGTCAACGAAGAATCAAGGCCACCATTGCCAGTTCCGGACAAGGCGTGCATTCGCTGTCATGAAAAGAAGATCAAGTGCGACAAGGCGCAGCCTGCTTGCGATCAATGTCGAAGAGGTCTCTGGACATGTCAGTACGGCGTCTTGGCTCCGAAGAAGCAGCGAACAAAGAATGGGTGTCTTCCCTGCAAGGAGCGAAGACGCAAGTGCACAGAAGAAAACCCATCATGTGCATATTGTCTGCGTACAGACAGCCACTGTGAGTACGCAGCTTACTCATCCGTTCGCTGAAAGTTATCGACACCATTGTTACTCGCCCACATGTGAAGTAAAAGACCCTGGTTACTCCAGGTCCGATGCCAAGTCCGCCGTTATGGAGACGTAGAGCGGGGAACATACATACCCATCAGCCACTTATTCCACTGTGCATTGCCAATTTCGCGCCAAAGTCCACTTCCTAAACCTACACGGATTTTCATTCTCCCTCCTGACCGGAGAATCAGATGATGCAGTCTGTCGTGTCATGTGGAGCTTGTAGCACAACTTGTTTACCTTACAAACCATCGGGATTGACTACAAAAAGAGGTCGCATGAGCGTGCGCCAAGGCATACCCGAGGGGCACTTGAGCACTTAAGTAAACGGTCCCTAACATTCCACAACACGTGAATGTCGAACGGTATGCTGGTTTCTACACCGAGAAGCTCTGCTAAAATATTAGTCGCAAACCACGACGTTCTCCACACTACAAAACTGCGCGCGGATTGAAGAAGCCGCCACCTGATCAATTTAGTCCAGTTCATTGCTCATCACAGGATCTAACCGCTTATTCCCCGCAACGTTCTCGATCCTTGACTACACGGCAATTGCATCCGTAGTGACTTCTCCACTTGTTATGCAACATGCCATTTTCCTATTCGCTGTATCCCCTGTTCGCCGGCTGTTAATCCTAGGAACAACGGCCCGCCACCATATATCCCTTCTACCGCCTCATCAAACATACCGATAATCACTTTACACCACACGTCATTTAATCGCTCCCTTCTTGGTATGGGAAAAGTACAAGGCTACTACGGTTCTTGCCACAATATGCCAAGTGATGGATTTGGCAAGATGCCCTTGTTTCGGCTCACAAATTCCGCAGAAGACATAAAATCTGAGTACTTAAAGGGGTGGCTTGCCGCTATGTAGTGCATGTAGTAGACGACCCTGATTGACTTCAAGGCCTTGACATCTCCAACAATGCGGTCTGCCATCTTCCCGTTGCTAGCTACGGCGGCGCTGTCTACAGGTGCACATTTACTACTTTGCACATCATAATAACCACTAACACCATCAGCCATCCCTTTCGATCAGCCTGCTTCGAAACGTGCAGTGGGCAGTTGGGATGATGCATATACAAAGGCAACAGCAGCACTCGCAAAGCTATCGCAAGATGAAAAGATTGGAATCGTCACGGGAACTGGCTGGTCGAAGAGTAATTGTGTAGGCAACACCAAGCCTGCTAGCTCGATTGGATACCCCGAGCTATGTCTGCAAGGTAAGCAAATATGTTTCACATGAATTAAGTTGGCTCGCGTTCCAGTACTACAACATGGAAAGTAAGATCCATTGTGGTCACAGACATGCTGTAGCCTGCACATATTCTGCGGAAACCTTCCAACTAACAGCACAAAGATGGTCCCCTTGGTGTCCGCTATGTCCGGGGTATAACCGCCTTTGCAGCTGGCATCCATGCTGCCAGCACTTGGGACATCGATCTCATCCGTGAAAGAGGTGCTTTTCTCGGCAACGAAGCAAAACAATTGGGTATCCACGTACAGCTAGGTCCGTCTGCTGGTCCCCTTGGCAAGTTTGCCAAGGGCGGCCGTAACTGGGAGGGATTTGGATCAGATCCTTATCTCCAAGGCATCATGATGGCACAGACCATTGAGGGCATGCAAGAAGCTGGTGTTCAGGCCACTGCTAAGCATTGGATTGTGAATGAACAAGAGCTCAACCGAGACACTATGAGCTCTGATGTGAGCGATAGGGTCCTGCGCGAGTTGTATGTTTGGCCATTCGCGGACGCCGCTCACAGCAAGGTTGCGGCATTCATGTGCAGGTAAGTGGACTTCATTAAACGATGGCATTTTCAAACAGATATTAATGTCCTGCAGCTACAACAAGCTCAACTCAACATGGGCGTGTGAAAGCGAAGGCGTTATGCAAAAACTCTTGAAAGACGAGCTTGGCCACCGTGGATACATCATGTCGGATTGGAATGGTACGTAGAAAGTGGATGTACTTGGATCAAACCTAGCTAACATGGTTTCAGCGCAACACACTACGACTGGCAGTGCAAATGGTGGCATGGACATGACCATGCCCGGCAGTGATTTTAGTGGCGGAAACGTGCTCTGGGGGCCGCAACTCAAGACAGCCATTAGCAACGGTCAAGTTCAGCAATCACGCCTCGATGATATGGTCAAGCGAGTCCTTGCTGCGTGGTACCTTATGGGCCAGGACAAGGGTTATCCTGCGACTTCCTTCAACTCCTGGAACATTGGAACAAAACAAATCAGTGGAAACCACGGGACTAATGTCCGAGCGACTGCTCGAGACGGCACTATCCTGCTGAAGAATGCTAATGGTGCGCTACCCCTGAAGAAGCCAAAGAGCATTGCTGTCATTGGAACTGACAGTATTGTCGCACCTCGCGGGGCCAATGCTTGTGTCGACCGTGGATGCACCGAAGGTGTTCTTACCATGGGCTGGGGTTCGGGATCAGTTGAGCTTCCATCCAATATGGTCGCGCCACTGGATGCCATCAAGACGCAGGCCCAAAAAGACGGTACGACGGTTACTTCGTCGCCCACCGACAATGCCCAGCAAGGTGCCAGCGCAGCTCAAAATGCTGAGATTGCCGTGGTATGCATCAACAGCAACGCTGGTGAAGGCTACATCAATGTGGAAGGCAACGCTGGCGACCGAAATAACCTAGACCCCTGGCACAATGGCAATGAGCTTGTCAAGGCGGTTGCTGCCGTGAACAAGAAGACGGTGGTTGTCGTTCACAGCGTTGGACCAATCATCATGGAGCAGTGGATTGAGAATCCCAACGTCGTTGCAGTAGTGTGGGCAGGTCTCCCAGGCCAAGAGCCCGGCAACGGCGTTGTCGACATCATGTATGGCGCAGCGTCGCCAAGCGGCAAGCTTCCTTACACCATTGCGAAGAAAGAGTCTGACTACGGCACCACAATTGCCAGTGGCGATGACAAGTCCTGGGATCTGTACATCGACTATCGCTATTTCGACAAGCAGAACATCACACCCAGGTTTGAATTTGGCTTTGGACTCTCATACACCAACTTCACCTACTCAGAGCTCACCGTAACTGGCAAGCCTTCTGCTGGTCCTGCGACTGGTGCTGTAGGACCTGGAGGCCCCGTTGATCTCTTCGAGACTGTCGCTACAGTCACCGCCAAGATTGCCAACTCTGGTGGTGTTGCTGGTGCCGAGGTACCGCAGCTGTATCTGGGCTACCCTGCGTCTACCAACTCTCCACCAAAACAACTCAGGGGCTTCAGCAAGCTCAAGTTGGAGGCTGGTGCTAGCGGAACCGCAACATTCAAGCTGAGGAGGAGGGACATGAGTTTCTGGGACGAGAAGACCAGGAAGTGGACTGTTGCGACGGGCGAGTACACTGTCTTTGTCGGAGCAAGCTCCAGGGACGTGAGGCTGACGGGCAAGATTGTTGTGTAGAGATGTGGAGACAGAACGTATAGGATGCAAGTGTGCCGGAGGCTCCGCCTCTCGAAGAGTTTTTCTGTGTACTCTACTCACATGGCCACGTAGTTTGCTCATGTGTAGTAGTCCCATAATAAACTCTGTTTTGCACAGGTCTTACTCAGTGGAGTACCACTATCATGATTTAGTCACACTGTGTTCAAAGCGAATTATGTCGCAAGGAAATAATGTGATCCATGTAGGGCGTGATTGACATAGCCCTAAGAGAGAAAAAAAAAGCTCGGCAAAGCTAGTCATGCAGGTCCAGTAGACCGTAGCACCGCAGTGTTGCCGATATCGGGATAGGACACTTGTGACTCCTTTAGCCATCACTTGAGTTTCATGCGCAGAGTCCAGGAAAAAGAAACACTCCCTTTGGCCAAACCTTCTCATATGATGGGCCAGTGACAGTAAGTATGCAATAAACTGCACACGTAATGTCAATGTTCAACCAACAACAGACTGCACGCTCGGATAGATCGGGCACGAATAAGCAGCACTCCCAAAGTGCACAAGGGCTGTGGGGCTGTGAATCACGATCCTCGAGTCTTTTCCCCAGATCTTTGTGTTTGAAGAATCTTTCGTGCTGGCTTACTTTGTTATCTTGATTGTGGCCGTCTTTGATTGGCGCGTCGGTGTCATAGCGCAGGCTTCACGTAATCGCGAGCTGTATGAAATTCCCCGCGGTACGCTTTCTCCTCACTCACCATCGCCAACACTTCTTTTCACCACACACATCCTCAAGCTCAACAATACACAATACACAAGGGTCGATTGATTGAACCCACCCTATTTTGATTCTAGCGAAGACAGAATCGCGCATATGAGTGCTGCGCCTACACTCTTTACTTCCCAGGTATGTTTTGTCTTTTTGGGCGAATGACATCTTATCTAAAACTTGCCGCACACCGTCGTTCGCCGCCGGCCTTGCGCCGCAGCGGCTTGACGATCGATCCGTATCCAATGCTGTCTTCTTCACTCTTTTATTTTCTCACGATCATGGCTAATTGAGTATTGTAGGATTACATCTCAGGTACGCTACAACAAGATGACGCGTTGGCAGCGTCAAGCTGACTCCATCTCTAGACCACCTGTGGAAGGCGTCAGTAAACTGAAAGCCTACCCAACAAATCATCGAACCAAATATCTCTCCATACCACATCTTCCATCATCATGATCTCCCAACTATTCAAACCCTCCACGGTCCGGTCCGCCGGTCTCCTGGGACGAGCGACAAAAAACCGCGTACAGGCACGCTGCCTGGCTACTGTGCAATCAAACACTGAACGGGTTATGCCTGCTCCTAGTACACGCAGGGCCACTGCCGTCTCTAACGAGCCTGCCACTTTCACTATCAAGGTGCGCACAGTCATAACTTCAAAATTAATCACAAGGCTCACAGTTGTATAGAACGGCCCCATCTTTGAGGGCAAGTCATTTGGTGCCAAGACCAACATTTCCGGTGAAGCCGTCTTCACAACCTCTCTTGTCGGATACCCTGAGTCTATGACCGACCCCTCCTACCGTGGCCAGATCCTTGTCTTCACCCAGCCACTGATTGGTAACTACGGTGTACCCTCGAGCGCTCGTGACGAGCATGGTCTGCTCCGATACTTTGAGTCACCATACATCCAAGCTTCTGGCATTGTTGTTCAAGACTATGCCCTGAAGCACAGCCACTGGACTGCTGTCGAGTCGCTTGGTGCATGGTGTGCTCGCGAGGGTGTCCCCGCCATCTCTGGTGTCGACACTCGTGAGGTTGTAACCTACCTCCGTGAGCAGGGATCCTCTCTTGCTCGTATCTCCGTTGGTGAGGAGTACGATGCTGATGAGGACGAGGCGTACATTGACCCTGAGGCTATCCACCTTGTGCGTCGTGTTTCTACAAAGGCACCCTTCCACGTCAGCTCCTCTCTGGGAGACATGCACGTGGCTTTGATTGACTGCGGTGTCAAGGAGAATATCCTCCGCAGTCTCGTCTCTCGCGGCGCCAGCGTCACTTGCTTCCCCTACGACTACCCTATTCACAAGGTCGCCCACCACTTTGATGGTGTCTTCATCTCAAACGGCCCTGGTGACCCAACCCACTGCACGACCACGGTCCACAACCTCCGCAAGCTCTTCGAGACATCGCAGCTCCCAGTCATGGGTATCTGCATGGGTCACCAGCTGATTGCCCTTGCTGCTGGTGCTAAGACGATCAAGCTCAAGTACGGCAACCGCGCTCACAACATCCCGGCTCTCGACCTCACCACCGGCAAGTGCCACATCACCTCGCAGAACCACGGATATGCCGTTGACCCGACCACGTTGACGAGCGAATGGAGGGAGTACTTCACCAACCTCAACGACCAGTCGAACGAGGGCCTGATCCACACCTCACGTCCCATTTTCAGTGCGCAGTTCCATCCCGAAGCAAAGGGCGGACCTCTGGACTCTGCCTATCTGTTTGACAAGTACATTGAGAATGTGCAGCAGTACAAGGAGCAACAGGCCAGCTTCTCGCAGAGGAGCAACAAGCCCAGCCCACTTTTGGTGGACTTGCTGGCTAAGGAGCGTGTTGGCGTGCACCCAGACGCGCCCGACTTTGAGGGCCACGCTGCGGGTATGGACAGTCAGCAGGTGAATGTTGGTGGACCTGTTGCGCCTCCTTACCAGCCCATTACGCAGAAGCCTGTTGCTTCTGCGGCTTAAAGGAGCTGCTTGTTCAAGGAAGGTCTGTTACAATGGGGTTTGTGAGGGTCAGAAGCAGTTGTTTTACTTGTCTATTTTAAGAGTTTTATTACTGGATTAGGAAATGTTTGGCGTTTTGTGGGAGGAATTGCAGGGACCAAATTGGCAGCGGATAGCAGCTGCGAGGATTTCGGTTGTCTAACAGTAAATATATAAGATGATTTGAAAGCAATTGTACATGGCTCGAGTGTGATTATTCCTGACAGCATAGTTACAAGCAAGTGTTTGATTGGCATGTTTGTTTCGTTCACGAATAGTATTTGGAGGAAAAAAAAGGGGGGGATATTATCTAAGCCTTTCCAAAGCCCGGTTCTTCTTGCATGTCATCCTCTTGTTCTTGTTGCTGTGATTGTTTCTGCTGTTGCTGTTCCAGTCCGTCTGGCTGACCAGCTTGATCGCCCGACTCGAGCTCGGTTGCCAAAGAATCCGTGGGCTTGCCGTCTGGTACCAAGACTCTCTTATCACGCCTCTCCTGTTCCTTTTTCCTGGCGCCCGCTTTGAGCTTCTCCCACTGCTCGCGGTACCGGCCGAGGACCTGTGCGTCTCTCTCGTGCTGCTTGGCCAGCTTGTCGTTGTTGGCCATGAGGTCGTCAATCTTTGCGTTTTGAGAGGCGAGCAGGGCCTCGAGATCGGCTATGCGCTTGAGGGCTTCGGCATCGGGTCGTGGAGCTGAGCCTGGCGACGTGGGCGGGGCCGGCGGGTGCTGCTGTTGCGCATGGCCCGGGATGGGAGGTGACGGGAGGGAAGGGTGTGGGTGCACGTCGTGGGCGGCAAGGGAGCTAGGATCGCTGTTGCCGCGTCCGGAGCCTCGAACACGGAACGACTGGGCGAGAGCGTTGAAGGAGTTTTGCGAGCTGAGCTCCCACATTTGGATGCGCTTGGCCTGCTTGTCGATCACAGACTTGAGTGTGTCGTTTTCGAGGGCGAGCTCTTCCATGGTCTTGTGGCGCGACCCTCTGCCCGCAGGTATGTTGAGCTGAGTGGTGACGCTTGTGCCTGGGTTCCCACGAGAGAGGGGACGGCGTGTCCTGGTGGGCGAGGGAGGGCCAACATTCTCGCGCGCATCGACAAACTCTTCGTGGGAGCTGCCCCTCAAGGATCCGGAGCCATCGTCGAGCGTGTTGTACTGGTTGTTTGCGGAAAGGTTGGGTGCGTTGGGGTCGCGCAGGACACTAGCGTAGGTGACTGTGCCGCCGGTGGTAGGGACCAAGTAGAAGCTCTCGTTGGGACCAAGCGGAGGCGCACCGTCTTCCCTCAAGGCACGCAAAGCAGGCTTGCTGATGAGGGCGGCAAGATCGGGAACCGAAGAAGTAACCGTCCTCGAAGCTTCAGGCGAGTGGTTTCTAGACTTTGTCCTTGCAGCCCTATCCTGTTCTCTGGGTGGCTCTGGCTCGGGGGTGGATGCTGAGGGGTTGAGGGGCAGGGATGTGAAAGCAAGGGGCGCGCTGATGGCAGATATAATGCCGCCAAAGGCGTTGTAAAAGCGGCGGAAGTTGTCGTCCGGAGGGGGCGAGGAGCGCTGTGGTGAGGGCGAGGCTGGGGCGGGGTGTTTGAGCGAGTCGTTTGCGGTTGGGGGGTCTCCTTTGCGCGAGTGCTGGGCGAGGAGGTCGCGGACAGGCGTGGATGGCTGGTCATGGCGGGCGGCTGTAGCATTTGAGTTGCTGACGGCAGGGGCGGCGGTGGCTCTCTTTGCGCTGGGGATGCCGCGCTTCTCGGCCAGGTTGGTGGCTATGGACGACTGGGGCAGTCTGCGGCGCGACGTCGGCGGAGTTGTAGAAGAAGCAGCTTGAGTTTGGGGAGCCGTGGTGGCCGAGGACTTGGGCAGGGAAGAGACCGATGAGTCGGCAGGTTGCTTGGTCGCAGCAGTCGTCTTCTTCTGCTTGGGCGGAGCTTCTTTGATTAGGCCGGCGAGCTTGCGGTGGTGCACCTCGAGCAGGGCGAGGATGCGCAGGGCCTGGGGCAGCAGTCAGCGAGGGGCACTGGCGAGGGTGCGGCGAGGGTGAATACCTCAGCGTTGTGCGTGTCGTTGGTGGCACTGTGAAAGGCGGCGGCGGCCAGGTCGTGCTCCTGCCCCGCGGTCGCGACGCTATTGTTGCGCGTAGCGGCGGCGGCAGCGCGGGCGTGATCATGGGCGTGGGTAAGGTGGGCGGACTCCATGGCGGCGGCGACGGTGTTTGTTGAAGCCGCGGGGGGAGGACATGCTCAGGGCGTGGGTTAAGTGGCGTGGGAGTGGGAGTGGGAGTGGGAGTGGTGGTGGTGAAGGCGATACTAGGCTGGCGATAGATGATGGTCGGCGGACAGGGATGATGCGGCGCGGCCATGCACCCACGAGTCGATCACTGGACCCGTGAATACGGACAGGATGAGGGCGCCGTTTCAGCTCTCGACAGGCGTGCCGTGCTTGCTTACTTTTGGTTCGGCGTGCCACATAGACGCGAGGCATACATATGGGGTGTGGGCACTTGGACAGCATCGGATGCACACATTCATACTTACAGCAGGTCTCGCCTCCCCTCGCCTGAGTGCAACCCACCCCATGCGCGTCACAAAGTCTGGACCTACGTAATCGACGCCTACAGACACATATACGAACAGACATGCAGACATAGCCACAGCCAACAGCCACCCCCTCGACCCATTGCAGCCTTTAAGATGCTGGCTTGAGGCACCTGCTGGCCCCGACGACTGGCTTGGCTTGCCTGGCTTGCTTGACCTGCTCTGTCCTACTCGTCCTGCTGCTATTACTCGTCGAGCGCATCCAGCTTCGCCCTCTGCACCTCGCGCACGCCACCGTCCATGGCCTCGCAGGAGCGGCGCAGGAGCATTGGCTCGGTCCTCAGTCCTCCAAGAGACAAGGACGGCACCCTGGCTGCACCCCCATCCTACTCCAAAGGCCTGGCTTCGTCGACAGTCTCCATTGCCAGCAGCACCGACGACGTCGTCTCCAAGCCCACCGACGGCGCCACCGACCGTCGCAAGAGTCGCCCAAACTCCGAAGACGGGCGCAGCGACGCCTCGTCGTCGCATCGCCGCCGCATGTCGAAGCTCTTCAAAAGTCGCAAGAAGCGCGACACGTCCATCTCGGCCTCTGCAAGCCGCGAGGACCTGTCCTTTCTCGACCCCGACGAGCCTGTCCCGCCTGTTCCTGAGCTCAAGCGGCCCGGCATCAACCAACCATACCAGAGCGACGACTCGCTGGGCCTGGCAAAGAGCGTTGCCAGCAGCCTGCTCACCGACGACTCCGACTCCGAAACGTAAGTGCTCCGTCTGCTATTAGTTTCAGGCACACGCCCTCTGCTCTCTGCCCTTGGTTTCCAACGGCGCTGCATATTACACTTAGGGGTTTGCTGAGCAAGGTTTGGCGTGTGCAATGGCCCTGTCGGCACCGACTCCACTGCGCCCAGGCATACGTTCTGGCCACTAGCTTCCCCACCCGCTGCCTCTCTCCCTCTCTCATGATCGCATATCCGCCTGCAATCCATCCTCAACCCTCGCTTCACCCTTTCTTTTGTTTCTTCCCAACACTTGTCTGTCTCATATTTTCTTTGCCTCGAACCTACTCGCTTCTCTCGGTGTGCTGCTACTAAATATCACCACAGCCCACCTCCTCAAAAACGTCCCGGCATCTCACCACACCAATCCCATGCCGGTCTCTTGACACTCTCTTCGCCTCTCATAGCCTCCGAGACGGTCGACTCCACCAACTCTGCAGATGCGACACTCGTAAATTCCCTGGTCTCGACCGAGGAGAGCAACGCCAAACCCGCCAACACCACCGACATCTCTGGAAATAAACGGGGTGTGTCGCCAGTTGGAAAGCTCCGGGAAGCATTCACGCCCAACCGCAGAACGACCACAGGTCCAGTGGTTCCCAAGGTTAGCACCGAGACAGAGACTGCAAGGCCAAGCACAAGCGGAGGTGGTATTGGTTCATTTTTTGGAGCAAAGAAGCGTGACGCCAAAGTTGCCGATGATTCCCTTCTAGCCTCACCACCACAGATTCTCATAGACGGAGAGACACGATCGAGTCCATCCCCCCGATCCGCGGCTCCCAAGCGTATTATTACAGCCAATCTACCTGCAGCATCCTCGAATTTAATCGATGCCCCCAAGACCTTCATAACTCCACCCACGCCAACTGATGGAAACGCGTCTTCGCCTACCGAGTCAATACATTCCGACCACGGCCCCAAGTCTGCTGCTGCGCAGTCAATTTCCAACGAAGCCGCCCCTTCATCGGGGAGTATGATAGCGCACAGACGCGTACGATCAGCGACAAACCCTCCGAGCAAGCTATCTCAATCGTCTATCCCGCCCCTAACTCCTCATCCTGAAGAAGCAAAAACCCCTGGAGGAACTGCCGTCTTGCCATCTTCTCCTGGTGTATCTGGTGGTTTCTTTGCTTCCATATTTTCTGCTGCGCAGAACGCTGCTAGCAACATTACCGACACCATTGCAATCAATCAAAACGCTAAGAACAAAGCCAGCCAACAACAGCAAAAGGAGGACAAGGAGACTGAAGACGGCGGTGAGGAAGTCATTGGACCAGCCAACGCTAGTGCGGTTACAACAGAAGGCGCTGCGCAGCGTAGACCCGCTGTTGAAACTCTTGGCTCTGGAAACCTAAGCCTCGAACAACTCGGCATTACTGACAACAAAGACACCAGCCCCATGTCTTCTGCAGCAAACGTAGCTATGCAGACGGACGAGGCTTCTGCAAAGTCTGAGGACAGGGCTGCTGCTCAAGCAGTCTCGGCCGCATACGCAGGCGACAAGCCCCCGTCGATAGCCAGCGAGCGCCCACGGTCGCTGACTGCCGTCTCTGCTCAATCAGGAAACGGCGCTGCCACTCCTCCCCGACAAACCGAGTTAACCGACTCACCAGCATCGATACAACGACAGGGCAGCGTTCGTAGTCGTATAAGCGCCGGCAGACGGAGACGGCACAGGGGCAGCTCCGCTACCACAGGAAATACACTGGGTGGAGTCATTAGTGCAAGTACAAGTACTCTAGCTCCAAGTGCCGCACTGCAAAGCCAGCGGTTGAATGGAACTGGTTTTGCAGTTGCACCGCCCAGAAGAAACAAGGAATTCCACAATCTGTTCAAGAGCGTTCCCGAGGACGATTATCTGATCGAGGACTATAGTGCAGCCCTCCAGAAGGAAATCTTGCTCCATGGACGCTTATATGTTTCAGAAGGCCATTTGTGTTTTTCTAGTAACATCTTGGGATGGGTCACCAACCTGGTCATCAGCTTCGACGAGGTTGTGTCTGTTGAGAAAAAGTCCACTGCTGTCCTGTTTCCCAATGCTATAGTCATCCAGACACTTCACGCTCGTAACGTATTCGCCTCGTTCCTGTCGCGAGACTCGACCTACGACCTCATCATTGGCATCTGGAAGATATCTCATCCCAATCTCAAGTCATCCCTCAACGGTGTCACCCTGGACAGATCGGGCGGCACTGGCGACAAGACGGAGAAAGCAGAGTCAGTCCCCAGTGACAACGAATCCAGCCAAGATTCAGATGACGAGGTATACGACGAAGACGCCGAGGAAGATGACGGTATAGGTAGTTTCACAGAGCCTGGCGAGGGTAGCGTGACCGGCAGCGAAGCCGGCTCTGCTGTGCCTGTCGAAACGACACGAAAGGTCAGCGGCGCAGTAGCACAGGCTTATGGTGGCGGTGGAGACACTGCCGACGCTGCCAAAGCTGCAACTAATGGGGCTGCTTCTGCTGCACAGGATTTCCCTGGTCCAGCTGCACATGGACCTAGCGAGTGCGGTGACAATGATCAACATTATGACAAACTGCTTATTGACACTACTATTCCCGCGCCTCTGGGAAAGGTGTACAGCTTGATGTTCGGTCCTGCTTCTGGTGCATTTATGCGCAGGTGGTTGGTCGATGATCAAAAGTCTACTGACTTGCAAATGGAAGACGACAAGAAGGGCCTGGGCGAAGACTCAAAAACCTTCAACTATTCCTACATCAAGCCACTGAATGCCCCTGTAGGCCCACGACAAACCAAATGCAACATTTCCATGAACTTGGAACAGTTCGACTTGGAGAAAGCTGTGAGTGTACAATGCAGCACAGCAACTCCAGATGTGCCCAATGGAAGCATATTCCTCACCAAAACGCGATACTGTCTGATGTGGGGACCGGGAAATAGCACACGCCTGATCATGACATTTACTGTCGAATGGAGCGGAAAGAGTTGGCTAAAGGGTAAGACAGCAACTTTGTCCCTAATGATCAAAGATATACTAATCACCACCAGGCCCTATCGAGAAAGGTGCGAATGATGGTCAAATGTCATACGCCACCTCCCTTACTGCTGCTCTTCGCACTGCTGTGAGCGCTGCTAAAGCCGGCGGTGGCAAAACTATGGGCAAGGGAGGAAAGGGCAGGAAACGCTCCAAAGGTAATCTCTTGGATGATGCACCCGCACCAACGTCAGTTGCTGCTCCAGTCAGCCAATCCAAGGAAAGCAACTGGGGCGTATTGGAACCTCTTCGCAGTTTGCTCGGCCCACTAGCCGATGTGCTAGAGTCGATCTTCACCCCACAAGTCATCATCTTCATCCTCGGAGCGCTCCTCATGTACACCTGGCTTTTCCGTGGTACTACAGGAGTCACCGGCCCGAACCAGTGGTCAACTGCTCAGAGACAGGTGGCGTACGAAGAGATTTGGCGTCATGAAGAGTCTGATCTATGGGCCTGGCTCGAAGAGAGGGTCGCGTTGGATCGGGTTCAAAGCTCCGTTGTCACCGGTGCGAGACTTCAGCCGGAAGTCGATACGCAGAAGCGAATTTCGCCCAGAGACATGAAAGAGAGGGACATGGACGAAGCCATTCGTGTGACTGAAGAGAAGCTGAAGGCACTGAAAGATGCCGTCATCCGTCAGCGCTCAGAGTCGCGCACTGCGAGCCCGAAAGAGGAGCAGACGTAGGCTGCGACCGAACGAGTGCCCAACAGGTGGGCCACTGACTCTTAAAACAAGGGCGCGCCCTTGGTGTAAATTATGCAAGACTTCGCATGGCGACGGCGTCTCTTATTATTTCCCTTTTGTATTTCTTGTTAGGCCGGTATCCCTTGGCGCATCGGTTGGCGCTAGGCCCTGAGATTTGCATTTGAACTTTCTTCTTTCCATTACTCATCATACAGCGAAGCAACGCCAACAACGCCATGTTCTGTTTCGTTTGTGTTTCCAAAACTGTTTTTAACAACCACACGCCTCATGCAACTACAACGTAAAGTTGCTTTTCGTATTCTTTCTTGACAATAAACAGAGTCGTTTTCTCTTTTGATCAATTGGTTGGTTGGTAGATTCGTCCTTGTTTTACTAGTCCTTGCAAACACGTGAACACTCATTCCCTCATTTGTCGATCTACTCTATTTTGCTTTTCTCTGAATCAGACAAACGTGCATTGCATGAGGTGTTTTGCACGAGTCACGAACCTCACTGCAGATCTAGTTGGGTTTCTGAGATTGCTTCCGAGTGCCTCCGCGGCATTAACAAAAGTGGTGTGATTCGTTCCCAGAAGCTCTACGGCTACATGCATTCGTCTAATCTTGCCAGGGTAACAGGAAGATCTGGGACGAGCAAGTGCCACAAATGCCCGTATTTCTGTTGCCTTCGTAATACAACAGGGTACGATATATTGTAGTTACCGTCATTTGTACGAAGAAACGCTAAAGTTAATAATTAGGCGCTTCTTCGGATGACTCTATTGCTAATTTACACACTAGGGAGAAATACCAATATGTTCTTAACCATCCTAACGGAAAATACATTATATACAGTGTAGTTCTTACTCTACACCCCAGCCTGTATCATCCCCTTATTAGGGCCCCACATACAAAGGTTTGGCATGTTCGTACCACGGTAGTGTACCATGTTCCAGCCAACCAACGGTAAGCCACATGTAGAACAAGGCAGCTGAGAAGAACTTTGACTTTTGCATAGCGGACAATGGCAAAAGACACAGGTCATTCTATAACGCCCTTTCAACCCCGCAATTTAGGTAGTACGAAATCCCAACCCTATTCGCGGAACATGTGAACTTGTTGGGCTCCTGGCTAAATACGAACGGTGAACCAGACCACGCAATGATTACGCGGGGAGAACAAGTGCCGGCATATGCGATTTGTAGATCATGCTCCCGATCAGTCACCCTCTTGTTGCGAGTCAAGATGATGATTATCCCCATGTGAGATCTGTATCGATCTGGCGTTTCGCCACGTCCCCACATGAATGCCCTGGCCAATACACCTTTCTTGGTATAGCGTCTTGGCAAGGCAATCCATCCTCAACGGGGTCACTTCCTAAACAATGAACTTCGCACACCCTCTTTCACTGTCTTTTCGTATTGGGAGTCTGGGGCTCACCTCCCCATTAGCAACTCGACGCTTCGCTGGCATTACAGCGATGAATATAGGACACGAGCCTCGGTAAGCAATGAGTAGCTTGATTATTGCCACCAATGGTTATTTTAGCTTCGACAACTGGACCCTTGCTTAGCCGTAACGGCAGGGTAGATTCAAGTTTTGTTTCACGTACATTAGCAATCTTTTCTCCGGGAGACGGGTACATGGAAAATCACCCCAGGGCTTTATAGGATAACACCTTGTCAAGGTACGTGAGACGCGATCGCGGAATATATGTCGCGTATCGGTAATGCATCGCGTTGTTTGCCGCTTAGGGACGCAGTGGTTGGCTGCATTTGGAGAGGGGGAAGGGAGTTCTAGAGCAAGGTCTAACAGTGTGTGTTTAGCTCACCAGTCATAATGGTTTGTGTTTATCCATTTCCCTAATTCTAGACGTTGTCCGAGCCGCGGAAGATGTTAGAGGTTCCGATACGGAAGAACTAGAGTTTGCTTCGCGTGGAAAGTGCCGCGCCGTACAGGTACTAAGTGTGAATGGGTGTTGTCACTGTGAGGGCAATCCGCCTTCCGTCCGTCAGTTGAGTGACGTGATACGACCAGATCGCCCAGCATGCCTTAATATTGGTGAGCAAGGCCCGTGTGGAGAAAGCTGAACTTACTTTACATTAGCTTTCACTTTTCTTATTATGACCCGTTACGCCGTCTAGTATATTCTGGATGGAAGAGTGACACGTTGTTTTAATATATACACCTCAACTCGCAACTGAAGCCAGATAAAGTATGCCGGGCACATATCTGGATCCTAATGGTAGTGGCTCCAGCGGCGTTCTTCCTCCGCTCGAAGTGCTGGCCAAATGGCCACAGCCCAACTACGATGATCCCATCACCCGGCCGAAAGTTGTACCCGCTCTGGCCGGTGTGCTTGGAACAATCATGATTGTCATTGTAGCAGCGAGAATTTGGGCTCGATTTGTTGTACAGAGAAACGGTGGACTGGACGATTGGATAATACTGCTTGCAATGGTATGAAATAGAGAACCCCCTTGTCTCCCTGTCCATATCCCGTCTGTTAATTACTGACATTTCGATCTTCGACACAGATTCCAACAATTGGGTTCACAATAGTGGTATGTCTAGGTAAGGCAACCCCAAGAGAAAGAAAAAATGGGAGGAAAAGAAAACACAAGAGAAAAGTCTATTCCAATTCCAGCATTAAACTAACATGAAGAGATAGCAACCGAGGTTTACGGCTTCGACCGCCACATTTGGGACGTGACACCCAACCTCTACGTTCCCGAGCGCAAGATTGTCTTCGCCGTCTACCTCCTTTACGTCCTCGCGGGCGGGTTCATCAAAATCTCCATCCTCCTCTTCTACCGGCGCCTCGACGCGCGCTGCATCCCAAGCACCTTCCGCATCGCGACCTGGATCAACATCGCTATCATCGGCATCTTCATCACCACCTTCACCATCATCCTCTTCACGGCCTGCAACCCGCTCGCAGCCTTTTGGTACCAATTCGACGTCGCCCACCAACTCGCAGGCTACAAATACCACTGCTGGGTCAACGAAGAAGCCGACATCATGGCCGCCAGCATCATCTCAGCCGTGCAAGACGCAATCGCCGCCTTCCTCCCCACCCTCCTCTACTGGAACCTGCAAATCCCCAAGCGCCAAAAAATTGCCCTCGGCGCCGTCTTCGCCTCGGGCTACCTCGTCTGCATCGTCTGCATCGCCCGCGTCTTCGCCATCCACAGAATCTTCAACAACGAACTCTACGACTCCTCATGGACCACCTGGCCCGCCATCTTGCTCGCCGTCTTGGAAATTCAACTCGGCGTTATTGTCGCGTCCGCGCCTGCGCTCAAGGTCTTTATTAAACACTGTTTCTCGAGCGCTTCGGCAAGGGGAAGTGCATCGGCTAGGTTTGGGTATGCGTCGAGTAGGGCCACGGATGGGAGTGTGCGCCAGGGTGAGTTTAGGAAGCAGAGCGATATGGCTAAGTCGGCTTCGACAATGTCGAGGGGGAGAGGAGGAGAAGAGGAGGAGGATGAGGAGGGCGATGTGGCGTTGTTGGAGTTACGGAATACAGAGACGAGGATGGCAAGCATGGTGTAGTATTAGCTCCTTCTTTCTTTTTGGATCTTTTCCCCTTTTTTTTCCCCCTTTGTGTATGAGAAAAAGTTAGGTTTGACGGCCTCCCTGCCCTTTTTAATTCTCTGTTGAATGAGGTCTTTCTCATCGTTTCTCTTTCATGTGTTTTACATTTCCTGGCCTTTCGTTTCGTCCACTGTATTATCTCTCTCTTCCACACCTTTTTTTTCTTTCATTCATTCGATTGTGTTGAGCGTCAAGGCTAGATACACGACTTGCTTACTTTGCATTGGCTCGAAGAAACTCGATATTTCCTTAATAAGCGAAGGGAAAGGGGGGGGGCGGGGACCGCAGTGTGCATCCAAAAAAAAAAGAGATAAGAGAGTCGCAGGCCGACTTCTCAAGCAAACATCATATCATTATCTCTCTCGACCTTTTTACAGCAAAGAAATACAAAAAACGAAGTTTTGAAAAAGAACGAATGGGTATCATTATTGACCAATCCACAAACAAACCCTACAATTTACTTTCTCTAACCTTCCTATCCTCCTCCACCGGCAATGCCCCACTCATCCACCCCACCCCTTCCTCCCTCCCATACAATACTCTTTCCCTACCCCCCATTGTACTCCACCAATTCACCGCTACAACACTGCGCTCGGGATCCATCTCCCCACTCACGAGTACCTCCCAGAACCTTCGCTTCGCCACCTCGCGCATCTCATCATCGTGAATCTGGTTGAGGAGCTCCGCGCACAATGGGAGCCACTCATCCAATAGGGCGATAGGGAGATACGGGAGTGCGTCAATGAGCGTGAGTGCGAGGACGGCTTGTTCAGAGAGGGCAGGGGGTGGGGCGTCGGAGTCTTGCAGGGCGAGGGCCACGGCGTCAGGGGGAAGTGGGGCCGTAGGAGCATTGAGAGCGCGGTGATACACGATTTCCAACAGAGTAACTGGGAGATCTGGGTGCGTTGCTGAGAGTGGGGATGGGGGCGCAGTAACACGCATGAGGGTCTTGAATGCGAGGCGGAATTGGCGGGGGGAAAGGTTGTTAGGGAAAACGCGGAAGAGTGCGTCGATGTAGAAGGGGAGGTGTTTTGCGGTTAGGTTTGCGGATTGAGGGGCTGATAACACGGCAAGCATGACGCTGTGAGCTGCTTCGAAGATGGGAAGCATGTTGCGGTTTTCAGCTGCGGCGAGGTAGGGGACTGCGGACGCAACGAGGAGGTCTTCGTTCGTGGATGGGGATAGGACCAGGGTGAAGTGCTCGGCTGTGTTGAGGAAGTAGAGATCAAGAATGCGGTCCAGGGGGTGGCTGGGAATTTGCCCGAGATGTTGGGAGGCGATTGTTTTGAGGAACTTGTCGGCGTGATTAGGATAGGCAGCGAGGATGTCGATGGCGGTGAGGTAGACAAAGGTGTGCTGGGAAAATGACGCTGGGCCTAGCCGCGATGTGATGAAGTAGAGATGGCGCAGTGTCTGCAAGGCTTGCGCAGCGAGCAATGGGGCAACGGCATCGGCAGCAAGTCGTCTATCGGCTAGTGTCCGTTTGAAGACGCCACGGAGGATGATGGTCGTGGCGAACAAGGCGGCCTTGAGAAGGTTCCACAGCTGTGGTGTGGTCTTGTGAAGCGCTTCCTCTTCCAGGTTGGCTGCCTCTTCAGCGGGCTCAATATCAGAAAACTTGTTCTGTCGCCATTGCGTAGTGAGGGCACGAGAAAAACTTGCAAGATCATCCATCATGGTCTGGATGATCCAGGGGTTCTTGACGTTCTCAACTGCATGCGCAATCAGACGCGACAGAGGTCCCATTGAGGCTACAAGCGGCCTGTTCATGATGACCTCGACCTGTCTGTAGGAACTCGAGTGTGGCTATGTATGGTCAGCGCAAAGTACTCAGCTCATCTGTTGTAAACTTACACTCCAATCCAGCTTTCCTGACTGAGTTGTCCGCACATCCAGATCCAAACCGCCAAGGAAGTATGCGGACTGAAACCCTTCATTGGAATAAAATGCCGTCCCAATGAGCACAGGAAGCAACAAATCATAATCAAACTGCGCTCTCTCCACTTCCCCAATGCATCCAAAGGCGTGATTAAGAACCAATGTTATCGTGTGGCCTCCCAATCCATCAGCCTCAGAGTGCTCCCTAACTTCAACCAGGGCCAGATTTGTCGCCCGCACCAGCGCGCCTTCTACCCTCTTGCGCATAGCGGATGCCCAGTACAAATCCATTCCCTGCTCTTCGAGATTGCCAATGCCAATCAACAGGCCCCCTAGCACAACCAGGTGCTTCCATCGTCGGCTGCGGTCGTCTGCGCCCGCAACCACGGCGCGGACCCATTCATCGAGCGACAGGCCTCCTCCCGTGGGAATCTGACCAGGCGTAAGTTTAGGCGCCTTGTTGAAGCGCACATCATTGTGATGATTAATGATTGTCGTGATAGCCGAGTGGAAGACGGAGAGCATGCGCAGGGGCGTCCGCACGCCGTCAGGACGGTCCCATAGCGCGGGGGCTGTAAGCAGATGCGAAGTCAAAAGACTAAGGTTGTGTGGGTTCCCGAGAGTAGTAAGCAGTGAAGACGCGGTTCCAAGAAGGCTGCTCTGTAGTCAGTATATGCGCGGGTGTGTTCACATGGGGGGACTTGAGATGCATGCATACCGCGGCGTGTCCTGCTGATCCGTATATGTCTGCAGCGAGCGCAGCAGCGTCGACAAGAGGCGATCGACGGGCATGATGGGGGATTCGAGGCAGCCCGTGGAAGGCTACGGCAGCTGGCGCATTCGAAGGCTTGTTCAGAGCGTCGTCGGAATGCGATGATGATGGGCTTCGGGTGTTGACTGTTGCGCTCACGCGCGTCGAGCCGAGGTTGCGAGCTCGGGCCCCAGCCGCCGTCAACATTCATTTGCTATGTCCGTAGATCGACGTCACAGGTATGGGGATAGTTAGTTGGACGCATGTTGTGTAACTAAACACTGGGTGCTACATAGAACTACGCCTATCGAACTGACTACTAGTCACGTGCGCCAAAGGACCCAGAAAACCATAGCCAAACCATATTGTTGCCCAAATGAGGCGAGTCTAAACCTGAACCCCTACCCACGTCAATTAATTACTTGTTTCGGCCCCTGTTCTCGAATTCCCCAACATGACTACTCTTCGAGCAAATCCCACGCAACATGATAGTTAACGAGTTCTTCCCCAGCTTCATCCAGCGCGTCAACTCGGCTGTTCCGCAGGGCTACACCACGCCTCCCTTTCCTTCGCTCTACTGGCCGCTGCCTGCCGGCGTACACCCATCTTTCTACCTCTATCGCCCGGACGACGTCCTGCGCTTCACAGTATACTGGAGCCTGCTTCTTGTCGGCGGCATACACTTGGTTGTAGCACTATGGGCGTGCGGAGTACAATGGCGCAACTGGAAACTTATATGGATTACCGTGCCCTTCTTTACCGTTGTCGGGGGCATTGAAGCGCTGGTCTCGGGCGCGATTGTCGGCGGACTGTGAGTAACCCCTCTGTTCATGAATTAAAGTACAGAGAGCGCATACTGACTGGGGATATAGTATTGGGGGTGTTTACCAGGCTGGGTATTTCGAAATGTCTACCTGGATACCCTTTGTATGGGCTGTTATCAACGCGCTGGTTCTCATTCTGTCTTCCTTTGCTATTTACGGCGGTCTCTGATGCGCCGACGCGACTGGAATACGCATAAACGCATCCACATTATCCTCTGCTGGTAGCTCATAACGCCGGTCAAGACACGCGACCCTTGCCTCGGCCAGTGGGTGCGTTGAAAGCCACAACGACGTCTTGATAACGTCTCAGATACACTTGAAGAATCGCCTTACAATAGGCGCAAAGTCAGCAGTCATCGTCAGGTTCACAGCCTTCACGCGGAGTCGGATTCCCACATGAACCAGAGTCAGCTGCGGAATCAGCCCGGCGAGGCATGTCTGCAGGCGCAGTCCCAGTCGCAGCCGAAGACGCAAAAGCGTGCCACATGCACTTTGTCACAGGATTATCAAGAGACATGAGAGACTGCGCGGACTGAAGGGGAGGACGGAATGAGGAGCCAAAGTTCCATTTGAATACCGAGTATGTAAACATAGGCTTTGAGGATACCATTCCAAGAGCAGAAAAGAAAGGTTTGAGTCGCAGATCATATATTATCTCGAGTCCATCTTAACTAGACTTACTAAGCTTATGCTTGAGTATTGAATCCAACAACACAAGTCGGAAGCTATTCAATAGCTTTTCATATGAACACCCCAACCTATACACGCCATTTATCCCGCATGAATTTTAAATCTCTGCTTCACCTGCTTCCTACACATGGGACACTTTGTCGGACGCGCTGGTATATGTCCATGTCTAACTGGCACCACGACATCCGCACACCACTGACACATGACCATGTGACCGCACGGCAACACAGCTATATCCGCTAGCTGCTGGTAACACACTTGACACGCCAGTACCTTGGTCATTTCCTCCTCAGACTTTGGCGGCGGCCGATCTGGTTGGTTGTCCAGCGAGACAAGCAGAGGTGAGGGTGGTCGAGCAGCGCGCATACGGGCGAGTTCCTGTTCGAAATCCAGACGTATATTGTGCATTTCTGCCAGCGGCTGTGTAGTTCCTCCAGCTATATCAGACAATTGAGGACGAATCTGCGACCACCAACCTGTTGCTATGGGAGCAGCTGAGCTAGATTCGCCATTGGGGTTTGCAAATATGGCGCGAATGCGCGCTTCGTCTTCTGCCTGGCTCTGATGGTACGCAACTACGAGTCTCCGCGCTGCTTCTGTGCCTTCTTCGCCGCTGTTTTCGAAATACGCCATGCGCTCGGCAGAGACGTCGATTTCACCGCTATTGCGCAGCCAGCGGACTTCGGTTACAGCGGCATCTTCGCCATCTACGCCTCTTCGCCGCGGGGCATAGCTCCACACTTCGGTTGCTGGCTCTAGACTCTCAGAAATGGATTGCGATTCCCGCATTACACCCCAAAGTAGTTGTTCTTCGATTTCACGGCGATCTTGTGGTGACAAGCTATCGAGCTGAGGCGCAACCTCTGTTCCCTCTGCTCTTCTCTGTTCAGCCTGACGATGGCGGTCGTACGCTCGTGTGTACATTTGCGTAAGTGGTGACTCGTAATCGTCTTGCTCTAGTTCCTCGCGGGATCCAAACACGCGAGCAAAACGCTCTCGTGCGAGCTGTATTTGTGCCTCTCGTCGTGTCATTGGTCGGGGCGGTTCGGAGGGGTCCTCTTGAATCTGAGGGGTTACCAACAGTTGGGGCTCTGTGGGAACAGTTACATTGGCATTCGGGGTCTCTTCAGCCTCTCGAAGAAGGTCGTCCAACGCGTCCTCTAGACTCTGTTGCGGTTCCTCCGGCCGGTCTTCCTCTGATGTCAACCTTCGCCTCCTAAGCCTATTTTCTGGCCTTAATGCATTGTTCTCCACGCCAGCGCGCAGCTGATCTAATGTTCGGGGTAGGAAGCCTGGGCTGACTTCATGAAAAGGCTCTCCTATAACAGCGATGCGTTGCTCTGTGCCATCAGGAAGCTTTGCGATGCGATATCCCTGATGAAACTCCCACCATCGCTCTAGGAACTCGGTCTGATCCGGTATCTCGGGTATACGTGTCTGCGCGATCTCAAGCGGTGGGTCAGTGGCGGCAAGGCGATTGCTCCAGAACTCTAGGTGGGGGTTAGCTGACTATGACATTGGCTTGGAAACATTGTCATCATTCATACCTTTACAGAACCAGCAGTAGCCTTGCCATCTTGTGCCGCGATTTACAAAACCAACTCCGTCAATGTACACTCGGTATGTTCGTGAATGGACGCGCTCATCGGCGCAAGCACAGCAATTGGGTGTGGAAGTCAGCCTACAGCTTGTGGCAAGCTTGTGCGGGCAATGAATGTCAAGACGTGGGCAATCTGCAGTCAAAGTGCCCATAATGAGTGAAATGAGAGCGTGAAGGACAAAATAAGGGTGAAATTTACAAGATGATTTAGTAAAGACTGGAGGGTATGGGGGATGACCAAAGGGTAAACAGCTTCGTGACGTTGGGCGGGTGGCGGACGCAGGCGCGCAGTTGGAGTCGGCTCGGCTGCTTGCCCTTGAACCCTGCATAAACCATGGCGGGGCGACGCGTGGGCCGGTGGGGAAAGTGGAGCGTGCCGTTACCGTGACTCCATGCCATTGCACATCCCTACCACTTGGCCCAACGGCCCGTCACCACACCTGTCGAACCCCTGCGATACAGCCAAAACTTCTTTGTTGGAAGTGAATAAAGCAGAGTGTGTTTCGGCCGGTTCGTCACCCGCTTTCAAACACCCCAGCACCATCAATGAAAATTACCTTCCTGTGTAACGTGACTTGGGGTATAAGAAGTCTCTTGTAGCCTTACACTGGTGTTCGATCCTATCCAACACTCCCACTAAGCCTGCAACACAACCAAGATGCGCGCGGAAATTCATAACCCAAATGAGAGGCCCTCGACCAGGCCGCCGGCCGCACTGACTCTGAGAGAATTCAACAGCAAAACCTTGGATCCCCCCGTCCCAGTCTACCTCCCCTGGAACCTCACAGCCCATGAATTCACACAGATCCTCGACAGCCCCAGCAACAAACCCGCATTCAAGTTTCCCGCACTAAGGAACTGGCTGTTGGGGCTTCTTGGAACTCTGGATGCACAAAAAGATGAATCGCATCCGTTCCATAGGCAACCATATCGCCTGGAAGAGCTGACTGTCGAGTCTGTAGACTGGTTCGACAAGAAAAATTATACGCGCCTGGGATATATGAAGATTCAGTCAGAAATTAGAAATGGGTCTGGTGACAGCGATTGGATACCTGGGTCTGCGTTCTTGCGAGGCGGGAGTGTGGCTATTCTTGTAAGTTATCGAGCCTTTTTCCCTTCTCAATTTCTCAATTTCCTTTGAGTCGTGCATAATACTTACAAAGTGTCCCAGGCCATCGTACAGCCAACAGACGCCTCAGGAGAAACCGAGAAACACGTTATTCTGACTGTTCAGCCTCGCCTGGCAGTTTCCAGCCTGGCCTTCACCGAAATCCCAGCGGGCATGCTGGATGACTCGGGCTCCTTTACCGGAACAGCAGCACAGGAACTGAAAGAGGAGGCGCACCTTCATGTCAAGATAGAAGAATTGTTGGACCTGTCTGAACTTGCTTTGGAACAAGGACAAGCTGATTCCCTGGCCCCAACCAACCAGCTACGAACGGCAATGTATCCCAGTCCAGGTAAGTCTCATTTTACCCACTTCTCCAAGAAAACTCAAGCTAACGATAGTTTTCTTCTCGCTGCAAAGGCGGGTGCGACGAGTTTATGAAACTTTACTTATACCAGAAGCGTCTGTCACGGGCGCACCTGGAGTGGCTCAAGGACAGGGCCACGGGACTGGAGAATGAAGGCGAAAGGATAAGGCTGAAACTAGTTCCTCTAGAGAACTTTTGGAGAGAGGCTGCGCGCGATGGTAAAGCGCTGTCTGCGTTGGCGCTGTATGAGAATCTTAAACGGCGGGGCAGGATTCCTGATATGCCCAAGGAGCCAGCGGAGGAGCCTAAGATGTAATCTCGTAGTTTGAAGGCAGGGAATTGAGAGCTGGTGATTGGTGATTTGCCGGATCAACTTGAAGAAGAGGTCTTAAGCGGATGATAAATATCAACAGTGCATTGATGTTCATTACATTTCCCTCATTTCTGGACTTCAAATACCAAGCAAAGCAACTAGGAAGCCTAATTATATCTCCTTTCTCATAATCATACAGTGCATCCGAAATGAACAATTCGCAAAAACTACCTGCCGTGTTTGAATCAAGAAGACAAAGATCCGACCCTGGTACCAGACAACCCAAGAAACCACAGCCACTCCCCGCTTCACCAATTCACACCCAAACCCCCTCAAATCCTCACACCCCCATGCTGCAACTTATCCGACCAATCCGGCCGATACTTTGTCTTCATATGCTGCATCAAGTCGACCAATGACGCTGATAGCGCCGCAGAACTCGGCCATTTCCACGACGAAAGCTCAAGCACCAGCAGCGCATTCGAGTAGAGCTGAATGAGATTACCCCCAAAAATCGCTGGCATGTTTTGTATCAACACCACACCAGCGCGGTAGACCCAGTGCGGCGTCAAGAAGACGTGGATGCTGCCGCAGCTTACTACTGCTTCTCTGTGTTGGGGTTAACAGTGGGAAAGGGAGAAATGGGATGCGTGGGTGGGGGGACGTACAAGACGTGCCATGCGCTTCCCCAGCAAGGGTTCAGCACGAAATGCGTTATGTGTAGTGAGATGCGTAAGATGGGTATCAACTCATCTTTCTCGTCAAAAAGCGGGAGTAACTTTTTCACGTTCTCCTTTGCTACGAGATCGCCTTTTCGAAACCGGTTCTGCATGCGGTTTAAGGAGCAGAGATATTCAGCGGGCTTGTCCTTGTCAAAGCAGAGTTCGGAATCCTGTGGTTATGTGAGGAAAGCAGTTAAGAATTAAGATGGGCTTAGAGACGTACGGGTTCGGGGAAGAGAGCGGGGCGGTCGAGGGTCGAGGCGACTTGGTTTTCGAGAGTAAAGATTGTCATGTGCATGGCTTGTAGCATTTCAACGTCATTGGGTTCAAGTTCCTGAAGGGCGCGCTTTGATTCAAGGTCAAATGCTAGACGCCCGGCAAGAGCGATCTGCTGTCCGATATTGCCTGTCAAGGGATCAAATGAGCTGTTGAAGGCGAGGAGCAAGACGGAGCGGATTGTGTCAATGTTGGGTTCCAAGGTTGCCAATTCCAGGTGCTCCATGGCATCAGCAAAGTATTGCGTCGCCAACGAACGATATCTGATTGAGTTGGCTTGGTGATATGCAAGTCTACTTGATGAGTGGTTGCTTTGGCCATGTGGCTGTCTTTTGCCGGTGTTGGGAATAATGTAACATGCAATAGAATAAATCATGTACAGCGAGAACAGCTCAGTCGAATTGAGGTCGGTGGGTAGTTCGTGCTGGAGGTAGCGCAGTGAAGGGTCCAGAATTGGATAGAGAGGCTGCATAACCTCTAGATACAATTGCTTGAGCTCATATTGCTTTTCGGGAGAGTCCTTGTTCATGCATTGCCAGTCGTCGAGTTCGTCGTCGACCCGCTCGCTGCGTATGTCGTGTGTTGCGTGCAATCTGGGCGACTTGACTAGGCACGCCTCTGCACCCAGATAGCGATAGCTGTTTCTAGCCTCTGCAAAATGGTGCTCGTACTGCACAACATCTGGCGCAAAGGCGTCGGGCTTGACATTGACACCGAATGCGCTGCTAATCCCAGGACCAATCGAGGCTGTCGGAGAGGGAAGCTCGCTGGATAATCCGCGCACACGATCCACCAACCCACTGATGTAGCTGGGATTCGGTTAGCCGGAGTCGGGAAGATGGGCATGCACTTTTACCTTCGCGGCAGCAATTCGTTGCGTCCGTGGTCGTAGAACATGCACTCGACTCCGGCTTTTGTGCATTGCCTGTGACGGTGAGCGGAAAAGGCGGGTCAGGTAGGACGGCGAAACAATGTACCTGCACTTTGGCAAGAGTGTATCACAGCCGCGGCGACACTCTCGGCACCTCTTGCATGCGGGCAGACTCTGGGGAAGTTGAGTGCACCATCCTCAAATGCGGAGGCGTCTGGGGTTACCTGAATCAGCGCCTCCAGATCGAATGCTGGGGAACTGGCGCTGGCCGTGGCTGCCATCAGGGCCAATATGTAAGAGGGCTGGAGGAAAGAAGTCCGATGGCTAGCAGCACATGGGGTTCGAGCTGGGATTCATTGCACTGCACCTCACCCTGTCGCTAGAACGGAAGATCTGGAACGCAAATGGCANGGCGGGCGATGAGGGCTAGCGAGGAACAGGTGCATCTGGTAAGCCTGGCCCAACCCAGCAGTGATCGGCGGGGGGCTGCATCATCCCGCGTGCCCTCAGGTGCTACTAGCATCTTGTCCTTGGACTACGAAGACCAACATGATAAACCGCCGCCTCCTTTTCCTCCTTTCCACAGCGCAATGAAACCCACGTCGTTGTGGTACAGACGCCTCAAGCTCGTACTCGACTACTATGCAGAGCCGTACAAAGGTCCGTCGCCGTGTGCTGGCGTGTGCCCGCTGCCGCAGACGCAAACTCTCAGTAAACACGACCCTCTCCTGAGATCCATGTCCATCTACTAACAGCGGCTAGTGTGACGGCAAAGTACCCGCCTGTTCGCGCTGCGTCGGTGCGGGAGTACAGTGTGTCGGATTCGACTCGTCTACCCAGCAGGAGGCTCCACGATCCATTGCCGATTTCTTGGAAGCCCACATTGCCAGGCTGGAGAACGCCAGTGTTCAATCAAATTCAGCCTCTTTGGCCCAGCCGGCTGCTGCCATGCCGTCGCCTGCAGACTCAAATTTCTCTGACGCAAAGACCACGCAGTGGCGTTCAGACAAATGTGCTTTTGCTGACAGTCTAGTCAACCAAGTTATGGAGGACATCACGCCGTCATTTCTCGGTGTCTGCAAGGCCCGACCCTTCCTGCAGTGCGTCATCAAGGGTACCAGGCTACCGTCCAAAAAGGGTCCTGTCCTGTCCAATGATCTCAACGAGAACCACCCAAGATCCATATTGAACCCACAGCAAACCAAAGGCCTTTTCTATGATCTCATGCCAGATGAGGTTGGCGCAAATAAGCTTTTGCGGAACTATCTCGATCGGGTCATTACGCAGTACCCTATCTACCATCGCAACGATGTGGCCAAAGCCTTCCAATCTGTCTACCACAAGAGTTCTCCAGCCTCAGACGCAGGCGACGACTCGTTCCGCAACCGCTACATAGTCTGCATAATAATGGCCATATCCCTGACTACGAGTGCACGTAACAATGTGCGCAAAGCAAACGACCTCGCTTATCAGCTTGTTCGGCACGCCATGCAGTGGATCCCTGAAGTTGCGACCAACGACATTCCCGGACTGCAAGCCATTCTGATCTTGTCTCAGTACATTTTCTTGAACCCCAAAATGGCAGACTTGTGGCTTCTGACAGGCCTAATTAGCCAAGCGGTCATTGACCTTGGTCTTCATCAGGAACTACCAAATGACGCCAAGATCACTGCTTATGAACGCGATATGCGACGTCGGATATTCTGGTGTGCCTGGGAAATGGAGGTTGGCGTATGCTGCATCTTTCTACGGCCTGCAAGTTTGCCTATCAGACAAATCGAAGTCGCCTTCCCGTTGGAACTAGACGACACTGCCATCACTCAAACTAGTATATTGCCTAATGGGCGCATATCGAAGTTCACCCAACGCATCATTTGCCGGTTCCGCCTGATTGAAGCAGACATCATCTCGGTTTTGTGGCATGGCGATCCCTTTTCCAACGAATTCACGTCCTTGGAGCAGTGGATTCAGCAATGTGTCGAGAACATAACGAATTGGCAAAAAGAAATATACGCCGCAGCAAACGCCAACACAGACCCAAGCCTAAATGCACGGTGGACTGAGATGTGCTTATACTCGGACATTGCAAGCCCATATATCTTGTCACTATTGAATCGCACCTCACGCCGAATACCCAACCCAAGCAAGGAGCAAATGATGATTGCATTGGTAAATGCCGTCAAAGTTGCCGACGGCTACTTTCAACAATCCGAAGCAGAAGCTGGCAAGATCAAATACGTCTTCCATCCGTGCCATCATGTTTTCAATTGCGCCCTCATATTTCTCCAGGGCCTGCAGCGCTGCAAACGCGACATCGCACGTCATTATTCATGGCAGCAAGTGCAAGATTGGATGCACGTCTTTTCAAAATGCTTCTTATCAATCTCTGAACGATGGGCAGCCGCGAGGAGATGCTATGAAGAATATGAACGATTGCTGTTACCAGTAAAAGCCGAGTACCTGGAGTATCTGGAACAGAAGGCCAGTCTTCATCCACCATCATTTCACAAGGCTAGATCGGATACGAGCAGTGTGGGCGAATACCAGATACCGCCTTCTGGGCTTACTGAAGTTGACGAGGCTTATCAGTTTTGGACCATTTTCAATCCTACGACATCGAAGGTCGATGGTACGGATCCGGTTGGGACTTATCCGTATATCAACCTTCCACCCCAGGACTGGAATGCAGAGTTTTCTTTGAATGTGAACGACAATGCGGATATGATATTGGAGGCATCATGAAGACACGGCTGGTTCCGGTCATCTCTTCCTACGTCATAGATGTCCGGGTTTCTGGATTCATGACTTTGTCATTCCACTACGGAATACTGTCATTTCGGTGTCAGGGATGCTGAAACATCTTACAATAACCACTGCAATGTCGGCAGAGACTTCGAAAATGGGTATTTGTGGAAATCGGCTTATGCCATACATAGAGCATTGTTCGCCCAACTGGTCGTGCAAGTTTGGGCGAATCATCACACACATTGTCCATTTCCCACCCCTGAGCCTCACCTCTTGACTCGACTTCCGCCACGTTAAATCCTCAGTGTACTCTTATCACCATCAACGACGGAATTCCCGCGCAATTGACAAACCTCGGCTTTCAAATGACCAAATTCCCGCCTATCACTGTTGCACGGAATACAGTCTAGGATATGTTTGAAAGTATCTACAGGAAACTTTATGTATCTGGGGCTGAAAGGCAGGCTTTCCGCAAGGGAAAACATGATGCAGTATTGCTAGCCGATGTAACACAACAACTCTTCGTCGCAGACTTTCATAAGACCATGGTGCGAGTGGGCCACAAAACATGAAGCTTACATTTCCTCTTCAGTACGACGCAAGATATGTAGTGTTTTCCTGTGTCAGAGTTCCAGATTGATCGTCTCCTCTACCTCTGTTGGCCTACCCATCCTGACGACCGCTTTCTTATGCTTTAAATCCATCACAATGTTAAAAAGCGTCCCGCTCCCAGTCTCTTCTGTCTCCACCCTGCATATTGAACCCGGTTTATTTTGCTCATCTTCAAACAAATGACCCACTTGTTCCCAGTTGGGGTCTTCGCCTAGAGCCCTAGCATTTTCAGTCATGGTTTGAAGCCGAGTCAACGAATCTTTTAGCCACACTGTATCGGTTTCGCCCGAGTGTTCAAGAAGGAGATGGTTCGTATGAACGATTTTTCCAGTCGAGTCTGGCGACAAGCGAGCAAATGTACTCTTGGTAAACTCCACTCCAACGGCTGTCTTTGCGTCGGCTATGAGGATGTGGGCTGAAGATGCCATTCCGAAATTTTCTAGGGCCTGGACTGCTTCATCCACGGATTTGCTCTCTAAGGCCATGCGCAGGCCGAAGTGGGCAGGCATTCGAGTAGAATTTACACCGTATACCTTTATCGCGTTGAATAGAGTGCCCACGCCGCAGCTATTGAAGCCAATCTTTCCGATGATGCCTGCCTCGGTGACCTGGACTATTGTGGGCTTGTTGGCTTGAGTTATCTTGGTAATGATGAGGTTTTGTTTCTGCTCCGTCATCCACTTTTGCCTGTCAGCCTGTCTATTTCACATATTGTTTCTTTTCAGAACATAAAACTCACATCCCAATTTTGCGCCAACCATGCATGGTCACTGGTATGCCATGAGAGCGCTGTGCATCCATCGCTGAACAATCCAAAGTTGATCTCAGTCCTGACATTTAACGCCACAATGTCTAATAAATCGCGTCCGGAGCCATCAGCAATGCCCTGCATCTCTTGGTGAAACATGGGCCATTGCGCTTTAGCTCGCTGCTCAAATACCGAGGCGTGCTCTAGCACCTGTGGCCATCTTTGCTTGCAATTTTTCAGGAACAGACATGCATAAAACTCAATGGTCCGATTGATCTGTAATTTGGCAGCTTGGCCATGCTGATAGCCGATCTATGCAGAGGTGTTAGTAGAGACAGTAAGTGACAGAGACGAAAGTGACGTCACAACTCACTTGGTACGGCGTTCCTTCACACTCGACGAACATGGCGTGGAAATCAGCCTAGAACTCCTAGGTTAGAAGCAAATTGACGCAGCAGTCTGCACAATCACACATTGACATTGAGCTGCCGGGGCCATTTACGTCAACTTCAATGCGGGCGCCACTCTCGGCAATGCTGCCTTTGCCCCGCCTTTTACGCGCTCAACTCCGTCTGACTTATCGCCTGCGACTATTACGCCTTACCTTCGCTTATCTGGGTATGAATCTACAGTGGTTTCCACGTAATGTGCTGCACAAAGACGAATTTGGTTCTCGGGCCGCTGCAAGCTAGTTTTATGGGCATGCAATATAGTATAGTACCCGCTTTCATGACGAGTCAATGGCATATCTGTGGCTTTACGGACCACATGCTGTGGAACAGAAGTGGCAGGGTAACACAAATTAGCCCAGTGTGTCGGTGTGTCATGCTTGTTGCTATGCCACCGGCTACAGCGGTTGAAGGGCCTTAGGAAAACGATAAGAAGGAGATGTGGCCCAGGAATGACTTGCTCCTACAAGAGCTTCTTGTAAACACAACATAGACATTCATCTCATCAATATGCCGAAACGAGTGCTGTGCTCATATGGTATCGACATTGATGCAGTTAGTGACAAGTATGGAATTCTTTAGGACAGGGCTAACTGCCGGGCCATACTAGGTAAGCGGATGGTATGTTCACTCCAGGTGATGACTGGTCTCTTTGACTAACACCACTTCAAGGCTGAATACCAAGAACGGAGACCCAGCCAATCCAACCGACGTATCCCGCGGCGTCTTTGGTGCTACCGTGGGTATTGATCGTCTGCTTAAACTCCTAGACAAGTACCAGATCAAAGCCACTTGGTTCACGCCCGCGCACACAGCAGAATCATTTCCAGAGCAGATCCGCAAGATAATCGACCAAGGCCACGAAATAGGCCTTCACGGCTACACTCACGAGTTTGTCTCTACACTCAGCGAGCAACAACAACGAGACGTATTAGCAAAGAGCATCCAAGTCCTAACCGACATGGTTGGCAAAAAGCCCCGGGGCTGGACAGCCCCAGCCTGGAGCACCAGCAAAGAAACCGTAGCCCTCCTCGAGGAATTCGGCATTGTACGTTTTCCCATCCAACACCTCTCAACCCTTGCAACCCCCCTCCCCCCCAAAGCTAAACACACGCGTATCTGATTGCGGAAACACCAGGAATACGACCACTCCTTCATGCACCACGACTCGCAACCCTACTACCTCCCCTCCCCCCACCTAACCACCGCCACGCCCACCTGCACCTCTCAACCGGCCTCGCACTGGATGCACCCCATGACGTCCCTCATCCCCTCGTCCATTGTCGAAATCCCCGCAAACTGGCATCTAGACGACTGGCCGCCCTTCCAACTATCCCTCTCGCAACCCAGCACGCACGGCTACGTCGACACAGCCACCATTGAGCGGCTGTGGAAAGAGCAGTTTGAGTATTTGTACCGCGAGTGTCCTAGTAATGCGAGTTTTTGTTTTCCGATTAGTATTCATCCGCAGGTTAGTGGGAAGCCGCAGGTGGTGCTGTTGCATGAAAGGTTTATTGAGTGGGTTAATGGGCACGAGGGGGTCGAGTGGGTTACGATGGGAGGTGTTGTAGATGAGTTTAAGGCGGGGAGGATCGGGGGTGCGAGCGTGAGGGGTGGGGTTAGGGTTGGGGTCAGGGCGAAGTTGTGAGGTGGCTGACATGGGGGACCGATGATTATAGGGTGAGGGTGTTCTTTCTTGTTTTCTTTTTCCCGTCTTTTTGCGGGGAAGGACTAGGGGATGGATGCCGGCATATGATGCTATTATGTTAGAGGCGGGCGGCGCGATGCATGGAGCGATATGTGCCGCTTTCCTGCATACCCGGTGTTGCATGCTTGCTCCGCTTTGGTGCAGCATACGCGTGGGCCACGGAGAAGAGCGCAGCATGGGTTGCGGTGAAGTGCGATAGTATCGCTTATCCAGTTCAAGAGTGCGGCTGGCAAAACTGGTATGTACTGGACGGTATTCTACTGGTATATTTAATGCTTTCTAAATCTGTGAATCTATGCTGCTGTCGTTCCGAGTTGGAGCTGGACAAAGTGTGGGTTGGTAGGTCTTTTTTACATTCTTCCAGTGCTGGGCCAGTCCACGTGTAGTAATCCCTATTGCTGCATCATCTTAGAGAATCAGTCCAATCTACCGATGGAGCAGGAATATATCTCCTGATGTTCGGCTCCGAATGGCCTTCTAATTTCATGACGTGTCACTATAACAGCAACTGTATCCTGCAATCCCCTTTTGGATTTTTTTCTCACTGAATTGTTATGGTTCTAGGATCATTTCACAGCGAATATGAAAAAAAATAAGAAGCGAGGAAACTGTAAGTTATTGAAGCAATGCTGATGTGGAACGCATATGCTGACATTCTTCAGTAGTTAAAACAACCTCACATCCGCTTAGCAACAAACCCCTATCTCACAGTCATGTCATCTTCCAATTAACGATTAATAAATTAAAATCCAAGTATTCCAACATACAGTTCGAAGCCTCTTTGCAAACCCAACCATCCAATCTCTTCGTCCGCAAGAGTCTCTACTCAAACCACAACCCTATAAACCCCAACATCCACACCTCTCACCTCAAAGACAATAAGGACCAATAGTGCTCGACCGGTCATTATAGCACATTTGATTACAGCACTTACCCGGGTCATTCATGTTGCAGGGTTGACCCGACGCAGCACATACCGGCGGCCGACTCTCAACGCAAGCAGTTGCAGTGGTAGTGACACTAACCGTCTATTTTTCCATCAGCACATCCTCTCTCAAATTTGCTGCAGAAGCATGATTGTCTCCAAGAGAAAAAAAACTAAACTTACCGGTGCAGGGGCAAACGTCGTAATAGTAGTAATGGTAGTCGTAGGAGGCAATTTTGGTTTCAGGCAGAGACAGCGACACGCATCTGCGATCTTTGCAGGAGGGAAACGCGCGATTTGGAAGGGGATGTTTGTGCGCTTGTCGGCCTTGATGCGGGTGCCTTGTGCAAAGGTTTCGACTTCAAAGTGCTTGGGTGGGGGGAATGCGGCGCGCTTTTGCTGGCCGCATTGGGTGCTTGTTATTGTGACTACGGCGGTGGTAGTGGTTGTCCTGGAAGATTGTCAGTGAACCGTTGTGTGAATGAAGTGCGTATACGCATTGGTTCAGAGTAGACTTACACGGGGCTAGGTGTGATAGTCGCTGTTACGGTGCTCGTTGTGGGTGGGTTGACATATTCGCGGCAGAAATTTGTGCCTGATACGCCGAGTTTCTTCAGGGAATTAAGAATTTCATTGTCTTTTGTGCAAGTAGCGGATTGCTGGGCTGCTGGTGTTGGTTCTGGGACAGCGACTCCGAGTACACTGGTCGCAGCTATGAGGACGAGCTTGAGGGCGAGCATGATGGAGGTCTTCTAGGTGGGTTTGGAGAGAACTGCTTGTTCGCTAAGCACATGGCCGAGCTTGTTATATATACATTATGCTGTCGAGTAGTGCAGATTACACACGATTCAGAGAGCTCGGCTAAAGGGGTGTCTGTTTTCTAGCTCGTCCATATTCTTGTGGCGCTTTTTGTCGTGACATGCTGATTTTCTAGTGAGGTCCTCAAGATTCGTTAGCGTGCAGCCTCGCGAAGACTTAGTAAGTAAGTAGGCGAGTCGTCACGCAACACAAGTACATACTTTGAGGTCAATCTAAGACCAGTATGTGCTATTTCTCGATTATTGCCATAGGAAATCTAAAAAGCGATGGCGCTTTAGCCCCTGAAAGGGAAATTCTATTCGCTTGTTTGTGCTCAATCTGGACAGTAGACCTTCGGGCTAGCCGATGTGGCGCAATAATGGACGAGTCTCGCCAGGTATCAGGGGGTTGCCAACTATCCATCGGATCTAGATGTGCTCTTTATGGAAAGGCAAGCAACTGAAATAAATAGATATTCTCCCTGCAAAGGAAACATAAAAGGATGGCGTTGGGGTTTATTGTCTAACAGTCCGACACGTGTGAAGGAGAATGCATAGAGACAATTGTAACTTGGCCCATAGGAAAGTTTCCTTTCACGCTTATTCTATTGGCAACCTACAATATCTGTTCAATGAAGCCCTTGGCATCCAATAGTTGCCATGAGCCCAGAGCTTAGTCGAAGAGGTGGCGCAAGGGAACTAGATCACTGTCATCGATTCCTTTGTTCCCGATATCCGCACTCGACTAAGAAGAGGTAGCAGCATCATAAGCAAACATTAATGGGGATATGATTCAATATTCACTGACGACAGGTCTAGACTTGCTGAAAAGTAGAAGAGGTAGAAGTGAGACGAGTTCCAGGACTTACAACATTCAATTCTCAACGAAAATTCCTTACCGAAACCTACGACCGATGAAGAGCAAACGTCAAGCCATCGAGGATTACATAGGCAGCCTCAATCCGAGTATGTTGCTGCATTATCGTATCCAATACCACGACCTGTTTGGATATTCGATGAATCCAAGCTGGCCGGGAAACATGCTTCGCCTTGCACTAAATTCGTATTTCCTAAATAGTAGTCATCCCACGCACAGACCGCATTCTGAGAACCAACCATTTAACATCCCAAGGTAATCAGTCCCGCTCTGCATACATATGCTACACACCCACATACGCCAACTAAAGCCCAAAACCCAACCAAGACACCCCAAAATGGACAACACTCCACCCACCCGAACCCTCAAGGCACAATGGCGCGTCCTCTCCCCCACCAATCTCCCTAACCTCTCCCGCATAGCGGCAACAATCCATCCCGGCCTCGCTGAACGCGATACCGTCTTCTCCGAACGCATAACTTTGTTTCCAGCAGGCTGTCTCGGATTATTCGACGAGAAGTCCAACACACTATATGGCTATTTAATTTCACACCCCATCCGGCACCAGGAACCGCCCGAGCTGGATTCGCTGCTGGGAGAAATAGCGCCAGATGCGGATCAGTATTACATTCATGATTTGGCTATTTTGCCAGGAGCCAGAGGGTCCGGACTTGCGCAAAAGGGAGTGGAAAAGGTACTGAGTACAGTGGCCCAGGTGTACAAAACGAGTAGTCTGGTGTCTGTATATGGGACGACATCATTTTGGGGCAAGTTTGGGTTTGAAAAGCCAGACGTGGTTAGTGCAAAGTTGAGTGAGAAGTTGCTTGGGTATGGGGATGGCGCTGTGTATCTTGAACGAAAGAATGGGTGAGAGTGTCGTGGAGTAGGACAAGTGCGGATTATGCCACATACCCGATGCGGCGATTACGTCATTGTGGCTTGGAGCAAGGGCAATCATGGAAGGACCAAGATGGAAGGCAAAGTTCGTGGAGTGGCTTTTTTGGCCCGTCTGGGCAAGTAAGAGCCGCCCCGCACTGTAGAGTAGTAATACTAAGAGCAGGGGTGTTCAGGCGTATAGAGTGCTCAATCCATATACTTGGGGAACAGATGGTGCTAGATTGGACATTTATTTATATTGGCTGTCATCTAGATTGTCGGAACTTGGGGAGGCTGCTTACAAGCTGGCTAAATTTAGTCAAGCTTAGAATTTGCAGAGGGCTTGCAAAGTGTCCTTGGTGGTCTGCGAGGATTCCTTGACTATGTTGATGAGTGCCTTGAATCTGCAGGGTGTTAGGTGCTGTGAAAGTCATGCGGAATCATGCGGCCACTCACTCGGGTGTGCCGGCTTCGCCAAACAATTCGTACAAGAAGCTCTCGCTGGTAGTAACAATGGCACCTTCGTGTCTTAATCTTGCCAGGGCAATTGGAATCTCTTCCTTGTTGCAGCTGCTCACGCCGTCTGCGATGACATATACCTTGTGCTTTCGCTTGAGGAGATCCAGAGTGGTCTGGGTGATGCAGATGTGGCTCTCGATGCCAATCACGATGGCGGACAGCGGGCCGGGGGCGTTGAAAGAGTCGAGGACCCTTTCAACTTCCGGGGTGCTAGAGCAATCAGCCTGAATTCCTAGGTCAATGGCATTGAGACATGCAGCATGGAGAAGAGGGTTTTGTCAAGATGACAAACAGTCTTGACGCCATCGGGGGCATCCAGCTTCAGCTCTGGACACGTCTCGCCCAACCGTGCACGATTTTGCGTAGTTGCAACGACGGGGATGTTGAGCACCTGGCCTGGGGGAGGGGGGGGTGTTGGTCAGCAGCAAGCGAGCAGGGCCATGGAAACATGCAAGACATACTTGCTCGAAGCAGCTTCTGTGCCGTTGCAATCACCTTGGGGAACTCATAGATGGCGGGGCGGAACTTTTCTTGCAAGTCGCAAATACTGGGACATGATGAGCGTAGTGCACACGGTGGTGGACGTTGGAGCAGTGTAGTCGGAGTCATACAAGAGGGCGGGGTTCGCTACGGTCCATCAGCCACGTCGGTGCACATGCAAGGTGGTTGCTCAGCCGTCAGTCTATGTATATACCTATGCGCTGCGGGGCCATGGCGGAAGAGGAGAATGTGCGAGGGGCAGACACAAGAAATGTTCTGAGCGGGTTGACGGTGGGGCGTCGGTACAGCATGCGTGCGAGGAGCAGAAACGGGGCGTGGTGCGGCGCAGTCATGGTGGCGTGCAGGCGGAGCGGTGCAGCAGCCGCCATGGCTCGGCAAGAGTACAGCGACATGGACATCGGCTGCGGCTTCCCCTGGAGTTCAACGCGCCTGCCGTTTCTGCGGCGGCCGTGCCTCGTGCACCCCACGCAGCACGCACCCGCCGCCCGCCGTGGCCTCTCCCCTCCCAGAAATATTTCCGGCCATGTGAAACGGGCCCGGATTGCGCATATTGAGCCCCAATTTACTGCGTCAAAACATTTTCCCTGAGTCGGCGCAGGCCCTGGCATGACCACACGAGATTGTCCGAGACGGCCTCAGGAGAGCGCCGCACTTGGCTGCCGGCAGCACGGTGCTGTCCCTGCATCCGTTCGCGCGGTACACTCGGTCAGGGTGAGATGAGATGGGCGTCAGACGAGGCCAAAAATACCCTTTTTGCTGTGCGAAGGCCCGTCTGCAGCACCTCTCTCTTTGCGGCCTACATGCGGATGTACGTACAAGGCACAGCGCCAGCCCGTCTGACCTGGCATCCAACACGCCCCCCTACAATCTCACCAGAAGCTGCCATCCCTTGCCATGTACGCAACAAGGGGCTCCAGCGCCGCCTCCCTGCCGCCGCCCAGCGTGCTGCTGCTGCTGCTGCTGCCACTCCCACTCCTGCTTGGTCCTGATGCTGCCCAGCCAGCGACTGTGAACCCGACTCCATACTGCTGGAAGGATAGACGAGAACTAGTCTTGGGACATGGCCAGGCGCTGCCTAGTCAGCAGCGTTGGGGCTGACGCACTTGGGGTGCTGAGCGTGTGTAACGCGCTGAGGGTGCTAGTTGACCTAGTTGATTGCATTACACCTAGACTGAACGACGGTGGCGCTGCGGGCGTGTGCGTTTCCCTCTGTCTTGTCTTTGATCTGTGCTCCGAGCGCGGAGCTGGCTTCCCGACGTCGTAGCCATGACCGTCGCGGTTAGTATGTATGTAGTCGTGGGATGAATCGTTGTCGTGTTGTAGCAGGCAGGAAGCCATGCCGTGGTCGAGTCTTGTCCAGATATCCAGGCACACAGATAGTCGTTAGCACTAGGCACACACGCAGATGGCTGCTCTGCTGCACCCGCAGCCCCTGCCCCGCAGCGACGCAGCCCTCATGTGCTTGTTAGATTGGAGTGCAAAGTGCATATAGTCGGTCGAGAAGGCGCCCCTGTCGCCAGTCACGGTCCTGGAGTAGGTGACGGCACGCGCCCTCCCCAAAGCGCTCTAGACATGGCTCTGTGCGTTTATCCCCCGTTGGGCCTACGCCCCATGCATTATACGTACTTTGTACTTACATACTGCAAGCAACAGAACCTCGCAGACAGACTGCCGCCCTTTTCTTCTGCACTGCTTCGCTCGCTGTCTGCAGTGCCCATCCTCCCCACCCACCCACCACCACACCACCTGCGTCTGGCCCGTTGATTAGCGCCTGGCCCGCCCAACCACTCAGCGCCCCCCATTCCCACCTCATCGTTCCCACCAGGCCAGCCCAGCAGGGGTTCTCTCCAGCACCAGCACCAGCACCAGCACCAGCACCAGCAACTCGCTCACCCGCCCAATTCAAGACGACACTCGCTGCAAAAGCGCCCGCCTCGTCCACGCGCTGCCTCGACGTGCTCTGGAAGCATTTCCCTCGCTCCCTCTCCCCAGGCCCTTTGCCCTCTGTCCTGGCACCGTGAGCAGCGGCAGAAGCCCCTCCCGGAGTACCGCTCGATTTCCCCTACCCATCGGCCACTAAAGTTTATGACCAACCGCCGCCACAACAACCCCCAATATCTTTACATCCACCATCCCCAGCCCATCCACACCGACTCCCGCCCAACAAAGGACCACGCCGCGGCCCTTTACTCGCCCGCCCTCTGCTTGCCGCAGCAACCTCTGCGCTCGCACCTCCAGTACGCTCAGCTGCCCCCGTATCTGCTGCTGCACCCCTTCTTGCAGCTTGCGCGCATCGACGAAGTGCATCAATCCCTCTCGCACACACCCTTTCCAGCCGTAATTGTGTCTCCCCACTCGCTGAGCCCGCCGCCCCAGCGGGACTCAGGCCGCACCCACTCCAAGAAGCCTCCCGTCAAGACGGCACAGGCTCCCAAAGATACCACAGATGGGCATAAGGATACAAAGCGCAGCGTGCCCAACTGCACGCCCACGGTGACATCAAACGGTGCTCCAAACATGGCAAGCAAGCGGGAACAGGCAGCTCCGCCCTCTCTCACCGACACACAGGCACAGGCACAGGCGCGACCACAGCGACCGTCTATAGTCTCGCACCATTCGAGCTCAGTCCCCTCTACTCCCTTGCAGGTCGCCCGCAAATACAACACGCCCTCACGCTCGCCCTCGCCCAACGGCGGCCTGGGCGGCCATTCGCCACGCTCCGTCTCCTCCGAAGCAAACGGCGCCATGCCCACCCTTAGGCCCGCTCGTCCCTTCAAATGCAGGTTCGAAACCAATGTTGGCATGCTGGGCAGGAGACGAATGCCTTACCAATCAGACGAGATATTGGACAAGGCCAAAGAGGAGCCCAAGAAGAGCTTGGACCCCCACGAAGACGACAAGTTGAGCGGTGACATGCGCGAGCTGTATGACCGGTTGCTGCCCAAGCAACAGGATAACGATACGCGGGAACGCTTCGTGAAGAAGGTGCAGCGCATACTGGAAACGGAGTTTCCCGGCACTCAAATGATGGTCCATGTGTTTGGGTCCTCGGGCAACATGCTATGGACATCAGAGAGTGACGGTAAGCGCTACCCCTTACACCAAATTCTGAGCTAACCTTGGTAGTTGACATTTGCATTCAAACGCCCATGAAAAGGCTAGAAGAGATGCACCCGCTGGCTGAGGCTCTCGACAAGCGTACGTGAGCAATGTCACTTTGCTTGGCTGCGACTAACATTCATAGATGGCATGGAACGTGTCGTGTGTATTCCAGCAGCCAAGGTCCGGATAGTAAAAGTCTGGGATCCCGAGCTGCAGCTCGCCTGCGATATCAACGTGAACAACGTCGCTGCAATCGAGAATACGCGCATGATCAAGACGTACATCCAGCTAGATGACCGCGTACGGCCATTAGCAATGATTATTAAATACTGGACAAAACGCCGTATCCTAAACGATGCTGGTAAGTGCATTGCAACACTCCATGCTTCTCATTTAACTCTTGGCAGGCATTGGTGGCACAATCAGCTCGTATACGTGGATATGTATGATTCTCAACTTTCTTCAAACACGGGATCCGCCGGTTCTACCCAATCTACATGAGCTCCCTCAGCGAGCGCGAGACGGAACAACCGGTCAGCCGTCATTATCGAGCTTCGCCGACGATGTGGGAAAGCTGAGAGGCTTTGGTGAAAAGAACAGAGAAAGTTTGGGCCAGTTGCTCTTTCACTTCTTCCGTCTATATGGCCATGAGGTAGATTACGAAAAAGAGACAATCTCGGTGCGCCAGGGTAAACGCATACCAAGAGAAGAAAAAGGCTGGCACCCGGGCGGTGGTCAGAAGGAAGGCGTCAACCGCCTTTGCGTAGAGGAGCCCTTTAACATTGACCGAAATCTAGGAAACTCGGCAGATGACTACGCGTGGCGTGGGATACATTTGGAGATACGTCGTGCTTTCGACTTGCTCGCAGACGGCCAACAGCTTGATAAAGTATGTGAGCAGTTCGAGTACCCCCCTGAAGAAAAGTCCAACGCCATCTTCAAGAAACCGCAGTCACAGAAGGCGATCATCACCTCGAGTGTACCAAGTCGCAATGGCCGAGGTGGTTCCAACTCGCGTGGAGGGAGAGGCGGTTTCAGCCTCAAGGGTCAGCATGGAAACAGCAGACGTTCTTCCAACAGCTCAAATTACAGTCAGGGTCGCCCACCCTTTCTGCACAGTCCGCCCATTCCTGCAAGTGCTGGTCCAGAATATTTCAGCTTCCCCCGAGGTATTCACGATCAGCTTCATGACCAGCTGTACCAGCAATACCAGATGTTGGAAATGCAGTCAAATTCTTTGCGTGCGCAGTTGGCCGCTCAGCAGCATGCTCAGCAAGCACACCAAGTAAGGGCTGCCCAGATGCATGCCCATGCCGTTGCCCAAGCACAAGCACAAGGACGAGCACCAAACAGCGCGAGCGGGTCACCTCAAAAGTCGCCGTATGTCAATGGGCGTCAAAGCCCTCGGTTGGCTGAGCGTGGAATACCGCCAAACGCTCTCCCTCAGGGATTCCTATACCACTACCCTGGCTTCTACAATCCCTCTCAGGTGGACCTCAACGGGTCACAGGACGGCTCACGGACAAACCCATCTTCGCCATCTCTGAGCAGTAGCATGCCTGGTGTACATCGAGGTGTTCACCGCGCATCGAATGCCAGTGAGACAACCTCACTTCGTTCACATTCGCAGCCGCCACGTAACGCTGCTCAGCAGCCTGTCATTGTAGGGTATCCGCCTATGCCTCAGTTCGTTGACCCAAGCATGTTTGCCGGCTACCCCATCGCACGGTCTTCGCAAGACCTCTCAACTGTACAAGCCACGTCAGATGTTCCGGTAAATTCAATGGCTGCTCAGCAAGAGTCGGCCCCATCTTCGGATAACGGTTCACCGAAGGACTATGTAGGCTATTCCGTAGCAGAGCAGCCGCAGCCTCAGCCTCAGCCTCAGCCGCAGCCAACGCCGGTGCGCTCATTACAAGACTACACTGTGTCAGCAATTCCGTCTTTCAGCGAACTGGCCCAGCGCCGCAGACGGGTGTCACCAGAGATTACCCAACCTCTTTTGAACACTGCATTACGGCGGGTAACAAGATCACCTTCTCCACTGGGAGGCCATATGCGAAGTTATTCGAGCGGTGTCACCCAGCCGAACGATGCTGTGCCTGAGCAGCGCAAGTCGCGCGTTGACTCCGTACGGCCTGCGCCTGTCGATAACGGCCCAGTCATTGTCAATGGCTCATTCCCTACGCAGCCCCGTCCTAAGGGTGACACGTTCGACACCGTTCCACCTGAGGCGCCACCTTCAGCCCCACTTGCCATGTATCCCGACGACCAGGCCATTCAACAAATCCAACAGCTCCAGGCACGTCAACAATTAGTACTCCAGGAAATGCAGAGGCAAAAGGTGGTAGAGAACATGGGGCCTCCAATTGTCAATGGATCCACTAATGGGCACCCATCAGTGGATTTGAATGGCATGCAGCGCGTACCTAATGAAAAACAGCAGCCATTTCCTGCAGTTGGTGATGCCTGGGTAAACTACGAGATACCCAATACTCACCATAGTGACCGTGTTGAAGACGTATCACCAACCCGCATGGTTCCTCACCCTCAGTGGGCTGCGCCTGCATACACCAATGATCTTCCACCTCTAGAAACGACAAATGCGCAGCGAGCGCATCCCCAGGAGGTCAAGTCTGCAACCATCCCTCTACTGTCACCAGTATTTGAGACCCGCACGCCCTCCCCAACTGCCACACGTTCTTCCGAACTTAGCAAGGTTGTGAACAGCAGCAATGGGCACAAGTCACAGTCAAAGTCAAATAATCATCAGCAGCAACACCGCCGTGGATCGGTGACAAGTGCATCGAACGGCAGTGGCAAGGATAACCGTAATGGCCAGCAACAAAAAGCTACTCAAAACCACGAGCGCACAACCAAAGCGAATGCAGGAAGCTCTAGCCCTAGCTCTTGGCAACAACAAGCTCCCCGTAAGAAGGGGAAGAACAAGAAACCAAGGGCGCCAGAGCAGAAAGCCATGGGCGAGCCATTGCCTGCTAATGCTGCTGATCGGAAAGGTGGTTAATACGTTTCCACTTTCATCATTTGGAGAATGCCTTTTGCGCCGGTTGTGACAGGCCGTACCCGGTTGTTTTTTCTGGATATGCCGAAAGCAAAACAAGATGTCCGCTCTGGTTTGGCGGTCCAGAGTTTTCTTCAGTAACGTCTCTATGCCCAGGTCCCGCAAAGCCATTCGCTACTGTCAGGAGATGCCGTCAGCACCCACGAACTGAACTGCGAAATGTGTAAGGAAAAGAAGAAAAAAAGGAGAAAAAAAAGACTTGCGCCATGATCTCCCACATGGCCTTGACATTGGCATTGTCGTTATACTCGGCGTCGCGAAAAAAGAACGCGGCCGCGCAGAGCGTTGTTTGTTTCTCCCATTTGAGCGGCGTTGTTGACCCTTTGTTCGAGCGCGAAAACACACATGCATGTTATCGCATCAATTTGGAGTTTTTTGCTGTTATTTTTTTCCCTCTCGTACGTTTAGGCTTTCTCTCTCAGGCTCATTTCATACGGGATATATTGGTACGGCAAAGCGTGTGCGTTTGTTTCTTTTTTTACCCCTCAAACACTTGAGGTTACAGGCTGGAAAAGACGCATATGTGCGTGTGCGTGTGTGTTCATTCATGGGCTGGCTCATTTTGATGGTTTCTCTTTTATTGTTATTATGGGATTTTTTTCTCGTCCGGCTCATGGGAGGAGGGAAGGGGTTCCTAAATCATTGGTTCAAGGGATGGTCGGGCGATGGTGAATGGGGGGGGAGGGCGCCATGTATAGATAAAAAAAAAAGAAACGACCAGGAACACAGTGGTTGGTGATGGTGGTGGTGATGAGGAGGGGTGGAGAGGACAAAAGGGTTCCAAATGTCCATATGGCAATGGCTTTTGCTTTGTATTTTTGATGTCTTCTGCGGATCAAAAGGGTAGAGAAATGATAAATTGTTAAAAGTTATGAAAGTGGTTTGGAATGTGTGGTGTATGGACCTTACGATAATACCGCTGACAACTATTGTTCATGCCTTTTTTTTAATAATTTTTGGAGAAGAAAGGCTTTGAAATTCTTTGTACAGATCTTCCCACTCCCTGTACTATGCTTTAGACTATCGTGACTCGTCTCTTCTTTCCCCTTTCCTATCGCGAATGCTTCACTTGTTGTACACTACTTCCTTGTACCACATCATCTTACCCACTCCATCTGCATTGCAAATATCTTTTTTTTTCCCGCTATAAAACACTCCTTCCTATTCTTTCCGTGTAACAGCAACGTAAAGTTGGGTACTGGCTCGTTCATAATCTCGATCACTGTTCAGTACAGTCCTTCCCTGTCATGAAATACGCGGCTTGGCTGGAGACGAATGGAAGAAGCATGTTGCTTGAAGATGGGGGGGAAGGAGTTGGTATTAGGATGGTGTTTAGGTAGAGTGGCTGGTGCGATGGGAGCGTTTACAAGGGTTTATGTTGCTTTTGGGTATGTTTTGTAGCAAGAGTATGTGGGGTGTTTGGTAATTTTGTAGTGTGGATGGTTGATCGGAGGTGGTGGTAATACACCTTGCTATGTGGATGATGTGGTGGTATCGCGTTGACATGATGAGAGTTTTTGCATTGATTTGTGGAGATGTGGGATCATGTCCTGAACATTGCGATTTCTTGCTTTTTAGAATCTTTTACGTGAATGGTATGATGTTCATTGAAGCGGCCAGGCTATGAACGGCTGTAGTGCTACTGACAACCTTGTTTCATAGAGAAGACTTCGCGTTTCTTTTTTTAATCAAGAACCCAGTAAATAAGATTAACTCTCCATCTATGGGGCCTTCTTGTGAAGTCCAGTTGCTTGCAATCGCTAGCTAGTCCAAGTGAATGTCGACGATGACGTCATATGCATTTGTACTTTTACAGGTGCCAGCTCAACGCGTTGCTGTAATGCGCCTCTCCTTGTGCGGCATTGGAATGACCCAGCAAGTGGAGACGCGTCGAAAACTAGCGTGCATATGACGATAAGACTGCGCACGGTTTGATATGGAAAGAAATTGTTGGTCTGGACCTCCGCGACTTCCGATGATACGATCTTACACGTTGCACGCCTGACATACGCTTATTACAACACCACATTGCAAACTCAGCTTCTGGAAAGATTCTTTCTCCGTGAAAATCTCACATACAAAAACAGCTTTTTTCCTTTACCGAAACAGAAATACCCTGCAAGGCTAAGTACTTCTTTTGACTGACGTCATATTGAGACCACTAAATCCTTTCTCGATACCGAGAACAACATGCCGGAGATCATACTCTCAATCAACGCGGGCTCGTCTAGTGTCAAAATATCAGTATACAAGACACCTGAGGATGGCTCTTCGGTACCAGTGCAGCTGGCCGAGGCAACCGTCGAAGGTCTGACCGCGCCTCCTGCGAAACTAAAATACGAGCGCGGTGATGAGAAGATCAAGGGGAAAGAGTTGGAGAATGTCAAATCGCAGGAAGATGGGTTTCGATATATCCTCGAGCACCTGACGAATGACAAGGGACTCAAGGAGCTGAACCATACAGACGATATCCGATTCACATGTCATCGCGTTGTGCATGGTGGTGACTATCCCAGAAGCCAGGTCATTGACAAGGAGACGTACCATCACATTGAGGAACTCTCTGATCTGGCACCACTTCACAACGCTCCCGCACTCACCATTGTCCGAGCAGTAGCAGAGGCTTTGCCGCATGCTAAGAACATTGCCTACTTTGACTCTTCATTCCACAATACGCTACCTGATTACATATGTACATACCCCATTAACCAGGAAGTGGCTCAAAAGAACAAGCTTCGAAAGTACGGGTTCCATGGCATCAGCTACTCATTCATCGTCAATGCTGTAGCCGAACATCTCAAAAAGCCAGTCGATCAGGTCAACATCATCGCACTACATCTCGGTTCAGGCGCATCCGCTTGTTGTATAAAGAATGGAAAATCTCTGGATACAACCATGGGTCTAACTCCTCTCGCTGGCCTGCCAGGCGCCACACGTTCAGGCTCCATTGACCCGTCGTTAATGTTTCACTACACGCACAGCGCGGGAAAGCCGTCGCACAGTTCCAGCGAGAAGATGCACATCACTCAAGCCGAGGAAATATTGAACAAGCAAAGCGGATGGAAGAGTCTAACCGGCACCACGGATTTCGGTAAAATCAGCTCTTCGGATCGGTACGAGGATAAGCTCGCTTTCAACATCTTTGTTGATCGCATTCTCAACTACGTCGGTCCGTACTTCACGAAGCTGGATGGCGAGGTTGATGCGCTTGTTTTTGCGGGAGGCATCGGCGAGAAGGGGGGGAAATTGAGGCAAGCCGTTGTGCAGGGCGTCAAGTGTCTGGGGTTTGCGGTTGACGAAAAGAAGAATGAGGCTCAGGTGGAGGATGTGGTCACGGATATAAGTGCTAGTGGTGCGAGATTCAAGACACTGGTTGTCCAGACGGATGAGCAATTGGAGATGGCAAGAGGTGTGTTAGTGGATAAGGACCGTTTTGTGGGGAAGAAATAATTTTGATACGAGTTACATGTCTTTGGCAATGAATACAACTTCTAATATTTGTTCGTGCGTGTGTTGTTACAGATATTGAAACGTTTGTACATGTGTATAAAGGGTCCACGTCCTCCTGAGATTATTTCGGTATGGTGGCTGAGGAAATGATGTTGGTAGATGCTCATGGTGTATTGGAAGTAGAGCCTGGGTGCCATCTATGTATGCTTAGTTCGATACCCGAAACACTAAAAATATGAGACTGTACTACCATTGTGCTTTGAAATCCATCTTCTCCATGCTATCCTGAAAACAAGAACGAATATGGGTATCGTGAGTTGTACGAGTAGAGTGACAAGGGCTATACGCGCTTCGAGGGACCAGCTAGCCATGCCGATGGATTGTACTTGAGGGAAGGATGATGGGGGTTTGGGTGCCTTGAGGTGAACGAATGTCTTTGTTCATGGTGCATGATGGTGATGATGAGCACGCTTTAGATACACAACTCTAATCCAGAATCTGGATGTAGTCACATTTTCTAAGGGACTGATAAAGACATCGCACAAGAGTTCTTGTGGCGCAGTATATCCAGATTCTGGTGTTTGGCCTTCTGTCGTGTTTTGGGAAACCAGATTCTGGTATTAGGCGCGTGTATCTAGTGTCATGGGAAAGTGAAGGGTACGTAGATTCCGAAAGTCCGATCTTCCGAAAGACCAATCCCCAGTCGCCTATTACCTCTTGCGTATTAGTTCTACAGCACGCCGATCGAACAGTCTCGATTACATCAAATGTCTATCCTATGACCCTTCTACTCATGCTGTGTTAGTATGCGTAGCAGAATTATTGTAGCGGTGACGTGGGACCAACGTCGCGTTCGAGGCTGAAACGAGGTTATCACCACAATCTGCTCAATTCCAGATTCTGGTCTACACTGCAATGTTCTGGATGGTCTGTGTGTTGATCAGAATGCGTTGTGTCGCATATATTCACATTGTGGCTGATGCACGTGATATTGATTGGTCGGATCAAAGAGTGAGGCGGAGCAACCGGTCAAGCTCAGCCTTCAGCCCCCAAAGGACTCGAGAATGCTCATCCAATCACTTGATTTCCAGATTCTGGATTGTTAATCAGGCGCTCTTCTTCCTAGAGCCCATTTCCCAAAATCTGTTTTCACAGATACCATATTCCTGATTCCCAATTCCTGATTCCCAGATCCTCTTCTCAGATCCACTATTTAGAGAAGTGCTTGATCCCGTCCTGAAGAGTTTGGAGATATTGCAAACCCATTTCCTTCTTCTCCAGCCTTGTAAATTGTAATCCAATCATGCCGAAGACGAACCACCCCCGAATAGCTCCAACAGAATGGCAAAATCGCAAGGAGACGATCCAGAAGCTATATCTATCCGAAGACAAGAGCTTGATGGGAGAAGGTGGCGTGATCGAAACTATGAAAGGGAAGGGTTTCTTCGCAAGGTAAGATTGTAAAATTCATCGTGTAGGATCTTTTAATTGACCTAAATTATTCAAGTAAACCACAATACGAAGCACAGTTCATGCGATGGGGCTTTAAGAAGAAATTGACTCGCGAAAACTGGCATACCATTGGGCACATCATCAAGAACCGGGACAAACTTGGGCGTGTTAGCCACGTATACGCATATGGGACGAGGCTTTCTAGCGACAAAGTGAAGAAAGAGACGTCCCGGTATAAGGCGTGCGATGCAAACAAAGAGTGCTGCACAAATCAGACGTTGCCTGTTGGCATTGAGGTCCAGTCAGATGAGAAGGAAGTTGAAGAAACAGCCATCAACCTGGAAGCCCAGAATACCCATCTAAGCAACACATCAGCCACGCGACTTTCGATAGAGCTGAATGCTCTTGGGGCACCCTGGAATCTGGCACTCGGTTCCGACCCTTTTCAGGCAATTGATTGCCAAATTCCTGATAACATGCTCCTTGCCAATCTTCCAACTCCTATTCCGATCGATGATTTGTCCCCAAATGTCAATTTATGGGAGACCGGATCGTTGGTATCGTACTCCCAGCAAAGTCCATTCAATCGATGCCACGATGTTGCTGGAAACTCGTCTCTTGGAATATCAAGGCTCGGGAAAGCATTTTCTATACCTATGAACACCATGTCTTTATTCAGTAACCTCAATATCCCCCTATTTCACGAATTCCGGGCTTTGTTGAAAGATAATCAACCCAAGATCTTTGCTTCAATCCATCAAATGAGACATTTACTCCCCAGTGAACCGAACCAACTTCAGAAGGCCTCTATGGATCTGGTCATACTGAAGCAGATACTATATCTTCTCTTGAACAACTTTGCTGGCTCCGACTACGCAGTGTTCGACACCATCTTCGAGCAAGTCAGACAGTTTCCTATTGCTCACATGGAGGGTATGCTGGAGGCACTACCTCATCCATATGCAGCAGCACTTCAGCAAAGTATCTTGACTATTGCTATCAAGTCCAACATACCGATCCTCGTAGAGGTCATTGTGAGAAGAGGTCTCGACAGTAATCGAGTCACTTGCCGCTTTGGTGGCGAAACATTCACGCCTCTCGGATTAGCATGCCAGTTTCGTCGCCTGGAGGTCGTGGAAGTTCTATTACGCGCAGGTGCTGATACCAACAGAACTGTGCATAATCTTTCCGAACAGACACCCACTTGGCTTTTGATTAAAGGAGACATCAAAAATCATGGTGAGGCTAGCTGCCCACCAGTTGTGAGCAATATTCTGCAACAGCTTCTTGATCATGATGCTAGGATGAACTGGCAAGATCTGAATCATGGCGCATTTTGGAAAACTGATATGCTTGTAGATGTTTTTATACATCACAATAAGTTTCCCTTCAATCGCGTTAAAGCACTCAAGTCCTACGTGGCGCGTGTATTTGAGATGATCATGGAGTTCAAACAAGAGGAAAAAATCCCACATATACTTCAGTCAATCTTTAGGAACGATCCAGTTTCACTGAATGAGAGTTCTATTGTCAAAGAATCAGTCGTCAAACTCCTTGGAAACGCTTCGTACAAGGGCAACTTGGGTTTGATCGACTATCTTCTCGAACGGCTAGAATTGACTCCAAGCTCTACAGATCTGTGTGAGGCTGTTCGCGGAAATCAGCCACTAGTGGTCACAAGGTACATTCAGATGGGAGTGGACATTGATGGACTATGCAATCCTTCAAGAAGTCAAAGATTTTTTGCGAAAATCCTCTCTTCTGATGCAGATACGTATCTACTGGAGGGTTGTTCGATTAACTTAAGATCTATCACACCATTTGCTGAAGCTATCAGATGGGGCAACCAAGGAATGATTGACCTGTTAAAGAGTTTGGGTGTTCTCAACGCAACTATGAACGAACAAAATTTCGAATCTGTTATAACTGCTGCTGCTGAAACGGCAAATGCAGACCTAGTCCAAGAACTACTTGCAATGCGCAAAAAAAGGTTTTTGAAAACCTCGAATTCTCTCATTGTCAGAAACCATTGGGGTTATCAAACAATGAATCAACATCTCAGTGCGGCTGTGACTGCTGCTGTTTTGCGAGGTCGTAAAGACATCGTCGAACTTTTAATGGCGAACGGCGTGCGACCAGATTTCCACAGTGTTGTGGCTGCAATTTTGACGCGCGATTTACAGCTTTTCGAATTATTGCTTGACACAGCAATTTATTCCGCTTATTCTGGGCTTCTAACATTTGCTGTACGTTGGGGTAATCAACATGTTATGAAACTATTGATGGTTCGTGGAATCGATCCTAGTCACAAAGGCATCCAGTGGGGCTATCTGGGATTCTCTCAAGAACTGCAGGAGACAATCGGTTCACCTCTATATGAAGCCATGAAAAGAGGCGATACCGAGATTTTCCAGCTGCTACTCGACAACGGGGCGAATTGTAATTCGTCTGATAGTGACATGTCAACTTCACCTTTGAAAGAAGCTATCGATTGCGGTCGCGAGACATTCACCTACAAACTGCTCGCTTATGGTGCGGACCCAAGAGATTCCGGTGCACTCAAAGCTGCTGTGAGAAAATCTCATCAACTGGTTATAGTAATCCTGAGATCGTTTAGAGAAAGATACCCTGATAACAATGGAGCATTCGCAATCCCAGTCTTGCGAGCAATGATCAAGGAAAAGAACGAGACCATGGTTAGAACTCTCGCAACCCATGCCCCTCTGAATATCATCGAATTCAGAAAAGACACATTTCAGCTTCCTCAGGATCGAGAATTGCTCACACTACTTGGTCAGGGAATTAATACAGGTAGCGTCAAGATTGTGCAAATCCTCCTGGAGTGCGGGGGCGATCCTAATAGTACAGTCGAAGTTGCTGGAGATAGTCCATATCGAGGCCGATACAATGCCATTTTGAAGGCGATATCGACTGGAAACCTCGCTATGGTGGAACTTTTACACAAAGCAGGGGCGGACTTGAAGTTCAGCGCAACAGTTGGCATAACCCACACATCACTACAACTGGCCATTGATCTGGGCCATTTTGAAATTATTCAGTACCTTCTGGATCAAGGCGTCGATGTCAACGCACCACCTTGCATCTGGGGAGGGGGGACAGCCCTACAGTTCGCTGCCAAAACTGGTTCCGTCCGTATTGCAGAAATGCTTTTCGAACGCGGTGCCGACATCAATCATACAGGCAGCAAATACAGGGGAAAAAGTGCATTCGAATTTGCAGCAGAGCATGGAAGGATGGATATGCTACTATGGCTCTTCCATCGCGGCGTGGATATTGTATCAGACGGCGGGGAGCGAGTCCGTAGAGCGTGCGAGTTCGCTGAAGAAAACGGACAGATAGCGTCAAGAGATCTGGCTGAGCAGCTCGGTAGGGAAGCACAACAGAACTTTGTCTCTACTTCATATCAGACTTTCTGGTAGGAGATCCAGGCCGGTGTACAGGAAGTAGTTACATAGTCAATCGCATTACCAACCAGATCTTGATCCTATGCTCATGAGTGTTGAGATGGATAGTTTTTGGATGCTCAAAATACTACTACTGGCACGAAGGAGTGTCCAAGATACGCTACATGTATTGAGAAGGTCAATGGCTGTAATCACGTAGGGTGGAATCTGGGTGCCAGCATACGAACGAGGTGCATGAAGGTAAGGTGCTGGAAAACAGAGATTACTGTGAAGGCGAAAATACAGATAGGCATTACTATCAAACTACTGCGACTAAGGACGTAGAAAGGGGAAGTGGCGTTCTGTTTGACCTATTTATGCGTATGAGCGCACAGGGTTGGGGCCACGTTGCTGAAGCTATTATGTACCTCATTTTTAAGACAACTATGATAAGAAACATGCCGAGCGTAATCTGATGGATAAATGATCGATACCGGACACGCGTTGTAATCAATAACGCCAGCAACAGGTGTATTTGGAAGCAAGAAGGGCTGTGTACTCAAGAAAATCATCACGTGATCCTGTAATTGACAGCCACAGCCAATGAAGGCTTCTCGTGGCCCGAGGGTGTTGCTTACCAACGCTCGGCAGACCCGGATGTTGGTGCATCCGGCTGCCGGTTACATTACAAACCTCACTTTCCACTCTCGCGTCGCCATTACAGTCAGCGCGAGCATAACATTTTTGTCCATTTTTCGGCCTTTGGTTTGAAGACTGTATTAGAGATGTAGAAGTGCTTCAGAGTTTCGGTCCGTCTTCACGGACAGATGTGAATATATGCCTCACGTTTCATCTGCTTCATCTTGCTCAATATCTTACGTTTTAGCATCTCTTTCCCAAGATACCCATCAATCTGTTTATTCTTTGACATTCAATCATGACTGAAGAGCGCAACATCATCGTGCTCGGCGCTTCAGGCGCCGGTCTTCAAGCAACCCACTACATCCTCAAGCACATACTACCTGCTCTCAAAGCTAAGAATGATGCCAAGTACCACGTCTATACCATCGCGCCGTCCTCGACTTGGTACTTTAGAAATGCTTCGCCTCGCGTCGCAGCTTCAACTGACCGCATGTCGACCGAAAAAGTCTTGTTCAATCTACACGATGCGTTCAAGCAGTACTCCAAGGAAGACTTTAGCTTTGTCGAAGCTACTGCAACTGGTCTTGACACATCAGCACAGAAAGTCTCGTATCGCAGCAAATATGGAAAAGAGGACCAGACTTTGCCATATCACGCCTTGATTGTTGCTACGGGCAGTAGCACCTACTTCCCTGCCTTTTCCATGAGTGGAGATGCTCAAGCTACTCTTGACTCAGTCGCTTCGACCAACGAGAAGGTGGCGTCAGCGAAGAAGATTGTCATTGCTGGAGGCGGAGCGACAGCCGTGGAATTTGCTGGTGAAGTTGCCGAGCATCGCAATGGCAAGCCGGGATGTTTTAGCAAAGTCGAGCCAAAAGTCGAGGTCACCTTGATCACATCTGATGCGAAGCTCCTCCCTGGTCTACGCCCTGCAATTGCCGAAACAGCAGAGCGCAAGCTCAACGCTCTTGGTGTAAAGATTATCTACAACACACGTGTGACCGAGTCCACGTCCAAAGAAGACGGTCAGACGGTAATGACGCTCCAGAATGGGGACAAGCTGGCTGCAGATCTCTACGTGCCTGCCTATGGTGTTCGACCAAACTCTTCATGGCTTCCGAAAGAGCTTCTGGATGACAAGGGCTACCTCATTACCAGCTCTACTCTTCGCGTTGATGCAGCGGGTCCCCGTGTGTATGCCCTTGGCGATATCGGTTCCTACTCACGCAACAACTACTTCGATATCTTGAATGGTCTACCTGTTCTTGTCACCAACCTCAAGCGCGACTTACTGTCTTTTGACCCCGCACGCCCTGATGAGAAGCCCAAAGGAAAAGACCGGGAATTTAAGCCCGACACAAGGGAGTCAATGGTAGTCCCGATTGGAAGCGGTGGTGGCGTTGGCGTTCTCATGGATTGGAAGCTCCCAAATTTTGTGGTCTGGCTAGCTAAGGGTAGAGATTATATGGTGGGTATGAGTGGGCTTTCTACGTCAGGTGGCGACAGTGTCAAGAAGGAGGTCAAGTGGACTGCTGAGGAGGCTGCTATTTGATTGTTGCAGAAGTCATGCAGGCGTTAATGAGCGTTCTGGGTTTCTAGCTCTATATCCTTTTTTTGGTAGTTATCATTAGCCATACCTTAGAACTTAATACATTGATATTTTCCGAGACAGTGGCATGCTTGGTGAATGTGCTAGGGGTTGAAGAGGTTGGGAGTGGCTGCCCCGCGGAGAATAATGCAGGACGATTGGTTTCGAGCTCGCACCACCACATCACGGCGCGCTCCGCGTCTACACGACTCCCGCCTATCCTTGCACCCCACGTACGCGGCCCCAATGCGGGGTGAGTAACAGATCAAATGGACTTCGTGCGTATGGTCGACAGCAAAAGGGTGAAGTGGAAGCTGACTGGATACAGTGGGTGAGGCTACTTGGCGGCTCGTCCCAGAAGAAGAAGCAGATCGCGCCAAACAACCCGCAGCAGCGGCTGGCACGCTTCCGGCAGCGATACAACCAAGTTCTGGTATGCGAGTGCGTCGATCCTATGATGCCCATGACCTGACAGACAGCAGCAAGCATGGCAAAAGGCAACCAACCTCGCAAGCGACCGCGAAGCGCTGGGCAACATCCGCCGTGGCTTCCAGGCCCTCACCGCGATCCTCAGTGATGAGTCCCGATCACCCGCACCCCACATGTGCCTGCAGTTCGCAGCCGCCCAGCAGATATACACGGCTGTCTCCAAGATAGCAGCCACTGCGCACGACGAAGGCACCGTTAGGGACGCCGTCGCATTCTACAATGCCCTCATCGATAGCGAGGAAGAGGACTTTCTCGAGAATGATGTCTTCGCAGCCTCCCTCATGAACTTCATCGATCGGACAATCGGATCTGGCAGTATAGGTATTGGTGAAGACATTGAGGCCGACATTGTCGAGCTGCTGTTCGGCATTGCGGCCAAAATCAGGTTACAGCCAGAGATCCTGCATGTCTGGTTCACCACCACATCTGCAGACAGCCAAAGACGACTGCTCAACCAGAAAGCCGATTTTGCGGGTGTCACACAAAAAGAAGATTTTCCGCTGTGCTATCAGCTCATTGATCACGTCCATCACGAAGGTCGTATCGGAGACTTTGCGCGCACTGGCCTACTATACATATTCGAGTCTGCGTCCAGGTCTATAGATCTGGAGCAGTGGATAGTGAACAGTGACCTCCCTACACTCATGGCAACTGGACTAGGAGCATTGTACAGTCAGATGAGCAGGTAGGACATATATTCACTCTCTGTTTCTAGAACAAGCTAATATGGCGCAGGAAACTGTCTATCCTACATCCCCCGCAAGATCTGCCTCTTATACTGTCTCTTTCTGACTACCCCGAGATGAAATCGAACCCACAGGCAGAGAATTTCTTCAGTGTCGACTTTCAGGGCCATCTTCTTACATTCCTGTCTTACCTTGCGTTCTGGCAAGATGTATTGGAGCATTGCAGATCCGCCGACGTCAGAGTCACACTGATTGACCACTTCCAAGCCTTGTTCCTTCAGCAGCTCTTGTTTGTTTTCACCATGCACCCCTTGCATGCATTCTGCTAATCTCATATAGGTATCCTTCGCTACTAGAATCATCCGATGCTGATGGCGGTTCCTCTGTTGCAGTGCTTACATATCTCCGCCATATACTGGACGGTCTGGACCATCCCGAGCTTGTACACATGATGCTTCAGTATTTGCTAGCGTTACTGGACTATACAACTTCTACAGCGCCACGTTCACCCGCCGCTGTCAAACGACGCCAGTCGCTCATGCTGCTCAGTGCAACAGACAAAGATGACGACAAATTCAACCCATCGCTTTTCAATCTTGTCGATCTTGTGCTGGGCAGCACTGCCTCTCGAAATCCACAGACTGTCACCGCAGCGTTGAAGTTGACAACAGTGATTCTGAGCAAAAATCACAGCTATGCGCTTGGGTCTCTTGTAAAGGTCATGGCTATTCACCACAAAGAGCATCATAGGACGGTCGGATCACTGAACAAGGAACTCGAAATGTACCTCAACGTTGCTGTGGACCTTGCCGGTCTTGAAGGTGTCGATGAGGCTTATGACAGCTATCTCAAGGATGTGTTGAGCCTACTGGAATCTCATCCTTGTTCGCTGAAGACGATTGGCATACCATCCATGTCTGGGAAGAATCAAGGATACTTTGACTCAACTGAAGCCTCGGCTAGGGATGTTGACCCGCATCACCTGCTCCCAGAAGACCCACTCTTCCAAACCATGATTGACTTACTGCTAACATTCCTCACAAACGATGTTGAGACTAATTTGGCACTTACCGAGGCAATTATCACGCTTGGAACGTGCTCTCAGCTGCGTCTGGAAGGCTGGCTGTCTGTGGATCCTGCCGACTACCACTTCGAGAACAATAACTCCGGAGTAGAGTCGTTCTCGAATGAAAATTTGCGGGCCATGTACATGGCTGAAAGGCTTCCAAATTGGAATCCAGCAGCCACACCCCAGTTGCTGGCGTGCTTGCAACAGCTTCAGGCTCAAGTCAATGCTCTCCGGAGCGACATCAAGGACTGGGATGAGCAGGTTGCTAGTCGTAAAGACACTTTCCGCATCCACCAAGACATAGAAGAGGAGTCCAAAATGTCTACACCTCAGTCAAAATCCGTTAGAGCTCCTTCCGAAACACCAGCTGGGTCCTGGACGCCACAAATACCAAAACATGTTCTGGACCCACCAAAGACGCCTTCACGAGCTCAGTCTCCTCGGGGAAGAAAAGAAGCACTTGCAGCGTCAAGAAATACGCCTGGGGGATCTCCTGTTCCCTCGAGATATGGCGGTCAAACTCTCGTTGGCTCACCTGCTCGAGCGGCGTCCCCTCTATCAGTGCAGAATGTCAGCATCCTACAGCCGTCGCTCATGTCCGATGTGGACGCCAGTATAGCACAAATTAGGATGAATCAATTTGGCAAGAGACGCATTCGCTTTCGGCGCGCAGCTGGGTCAAAAGAAGTTGAAGTCATGCTATCCAAGTTCCAGCCGCCACCCAAGGAGCCTTCTGAAGACACAACAGATAGCGCTGAAGAGAGGGAGGAAGATGATATTCGAGAGGCGAGCCTAATGCATATCATTACGAACGTGGTGATTCTGCAAAACTTTGTGCTGGAGCTCGTGGCATTGATGCAAGTCAGGGCTAGCTTGTTTAATGAGGTCAAGTTTCTTTAAGGGTGTAGTGCTTGTTGTGGGGGTGTTTTCGGTTTAGTAGCACGAATATACCCATTTTCATGTCTGTGTCTCGGTCTTTCCATCCACATGGCGGTCCACGATCATCCGTACACGAATGCAAGAACGGCAGGGACCCGCACGTGCTGTGTTGTTCCGAGGTATTCTCGCGCACGTGCATCACCAACCCGCCTTACGGAAAACACAGGGCTGCATCGGAAATGTTGCCGGGTGCCCCTCAAACGTCATTCTCCCACACTTTCACATGTCGATCATTCCACCCCTCATCCACCATCCAACTGCCATATGTGCGAGCTCGTGAAAGCGCACCAACCATGATCCAACCAAGAACCAAAACCCGCCTTTTTTTCTCCTCTCGTATTCTGTTAGGACTGCCTCCCCACGAAAGCCACAATGAGCAATTAATTGTTATAGGGGCTTTGGGAAGCTCGGTTATTGCATAGTTCCATGTGCCGATCCCCGGCCGAACGACATCAGCATATCGTAACTTCCGCTCGTCCACCAAGGCAGAATCCGGGGTATGCCAAGTGTTCCCGTTAGTTACCAGGCTAGGTCATACCAAACACAGACGCGTGCCAGTCTAAACTCAGACATTCGGCCTGGGCTCACGCAAGGGCCGAGGCTGGTGGGAGCGAATGGAAGCAGTCTGACCTCTGCTACCCGCGGGTAGCTTCTGCTCAGCCCTGGTAAGAGAATATTACTGACAGAATGTCCTTGCTCTTTCTTTCTTGACTCACAGTTCTTCTCCTTTTTTGGTTCCTCATCTTCTGCTTGGTGCTTCTTGATACCCATCTGGTAGCTGTTGACTTCTTATATTTTTCCTCCTTTGGTTTGAGTGTAAGGTTTTACACTAAGTCTCGTCGGAAACGCGGAGATTCTCAAATTGAAATTGAATACAACTTGGCTCGGTTTGCTACTATCAAGAGGCTTGAGTAGTTGTTGAGTTTAGCTTCGCGCAACTAGCACTTTACTTTCAGAGGGAGTAGACACCAAGACCATACAACATGTCTGCAAAGTCGGTACAAGGGCCCAATGGCAAGAAGCCCGCATCGGCGGCCACCAATCTGATCGGTAAGCTACATGGTCAGTGTATGCTCCCCAATGGCAAAGACTGAACATTTTGTGTAGCTGGTGGTGGTGCTGGTATGATGGAGGCGCTCGTGTGCCATCCTCTGGGTAAGCTTTACAGTTACCGAGAAGTAAATTGACTCGTCATAAATCTGACAAAATATTAGATACGATCAAAGTTCGAATGCAGTTGTCAAGACGAGCTCGCGCGCCAGGAGTACGTTCCACCTCATATCTGCACACCACACGACGGGACAATTGCTGATGTAGCACTGTAGGCGAAGAAGCGCGGCTTTATTACTACTGGCGCCGAGATTGTGAAGAGAGAAACAGCATTGGGTCTATACAAGGGTTTGGGCGCGGTGTTGACTGGAATCGTCCCGAAGATGGCCATACGATTTACGAGTTACGAATGGTACAAGCAACTGCTAGCGGACAAACAGGGCAATGTCGCGTCAAAATCTACATTCATGGGTGAGTTTCTTACATTTCTAGCTTCAGTTGCCCTGCCGCAATTTCATTAGAAAGATATCAGCCACGACCAATACTAACTACACACAGCTGGTCTCGCCGCCGGAATCACAGAAGCCGTTCTTGTCGTCACTCCTATGGAAGTGGTAAAGATCCGTCTGCAAGCCCAGCACCACTCCATGGCAGACCCGCTCGATGTGCCGAAGTACCGAAACGCCGCTCATGCGATGTACACTGTTGTCAAGGAAGAAGGCGCTGGTGCATTATGGCGCGGTGTCTCGCTCACTGCTCTGCGCCAGGGAACCAACCAAGCGGCAAACTTCACGGCATACTCTGAGCTGAGGGCACAATTGCAGAATTATCATGGCAGCACCGACATTCCCAGTTACCAGACAAGTATGATTGGACTGATAAGCGGTGCTGTGGGACCTTTTACAAATGCACCCATTGATACCATCAAGACGAGGCTGCAGAAAACGCCTGCTGAGGCAGGCCAAAGTGCCTTACAACGGATTACAAACATTGCAGGGTAAGATGTTAAGCTATTGTATACTATCCACACGAACTAATCAGGCTGGCAGTGATATGTGGAAGCAAGAAGGAGTCCGAAGTTTTTACAAGGGCATCACACCACGCGTTATGCGAGTCGCTCCTGGTCAGGCTGTTACATTTACTGTGTACGAATATCTAAAGGGTGTTCTGGAGCGTGGACGAGAGATGCTACCGGGGGGCCAGTACGAAGAGTAGGCTGAGACTAGGTGGGGTAAGTGTAGGAGGTAATTTATGACTTCTTGTACTACTTTGAATAGCGAACGTAAAATGATTGATTGCATTTGGAAATGAACTTCTTTTTTACCTACATGATTCATGCTTATATCAGGCCATTTCTAGGAACAGGAAAGTATGGCAAAAGCAGGGACTGCCAAGTGCATCCGCCATTCACCCCACTTGCCCCACGTACCCATGCATCACAATGCTACGTCAGCGTAAACAAGCAGAGTTGTCAATTCAACAACCTATACCCCACCACGCTCATCTGAACACCAATTTCGCCAACAGAGTTTGTTCACAATAAAGTTTCATACAAGATGCAGTCCGGCATCTCCGGTACTGCTACCTAAATTCCCCATTCTGAGAAACACCCCTAACAATGTGCAACAGCTTCCCAAGAGCTTAAATCTGCCCTAGGCAGCCTTATAACATCGACCACCCAACGCGGTATCCTAGCAACAATCCAGAAGGAAACCATTGTACCCAGCGGCACAATATCCTCGAGCGCCTCGACCTTTGTCGACGATCTCTCGAATCTCCAACCCCACGTCAAGGACAACGCGGCGTTGTACATTCTCCTACGCCGTGCCGACAGCCTGAGCAGCTCAGATAAGAGCCTGGTGGCAGTGACATATGTCCCCAATGCGGCGCCCGTACGACAAAAGATGCTCTTCGCATCCACAAGGTTGACCCTTGTGCGCGAGTTAGGCGGTGAACACTTTGCAGAAAGCATCTTCACAACCGAAGCATCCGAGTTGACAACTGAAGGCTGGGAGAAGCATGTGGCTCACACCGAGTCTGAGAACCCATTGACGGCCGAAGAGCAGTCGCTGCAAGACATCAAGGCCGCCGAGGCGCTGGAGAGCAGGGGCACGCGGGGCCAGAGTCTTGCTCAGGGCGGCAAGTTGGCAATCCGTTCTGACAATGAAGTCGCGGAGGTATTGAAGAAGCTGGGCCAGGGAGGTGGAGACAACCTCGTGCAGCTGAGAATGGACGGTGCGTCTGAGACGTTGAAGCTGGTATCTTCATCGTCGGCTACGCCATCATCCATCTCTGGGTCAGTTGATACAAAGGAGCCGCGATACGTGTTTTACCGCCACAACGACCCAGATGCGTCGATCGTCTTCATTTCGACGTGTCCTAGCAGTGCGAAGATTAGGGAACGCATGATTTACGCTGCGAGTCGGGGTAACGTGGTGTCGCTTGCGCAGAGCGACGGTGGCCTCAAAGTGCTGAAGAAGCTCGAAGTCACGAATCCAGATGAGATCACCGAGCAGATTATCATGGACGAGTTCAAGGAGGAGAAGAAGGAGGAGAGTAAAGGATTTGCCAAGCCCAAGAGGCCAGGACGCCGATAAAACAAGGCTTACATGAATGCATTTTGGATTGCAATGAGGATCATAGATTCAAGATGTATGCTGGTAAATACGCTTGAAATGAGAGAAAAAAGTATATCCCAATCGACATATTCATTTCTCTCCCTCTTTTAAGTGTGCTTGCCCTCCACACATACAAAACATCATAATACTTGAATCAAGACACCCCTACTCATCCCCATCCCTCAAGAACCCCCGATTTCCATGCGGCCTCCTCTCCATCCTCCCAACCCTCACAACCCCACCCTTTTTACCCACCATCCTCTTCTCCACCTGCCTCCCCTTGAGCCAATGCTCTCTCACATTCTTCGAATCCCGATTCACCTTTGGCGGCATAACCTTGTTCTGCTGCGCCAACACAGCGACGTTGAGTTTACCCTTTTTGACATCCTTAGCGGGCTTGTCGGTGCGCTCAAGGAACTTGATATGCTGGTTCAGCTTCTCTTTTCGCTTTTCCTCTTCGGTTTTGCCGCGGCGCTCGGGTGGGGGCGTGGGCGGGCGCTGATCGTCGATTGTGGCGAGAAGGGAGGCGGGGAGGAGGCCGTTGGATGTGTCGATTTGCGTGGGGTGTTCGGAGTCTGATTCTTGCTCGGCAAAGAGAGCGTTTGTAGCTGCTGCTTTGGCTTCTTTAGCAGCCTGCCTGGCGAGTTTCTTTGCCTTCTTTTCTTCACGCTCGCGCTTGGCGGCTTGTTGGGCGGCGAGGAATTCTTCGCGGGCTTTGCGTCTGGCGTCTTCTTTGGCTTGTTGGGCTCTTTGAGCGCGATCGGCTTCGGCGCGGGCGGCGAGGGCTCTGGAACTTGCAGCTGCTGTGGTAACGACTTCGGGAGCTTCGTCGTCTGAATCGCTCGCGTCGTCTTCGTCCGCTTGGGGTGGCTCGACTACAGGCTCTGCGGCTTCGTAACGCTTGCTGCCTTGCTTGTTCATGACCGGTGAGGCTGGTTTCGGCGCAGGCTCCTCGCTGCCGAAGCGCATGTGTGCCTTCTCAGGCTGCGCTGAGGGAGGTGCAGCGTCTTGCGAGGGTATAGGTGCCATTTCGCTCTCGTAGGTAGAAGACGGTACCTCGTCGGTTGCTTCGACAAGCTCCTTTTGTGGTGTCTTCTTGGAACGCCCTCTCCCCTTCTTCACCGCCGTTGATGGTGTCTGATCATTCAGAATTTTAGCTTTTGGCGTGGGCGAGCCCTCGGGCCGCTTGTGTGTAGCTGGCGTGGCATAAACGGACCCGGGGACTTGTGTTGGTGTGTAAAATGCAGGGTTTTGCACAGTCGATGGTACTTCATATTCCTTTTCTACGGTACTGGATGATTGATGTGAAGCGTCGGCGCCAACGACTACTTGCGGGCTTGATTTTTGGCGAGCTGGCAAACCGCTTTGCTTGGGTGTCTCGGGCGCTTCTGATTCTTGCGCATTGGCGGTAATCGTGTCCGAGGTATCGTTTGAAGATTCTTGTGAGGGCTCATCTGTGGATTCTTCTTTTCCTTTTGACTCCGCTGCAATTCCCTTCTTTGGTGTGGCCTTGGGTGCCTTTCTTTGCCTCTTCGTCTGCGTCGGTGTTTCCAGCGACTCCAGTTCTCTCTTTCCGACCTGCTTTCTTGTAGAGCTGCGTGGCGTGGGCGTCGGTGCGCCTGGCGTCTCTGTTCCTCCTCGTGTTGTGACCATTGCGACCGCGATACTGTGGACCTGGCTGTGTCCTGACGAAAGCGCAGCTTGGATTCGGGGTGTCTGAGTTGGGGCGCAACTTTCTTCGCGACACCAAAAAAGATTCTGGCGCGCCAAGATTTCGCGGCCATTGCGGACCTCCGAGACCAACTAGACATCACTATGTCCAACTTACACCCACACGCTTGTCACGAAAGGCATTCCTGACACAGCCATGTCCATCTCTCGAATTGGACGGGACTCAATAAGAGCTGTGGAAAAAATTGAGCATTGTCTCATTTGCCAATTTCGTCAATTGACCAGAACAACTCAGCACAAGGGCGCTGCAAGACTGATATCATCTTCACATCGACAAAAGGCTAGCGCTCCAATTCAGATCCGGAAATATGCTACCAAGCCGAGATTCGATGCCCCCAAAGCCCGGGCTGATGTCGACGAGCGAAGCCGGTTAGGCTTCTATACACTCGCTAAACAACAGGGCACTCTCAAGATGGAGCCTCGCATAGCGCAGAGTCTGTATCAGGACTTTGTTACACATAAGAGTAAAATGGAACATGGAACCAACGTTCTGCGATTAGTGAAGAGTACGTTTCGAACCCACTATCCAATGTGACCTTGGAATGCTGATATCAACAGAGTACAATGTCGCACTTGACGATGTTTCCTCTCTTGGGATCATAACTTTCAAAATACCTGACATCAGCGACCCTGTCAAGAGAGCTCAAATTCCCCCAAGTCAGCACAAAGCCATTTCTGGGCTGCTTCTTCAAGGGTGTGCCCAGGCTGGTGATCCTCTGGCAACTGTACATATCCTGACTGCTGTCTATCTAAGCAGCGCAGGAGACGAATCTGTGCAAGAGCTAGCACGCCTTTTCCCACGTCATGAAATCCCAAGATACCGCCAGACATTAGAGAGCTTCGATCAACAAACACTGGAAAAAACTACTGCTCTATGGCCAGAAGTATTGACTCTGAAAGGACTTTTTCTTGAGCAAGAAGGCCAAAGAATTAAAGCAAAGGAAGCATACCAGCAGGCCATCAATCCCTCTAGTCTCAAATATGAACCTGGATCAAGACACCCCATGCAACTGCCACTAATTGCACCGTGGAATGCCCTGGGTTTCTTATTAAAATCCGAAAAAGATCCAGAAATGCAAGCTGAAGCAAAGACCCCATTTGAGCTGGGTGCTCTGAAAGGTGATGATCCGCTCTCGTATTACGAGCTTGCGGCTTTCGAGCCGAGAGCAAGTGAGAAGTGGTTGCAATACACTAGTAAAGCAGCAGCATCCGGTCATCAGCAAGCCATGATTAATCTCATCGACTTTTACCAGGAGGTCGCAAAGACTGAGTCTCCAATTCTTAAAGATGGCGGTATACGCAAAGCGCTCAATTGGCTGCTAGGATGGAAGCCTGGCAGTGCTGCAGCATTAGCGCGGGAATGGCTTGAGGCTGCATCTAACGCTGGCCACAAACCTTCTATGCTGCAGCTTGCAGATTATCATGACTCAAAAGGTGATCATCAACAAGCAAAGGAATACCTGCGACAAATACTCGAAGTCCCGAGTGCAGCCAATCAAAAGGAAGAGTGGCCGCAACTCGTTCAACTTGCAAGGAAACGGCTTGCTGGGATCAGGTAGAAGCATGTTGGTTCGAAGTCCAGTCAATTTCTAGTCACTACACTTTGTTTAGCAAGGAAGACAGTTTTTTAGTAATATCCTTGACAATGCAGTGTCTCTATCTATGAGATCACACAAGTCTACCCCGCTTCGGCAAGTGAGATGCTGGCCTTCCTTATCTGGCTCTCTGATAGCAGCCATGATATTTGAGTATGCGGGAGGTTCTTTTCAGCTTTGTTCATCTTACTTACAATCCTCCCAAACCTGTACACATCTAAATTTGACGAAAACTACTCGTGACCTATATCACACTATTTCGACTTTTGCCACAATTATGGCTTCCGCCACTGCAACCAAATTCAACCGCAAAGCCCTAATAGGATCATCCACAAGCTTTTGGTCTCACGCTTCGCAGTCAGGATTCGATCTTACGCATCCATCTACTCACTCTTCGCCGATCTCCGGGCCTACTTATACAATCCAAACATCAGCTCAGCCTATCAAGGTTGACCCCGCTAAATCCGCCCTTGTCATAATTGATATGCAAAACTTCTTCCTCTCCGAAGCTTTTGGTCGCAACCAACAGAGTGCTGGACATGCCGCTTGCGAGCAACTTGTTAAGCATGCAATACCAGCTGCAAGAAAAGCAGGAATCCGGGTGGTTTGGGTAAACTGGGGCCTTACAGAAGAAGAAGTCAAAGAAATGCCGCCGGCAGTCAAGCGTGCTTTTGGGTTCTCTGCTATTCCTGCGGATTCAGACTTCAATACAGATGATGCATTTGGGTATCATGAAAGCAGTGTGAGTGTGGATTCGCATGGAGAGGAAAATAAGTCTATGTACTGTGGCATAGGTGCAGACTGTGGGACACTTGCACTTCAAGATGGGAAATCCGTTTCTGCTGGTCGACTGCTCATGCGTGATACTTGGAACGCTGCACTTTACCCGCCTCTTGACGCCATGTACTCTGAGGGTAGCAAGCTTGATAGTAGGCCCGATGTTTGGATTCACAAGAATAGAATGAGCGGCTTATGGGGTGCAACAACCCCGCTGAAAGAGTTTCTCGACCAAGAGGGTATCAGGACACTGTTCTTCACTGGGGTCAATACAGATCAGTGTGTAGGCGGGACTTTGACGGATGCTTTTAGCAATGGATATGATTGCGTTCTTCTGAGTGATGGCTGTGGGACTAGCTCGCCAGAGTATGCACAGGAATGCTGGGAGTATAACGCAAGTAGGACGTTTGGATTCTGTGCGAGCTGTGAGCAGTTTGCAAATGGTGTGGTGGGCTGATGGATTAAAATGGCAGGAATGGAATGTTTAAATTTTTCAAATGAAATTTAGTAACAGGTTCCCAACATAGGATTGAGCAATGGGAAATTGGTTCACTTCACGTCCTTGTGATACTTTTCCGCCTCTAAGGGCATGGCACTTCACAGTGAGTTTGTTTAAAAGTAGAGTCATCGTTCAATGACTGTTTTAAATTGAGAGAGAATAAAAAAGCATAATTTTCAGTATCTCACAAGACAAGAACTCTAGTCCGTGATAGAATTGCACCTCTGAACACTATCTCCATAGATGATATCACAGTCATGCCAAGGCCGCCCGCGGACATCGGAAAAAGCCTCGGCTAAGCACCGCGAACTCCAGAGCCAACCCCGATGCTATCCACCCCACCCTTGCTCTTCTACATCATTACCAGCACTCTTTGTACAACAATTGGCGTTTTCCGCAGTGTAGAAGAGTCGCCAAACATCTAAATATGTCTGGATTGAGGATATTAGTGCCCGTCAAGCGGGTCATTGACTATGCGGTATGTTTAGTTTGGCACCGAAGAATGCGCCTTAATCCCGAGCCTCGCATTTGCTGGAATGGCACAAGAGACGAACTCTATGGACGCAGCAGCATGACAATATGAAGAAGCAGGAAACAGATGTTGATACCAAATGACAGGTCAAACCCCGGGTAAACCGCACGCAAACCGCTGTCGAAACCGCAAACGTCAAGCACTCGATGAATCCCTTTGACGAACTCTCCATCGAGGAAGCGGTCCGCATGCGCGAAAAGAAAGCACACCACGCCAGCGCCCCCACAGTCGAAGACATTGTCGCCTTCTCGGCCGGCGTCGCAAAATCGCAAGACATCCTCCGCACAGCCATGGCCATGGGCGCCGACCGCGGCATCCACGTTGTTGTTGAGGAAAAAGACGCCCTCGAGCCCCTCGGCGTCGCAAAGCTCCTCCGCAAAGTCGTCGAGGAGCAAAAAAGCAACCTCGTTATCCTCGGCAAGCAAGCCATTGACGACGATGCTGGGCAAACAGGACAAATGCTCGCCGGCCTGCTGAACTGGCCGCAAGCCACACAAGCGTCCAAGGTCACTATCAAGGACCAGTCCGTTGAGGTGGTGCAGGAGGTAGATGGCGGTGTGCAGACGATCAAGGCCAAGCTGCCAATGGTTATCACAACAGATCTACGACTCAATGAGCCGCGCTATGCTAGTTTACCGAACATCATGAAGGCGAAGAAGAAGCCGCTGGAGAAGAAGAGTCTGAGTGATTATGGACTGGATTCCGAGGTTAGGCTCAAGACGGTCAAGGTTACGGAGCCGGAGCCAAGGAAGGGCGGTGTCAAGGTTGAGGATGTGGATGGTATGATTAGCAAGTTGAAGGAACTTGGTGCTTTGTAAGAGAGAAAGAGGAGGGGAAAAATATATGTGTATTACCATCACGAATAGAAATGGAAATGATTGAATAGAGCAGGTGCGACAATAGGATCGTATCTGATATCATGTTCAATCTGCATATTTGGAATTCACAGTGATAAGAATGTGATTTGAAGAAGAAGAAGAAGAAGAAGAAGAAGAAAAAGGAACATTGATTGTTTGGGAAATTGCGTGTACAACGCCTCTATGCATTCTGTAATCATGAAGACTGCGCGGCGAAAAAACTAAGAAAACTTCCTGCCGTCAATCCGCCCACAAGACTCAACGACATGAAACCTCCAGCGGCCTCGAGCTCATCAGGCTCTACCCACTCGGCAAAGCCCATCATGCAGTTACTTCCGAGGAAACCGTTTGTCATGCCAAACAACAGCTGCACGACGAACAGATAGAAGAAGTCAGACGGGATAGCCGCGCCTTTACCACCGATATTGCAGAGAAGATACAAGGGTATGAACAGGACTCTTGCAATGGACAGGAAAAACAGCAACTGGGGGCGATGTGTAAGACGAAGAGCGGGCAAGGCAGGTCCAACACGACCGATGAGATCACCAATGTTCCAGAAAAAGAAGCCTAGGGGGATAAAGGCTGCGGGTTGAAACAGGCGAGGTGCGGTAGCTGGGTCGCGCACACTGAGGACCTGGGGCGTGAAGACAGGGAAGAACATTGTTACTGCGAAAGTGATGAAGACGGCGCCGGCAAGCCAGAAAAGCTTTCTGAGCAGCCTTGTCAAGGGCACGCTCTTGCGCTCGGTACGATCTGTGTCGTCATATTCAGGGCCTTCGTTGTAAGATGTGCGCAGCAGGCGCTGCTTGGAGCTATCCCTGGAGAGTAGGTAGAAGAAGGCGAAGAGAGTTGCGACGGAGACGGCGGTGGCAGTCAAGAAGTATACAAAAGCAGAGGTGCTGGACTCTTGCGGCGCACCGTCAACATGGTGCTTCTTTGGGACGGAGAGCACGGAGATGATCTGGGTGATGGCTGGCAAGACGCCGGCGACACCCTGACCGGACATTATGCCCTGTGTATATTCTTCTCTTCCGAACCCAGATACGTAGGCGAAGACGCCGTTTTGGCATAGACCTGTGGCTAGACTGGCAATCATGACCATGACCATCAGGAAGGCAAAGTAGACGCCGGCGGAGACGTTGAGGAACAGTTTTGTAGATATGGCAAGCAGTGTGAAGACGATGGCGTTGAGGGCGAGCGAGGCGATGATACGGCGGGGGTAGTTGGCACGGGCTTGTAGCTTGGTCAGGACAATCATGGAGCCTAGGTTGCCTACGGTGGAGACGGAGAGGATGCCGGACTGGAAGTTGCGAAGGAGTCTGTCGTTGGACTCGAAGCGGCGCTGGAAGTACGGTGCTGCGGCTAGAAACATGTTCCTAGGCGCGTGTTAGTTGTGTATATGTGGTGGAAGTGTGTATGGACTTACCAGGCCCAGAGCATGGCGACTCCCAGCAGGGTGAAGACGGCATAGTCGGTCCATGAGAAGGCCTGCTCCTCAGCATCGATATGCTCGCCATCAGGCCGCTCAGAGCCACCTTGTAGCGGTTCATACGACGCCTCTGGGTCTTCGCGCCCAAACATTTGGCGTAAGCGCTCCATGGTGTGTTGCTATATGTATCGCGCTCGCGGTGTTGTCGAGCGGAGCTGCGGAGATACGGAGTTAGGGGGACGTCTTGATAAGAAGTCTACAAGTACAGAGAGTGTTGAAAGGACATGCACACGTTCACGAGGTAGATGTGAGAAGAGCATACATAATCAGGCAACAGTACGGGCGCTGGTTGGACTCATGATGGCGGCGCGTGAGGAGCACGTCGAGGCACGACAGCAGGTGATGCGGTGATGGGCAGCACGGACGCGGCGCTAGCGTGGGGCTCTGCGTGGGATGTGGATGGCTGCTAGGGTTTGATGTCACCTCCACCCCCGCCCTACCCCTCCGATTCGCTGCGCTGGCCCAACTCCAAAAGATTCTATACAGACAGTACATCAGAACTCGGCCGTATCCCCGCCAAGGCCATTGCTCTTCACATACGCACAACCGCCATGTCGTCGCATATGCCTCCGCAGACCATCTCGGTCAAGCGCAAACGTACTGAAGCGCCCGTGGACTCGCTGCGCATCGATCACGAAGTCAAGCGACAAAAAAGCCAGAACCTTGACGCAGGCTTCAACTCTGAGCCAGAAGTTCAATTCTTCTTCCGACGACTCACGAAGCCAGGCGACGATGCTCACATAGCCACGGCCCCACCGACGCCAACTGCCCAGAGGCGTTTCCGCCTTGACCCCGTATCGAGAATCGGGGCGAAGAGACATTTCGTCGAGGAACAAGAGTCGCCCAAAGATGAGAGTACCTTGGTTGGGGGCCAAGTACAATCCCCGGCATCGGAGCCTGCACTCGACATACCATCACGGCCACGGAAGAGGCCTGGGGCGGGGAGCGCACTGCGGAATGCATCAAAATCAAGCATACAGAGACAGGTCCAAGTGTCTGAGCCGTCTGAAAAGGACGTGCGTAATCTTGAGGCACTTTCAAAAGAGGTGGAGAAGATAGACAATCTCAAGATCCCCCTGCCGTCGACATCGCCATCGAAGTACAAACCCAAGGCCCCTGCGAAACGGTTTGCTGAGCGTCATCCCGAAAAAGCCGCAGCGCTATCATCAAATGACCCCGAAGCTACAGACGTGGATGCAATGGACGTAGATAGCGAATACGTCTACGACCATTATGTGCGCGAGCCCGTTCTGCCGGATGCACCAGTGCCAACAGGGAGTGTGGGACTGCTGGTGATTGGCGAAGAGGACGCAGACTGGTGGGACAAGGAAGAAGGCAGCGAGCGAGAGTTTGATACGGATGACGAGGACGAGAATGCAGAAGACTATTACGCTAATGACTATCCGGAAGACGAAATGAGCGACGACGACGAGTTTGATCGCAATCTGTACAAGTCAAAGTACCGCCATGGCAGCGATGAAGAAGAGTACGATATTGAGCGCGATGAGGGCGACAGTGCGCTTGCCAGCGGCGAGGACGACGACGATTTGCATTTCAAGATGACGGTACCAAAAGCGCAACGAGTGGGGTACTGGGGTATGAAGGACGAATGAGGAACTTGATAGAACCATCGTATCATCACCATGCACAGGTGTACGATATGGTGTCTATCTCTTTTTTTCCCTTGTCCATCTCTCGTCTTCGATACAACACGTAATGGAAACTTGTTGAAGCTGACCACGTACGTCGAGCATATACTTTGGTACTGATCTCGATCAGCAAGCCAAGGCCCTTTTTTCTTCTACCCCACACTCTCAACCTTCTTTGTAGACCATCCTTGTCCGTTTCATAACCCCCCATCTTAACCAGGATTCATACACGGTGGCATTCTCCGCCTTCCCCACTTGGGCGGTTATCGGCTCAAACGGTGAGTTATCAGGAGCTACTAGATAGGGTCGGATGGTGCTACCGACTTGTTGAGCCAAGAAAGCCGCAAACATCAGTCTTTCTGAGGCGAAATTCGCGCATGTTCAAACATGGTAGCCTGGTCTCTATGCAGTAGCGCTATTGCCTATTGCAATCGGGGGTATCGCAGCATCATTGCTCGGGTGAGTGTGGTGCGAGGGGACCGAGTGGTGTTTTTGAAAAAAAGGTGGTAGAAGATGATAGCGCTGCGGGTAGTGCAGGTGCCGTTTCCGTGTCGGGAAGGGATGTGAGGGAGAGACGTGGTGCTATGTTTCAGAGTGGGAAGTGACGGAAGGGTGTGAGTGGTTGCCTCAATTGCTGGGTGGGAAGGCGCGGTGGTGATAGGACAGGTAGTGGCTGGCGCTCTTCGCGGAATAAATTTTTTTCAATCTCACTGTTGGCTAGGCTCGGTTGGAGCAAAGTTGCGGTCAAGTTTGATCAGGTGTCGGTCAGGCAATGGAGCATTGTCGCCGGCAAGGTGCAGTTAGCTGGACAGGGAAGTGTGCAAGACAGGTATGTGGGAGGCTTCAGACAGACAGGACAGGACAAGCAACGGACCAAGATGACGCGCGGAAAACGGCCGTATACGCGCGTAGCCGCCAAATTCCTGTTTGTGGCAGCACTGTGGGTATACGGGGCGAGGATTAGGCGGCACCGGCAAGCGAGGTTGCACATCCATCCATGACGGGAGTTGTTGTCGCTGGTAGTATCCCGACTAGGCGAAAAAGACGGACAAGCCAAGGCAAGGCGAGGACGGTCGACGTGCGCGCAAGACCAGAGTGGTAAGCAGTGCGGGGAATGCAGAATTGGGGGTTAGCAGCAAAGCAAAGACGGGGAAGGGCGACTAGCTAGGGGCAGAGGCAGAGGCAGAGGCAGCGCGGTAATGGTGGCCCTTGGTAAATAGCAGCAGACCGAGATGAGGTGATGTCGGAGTTGCGTTAGTCCTAGGCTTAGGAAGACGACGACACAAATCCCGAAGGCATCCCATTCGCCATGCAGCCATGGAACCACGCTACCCGGCGCACAATGGATGGACTTGGCGGGCAAAAGGCGACCAGGCCGCAAAAAATAAAATACGACGACGAAGAAAGAAGAAAAACAAGGAGCAGGGAGTGGGACGGAGATGGACAGATGCACAGGCAGCCGAGTAGGTTAGCTGTCTATCGCCGGATAGGTCGCAGATCGATGGTTCGGATGATGCGGACACGATGAGACAGCAGAGCATTGCGGCCAAGGTTGCGCATTATGGATTCGTCGAGGCCTCTGGCATACACACACACACGAGCGGGCATGACGCTCTTGTGCCTGGCCGGGCATGAACAGGGACCAGACGGCCGGCACAAGTCGCTCCATTTGTTGCGAGACGTGTCACCGTGCCCGATAAGGGGCGGAGGAGAGTCAAGTAAGTATAGTGCACAGTTAGGTCATGGACGGGAGCAATGGATGAATGAGGGATGAGGTGGATGATTTGTCTCGTCGCCCCAGACAGCCCCCGGCTCGAGCGTTTGTTCCAAGCAGCCTTCTCGAAGGCCGATGTCAGCGAAGAATGCGATAGCAGCCACGGTGCGAGCGTGGTTGATTATGCCTTGCTTGACCACTGCGGCACTGGGCCGGGATGGCCATGGCTGTCGCTTCACCCAGGCCGAGTGCCAGTGCAAAGCGCAGGCAGGACGCACAATGCCGACGCCTTGTTTGGCAGAGCAACGCACGAGAGCGAATCCCAGGCCGTTGGGATCCGGGGAATCGAGGCCGGAGCTCCACTTACCCCATCCCTTTAGCACCAGCCTCGCGTGGGGTGTGTGTGTGTGCATCCCAATCCATGCTCCAAACGAGGAGCGGTCAGAGGAAATAACCATGGCTTGCTCCGTCCGCCATGCTAATGCCCTGATGGACCGCTCATGGACCATGACGGCCAGACGTCGTCGTGCGGCCGTCGATGCCGCCATGCTTACGCCAGGGAAACCCAGCCCACCCGACTCTGTCTCTCTGTACGTACCGACTAACCTAACGTACATCCCATTCCCTCCCTCCCTCCCTCTCTCCCCAGCTCCCTCGCTCGGAACCGCCCACGTCACGCCGTGTACAAGTACACTGCACGCATTGGTTTGCTTCTTCGGCCCGTCTCCACCACTTTGCTCGCCGCCATTCTTTGCAAACTTTCCTGGTACAGCAATCTTGGCTGGTCGACCTCCTGTGCCCTCGCCTCGAATCCTGCAGCCATGATCACCGTCAGGGCATGGCCTGGACTTTGCTATCTGTCGCGACCCATCCGCTTCCCCGCCTGCTGCCAGCGCCCTTTGATTCACGTCCTGATACACTCTTGTCGTAACTTTTTTGCTTTTGGCTCAAAGCGTCCTTGCCGTCCCAAAGGGCCCTGCAATTCCTACTAGTCATGCGAGTCAGACCAAATGTCCCCTTGAGCGGTGAATCCCATCGGAACTTTGCTCCTTGCCTTTGTGTATAAGAGAAGCGCCCCCTTCCACGCGGTCATTGCCAATCTCTACACTACCACACAGTCCTGCCAAAACATCCCCCCTTGACTATCTGACTCGTATTACCCTCCCTCTCTCTTACACACACACACACACACACACGTCATCCCATTGACGCCTTCGCTTGTTGGACAATTTACCCCCTGGCCAACCCCATAGCTGCCAATACATATCCTCGCTTCCACCTATCCAAACAAGACGTGAGTGTAACCCTGCATCCGCCTCCACGCCAACGCATCCACCGTATCTCAGCCCTGTGTCGCATCCCGAGCCTTTGGCAATCACCTTGGCAATTAGCGTCTGACTCATCCCTTTTTTAGATTTCCAATCCCGCGTCGTATTCACTCCCGGCCCTCAGCCTTGCCGTCACACAAAAGCAACACGGCACATTGCTATATAAATAACTTTACCTGCCCTTCCGCACACGCACACCAACCCTTGCCTGGACCCTCCCCATTGCAACAAACTACCATAAAAGCTACTGCCTGTTATCATATCCCGGGTCTTTGCCAAATAACGCATCCTCCTCCTACTACTACAACCACTTGTTAATCCATCAACACCCACAACCACCCGCACACATCACCGCCAAAATGCTCTCCTCATCAAGCACCGCCTTCAATCCCCGCAAGCGCCTCTCCATCTTCACAAACTCGACTCTGGGCCACGACGTCAGCGCCGCCTTCAAGGCCTCTGCCAACCTCTCTCGCGCCTCGGGTTTCAACGAGACCCCGGCCCCGCCCCCATCTCCAGTCGACTTCAGCTTCCCCAGCACGCCCACCGAAAGCCGAAGAGGAAGCACAAACTAAAGCAAAACAAACACACACATACACACAAAATACCCTTTATTACTCTTCTTCTTCTTCACCAATTGTTTATTCTTTCTTCCTTCCTTTCTTTTTTGAATCTTCTTCTACCCTGTTCATGTCCTTTTTTTACCCTTTTTTTGCTCATTTAGCGTGTTTGTTTTCTTACGATTATCGGATGGGGGACTTCTAGGGAATGGGACGGCGGACGGCGGACACTTTGGATCTTCCTTAAGAGGCGCGATTAAAACCACACTCTCTCTCCTTTTGTTTTTATTTTGTCCTTTTTTGGTGTTCTTATCATAAACGGGAACGGAAACAAATGTCTAGAGGATAAAATGGGAAGGGGGGAGAGGAACAGGTGGAAATGTTTTCCGGAGTATATCTTTCCAGTTCACATACACATACATGCGGGCTTATTTGTGTATCGATATGTTTATTCTCTAAGTAAGAAAAAAAACATTGTATTTTGTTCATAACATGTTCTCTTTTTTTCGAGGTGTTCCCCAGACGCGCGCGATATTGCAAGTCCCTTTTGTGATGCTTCCGTCTTCTTTTCTTTTTTACCTACGACTTTGTTTTATGAAGCGCCCGTGTTTCGGGTTGATAAATATAGGCCTTATCCATGTCCTCATTTAACGAGTTCACAAACTCGAGTGCAATATCCGCAGAGTACATTACTGATGGCAATAAATTCTCAACTTATTAATTCCAAACAAACCCTCATCCAGCACCCTCATGTCCAATGATTACTACCCACAAATTCTCTACACTTCTTGGTTTTATGACGTATGTAGTACTATTTGGCGCCTAAAATTAACTTTCCATCTAGCATTCCCCCCCATCCATCCATCTTACCCTGAGTCACGCAGCGCACACGAATTTGAATGTCTTTTTAGGAGTCCAGCCCTTCCCCTAACCCCCCACCCACGACATTCCCAAGATCAGGGTTTTTTGTTAGCTCCTCTACAATCAACTACATCATCAACCCCCACGCACGCTTATCCTCAAGCCATGTGTGCCCACATGACCCCCGGCTTTTTTTCTTACCCTCGAACCCACATTCAGCCACATTTCAGCCATGATCCAGCCTGTTTTTGCAATGTCACTTCAGCCACTTGGTTGGAAGTGAGATATCCGCTAAAATGTCATTCACAACCCGGATACGTCTCCACGCTCTCTTTCACATCTAATGAATCCAACCCCACGACTGTTTTAATACAAGTCGCAAAGATAGGTCCAAGTTAATACATATAACTTTAACAAAACCGAACAATCAAAAATGTTGCATACGTGAATCCATCACTTCCCTAGACCCAAAACAGCGTCACACGTACCTGTCCTACCATCATCCTTCCTACCAGTATTCCCAACTACTATCCACTCTGCACACATGAAAACCCGAACCCTACTTGACCCCCCAAAGTACATTTACTTCCTCCCCTGTAATCCTTTAGGATACTTCATCATGTCCAAAACATTTACGTGCAACCATATCAAGCGAGACAATAACGGGGGACAAAAAAAAGCCCCTCAAATCAGTTGCTTAGTATAAATCGACTTCTATGCGAGGAAACAGAAAAAGGTAATTTACACTGCAAGGACAAAAAAACCCTTGGGCTATGTATGTATCTACAACAAGAAGAACAAATAATGGTTTGGTAAGAATTTTGTTTACCTTGATGGCCTGCATGTGATTTTGAGTTTCTCGAAAGAAAAGAAAAATGTGATACTTGAGAGTGATACCTGAGGGGAAAGAAAACCTGGGTCATCTGAAGTAAGGAGTTTTTTTTCTTCAAAGAAGAAAAAGAAAAAGAGAAACAAAAACGAAAAGGTCGAAGCGAAAGTGTCATGAGACTTCTGGGATAAAAAAGTGTTGTTGGGGAATAGGAAAATAAAAAAAATCATATCTTTGGGGTCCATGGGTATTTTATCGTTAATTTCTAGGTCAGGTTTCTGTCAAGTTGAGAGAGAGGTCTTCAGTGAGTTATATTGTTTCTTTGTAAAGGTTGACATACCAGGAATGGAGAGAGAGAGAGAGAGAAGGTGATATCTGTAGTCTTGATCGACTGGTTCCGTTTTTTTGGTTATTGCTATTGACACAGGGAGAGTGCGGAAGGGAAAGAGAGAGAGAGGGAGGGAGCTAAATCATTTAGTAAATAGATTGTTTACATAGCAATAAATCTCGTAGCTGAGAAATACAAGGAAAAAGCTGTGTGATTTTTTTTCATCAATGCATGCGCAAGACAGTGACTAAGTTGACTGCAATCCTACTCTGAGAAACACTAGGCTAAAATGCTAAATGCGAATTCAATATAAATCACAAGAAGAGTGCACACACAGGACACTCTACGTTGCCACTTCTCGTCATTCCAACATTCATTTCATAACCGGAATTCCACATCACTTCAGCGCAAAGAAACATGACACCAACAATACTCATAATGCACAGGTTCAATCGGCTTTCAATTCTCTTTACCAATGCAAACAAAAAAGAGAAGAAGTCATCCTTATCGCCATACCCCGCCACTGCATCTGCTTGCCTTTCCAGTCACTACCAACTAGATAATGCACATTTCTCGCATTCCCACCACTTGCCTACTCGCACATGACTCAATTCCTCCGCATGAAATCCTTGGGCGAAGATCTCGTCCATGTACGTCAGACAGTTGCCTAATCATATCCGTGACGCAGAGTAAAAAGCAACATGCCATGTCGATACCAAAGTAACCTCTTAGCATCTCCTTGGGTCGGATAAATGGAAGCAGACAGACTAGAAACGCAGATACAGGATCGGAGAACCCCAAGAAATGTCTAGTATCCGCCACGAAGCGCAAGCACCAAGTGCAATGTCGCACCGCCCTCGAGCTGGTAGTCTGCTGCTGTCTTGTCGTCGCTCCTGGGATGTTGAGTTAGCTTCATCTATTCAATCCACCATCACCAACGAGGAAACAAGGCATCCAAATGACGAGAGAAAGAAGTGCTGAAACATACATTTGCTTTCCGCCGTAAATCAGACGCTGTTGGGCAGGTGGAATACCCTCCTTCTCTTCCACGCGCTCCTTTATCCTCGACACCTATGCGTTCCGTCAGCTTCTTTCTCTCTAAAAATCTGTTTTCCACCTCGTTCGTGCCGGCATTTCAACATAGGTATTGTTTCGCGGCGTAGGTCGGTCGGCGGATTGCGTACCTTGTAGTCGGCCTCGATGTCGAGCTCAATCTCCTTGCCGGTAAGTGTTCGTACTCTACCGCTTCCTGTCAGTCCTGCTTATTCCTACTCATAATTCGTTTTTTTTTGCCGCCGCGCCCATAACATACTTGATCTGCATCTTGTCTGTCCGTCGTTGCCGCGCACCTCAATGACGTTGATGTTGGGATATATGTGCAGGACGTTTTGCCAGTCTTTGCGCTTTGGATGAACCGCGTTCCAAAGGTCCGGACCACAGGGTGTTCCTCGCAGTCGGGGTGAGAGTAAGAAGTGTAGATGCTACAGGCAGCAGCGTAAGTGAGTGTTGTTTGCGGTGACGCCAAACTGTCAGGCTGCACCTACCGCATCACGGACCACCGATGGTGGGGTCGGGTGCGCCACGAGGCGGGGCAGAGATGTGGCTGGTGGTGGGGACTAACCCAACACAGAGGGTTACGGCAACATGTGTGATGCAGGGACACAATGTGTAGCGTGTATACAGATCTCCAGCATGGATACAGGCATATAGACAGACATTTTCAATATATAGTTTGGCAGTTGTTTACTTGAAGTTTCGTAAACCACGTAACGTCCCTCCTTGGGTCACGCAAATCCCTCCGTGCCGCAACAAAAGAGGGGTACTTAATCTCCAGAAAACACTACTTCTATTCGCTTGCGGTCTCATTCTATCACTGCAGATAGGCTGTATTCTTAAATCTTATATAGGTGTAGACACCTCTCCTTGTAAAGGGGCTACGCCGTGAATAAGACATGTGATATTATCACGTGCCTGCCTCAAAAAAACGCTTAGCGAAAAGAAGTCCATCGTACGAAAGGATCACGGCAAAGACATAGAGTAGAATGATTCGTACAACAGCTTTACTCTTCTTGTCTTTCTTCTCTTGTAATATAGGTAAATGCATACTCGTTCGAAGGCCTCTTCGCTCATAACACTTGGCCCATGGCTAACGACTATCAAATTCACATGACTTTCTCTCACCTTTCCTTCAGCTTACTCAAATAGGTCTATTCTGATAGTAACGAGTAGTCAATATCCCCTTCCTGCTTGATGATCATTCAAGCTCTCCCTTGGTCTCCCTGCCAAGAGATGTTGCCGCCCGCCTGTATGCACGATGGAAAAAAGCAAACAACGGAAGCCTATATTCCAGATCAGCTACTCCACTCCAACCCTGCAATCCAACAACAGCTCCAAGTGTCCCTTCCACATATTCGCCCCCCTACTATACCAATCCAGTCAGCCGCCCCCCACTCTCTTACGTTTCAGCTCTGCACAGCGCAACCACCAGATCCACCCATCTCTCACGATCGCATATCGGACACCGTAAAAGCGCACCTAGTCCCTGCCCCCCCTTACTCTTGGCAAAGAGAAGACGCAGATGCAGGTAGACGCAAGCACTTTCTCCACCATTTCGCTACACATGAGCCCCTCACCGCCCCGTCCCTCCCTTCATGCCCCAGTCCACCTGAGCATCGGGAAAAGCAAATACCAACAAAGAAAAACAGAAAAAGAAAAACACAGTGATTACTATTTCCATACTCATCGCTTCCCTCATGCACCCAATCAATCCAGCAGCATGCAATGTTCAAGCCCCCAGCCCCCCAGTTATACACGCTTGAACATAAACTTACTAGGTTCAAAACTGCCAATGTACCCAATGCCCCCTTCACCGCATCGCAAGGTTTGAAAGCCGGGATACACACTGAGCAAGAAAGAGAGAGACAGACAGACAGACCCTGGTAATGTACACAGACGTGTCTCTCGGTTATGTCGATGCCCATAAATCTGTCACTTTGTTTTATTACCGGTGAAGAAGAAGAGGAATGGGGACAAGCAGGGTTCAGTTAGATCAACAGGCATCGTACGAGTTCACACACACACACACACAGAGAGAGAGAGAGAGAGAGAGAGAGAGAGAGAGAGAGACACAGACACAACAAGAAAGCCAAGAAAGCCGTAGACTGTTTTAAATGGGGAGGACCTTAAATGGTGAGGACCGTTACTCCGTCAGAAAAAGAAGGAAGAAGAAAGGGAAAGAGAAAGAGAAAGAAAGAAGAAAAGAACGATAACGATGCTGCTAGATTCAAGGCAATAGCCGTCGCCATCACACAGTTTTAGGGCGCGGGGGAAGGGAAGCGAAGGGGGGGGGGGGTCTTCGTACCAAACTTTGGCAATCCTTGATACCCCAAGTTACAAGCTAAAGCGCTGATCTCTCTAACATCTGCTGATTTTCAGTTTCTTCTTTCTCGGGCCTACAGGGCATGTTCATTGTAACACTTGGTAGTCATGAAAATGGCTCGGATGCGAATCCATCCGAGTCTAAAGAGTTTATACCATTGGAAGGTGTCTATCAAGCCAGTGTCGCCACATACAGCCAAGCTGCCTACCTGTCACCCAATCAAGGTGCCTACCATCTCTCTTGCACTAAAATGCTCAAACTCTGTCACTCCCTTCCCCTCCCCTCTTTCCCTCCCTTGCCCACTAATCTGTGACATGCAAGCAAGTAGAGGTAAGAGAAAAAAAAGCAATAGGCATAAAAAGAGAATAAAGGATGTTGAAAATAAAAGAAGCAATCAAGCATATGCACAACTGTCAGGGAACCAAAGCAGGAAAACCTCCGAGTTAACAGCCCCACTTATATTTTTCTGCGTGGCCCCAACAACAAGCTAGGTCAAGTGTCAAAAACAAAAAAGATCCGGAAGAGAAAGAGAAAGAGAGACGGATATAGCAAAGGGGGCAAGCCGATATACCCCCCCCCCCCAACGTTAAACCGGAAAAAAGAACAAAATAAAAGCGAACAGAAAAGGGTCGACATGCAGATGCTTGCCTATCTAGGAAGAATAGATTCTAACAAGGGTCCAGGGGGGGTATATGTGAATAATCTGGGTGATAGCGAGGCGGGAATAAAAAAAAAGGGCGAGAAAATAGAGGGTATTGCCCGAAACAGGGAGGGTTTGACAAGGCTGCTTGCACAACGTTCAACATGGGATAAAACCATCTTGCTTTGACCACATGTCGCCATTACCGTTTGCACTGCCGTTGTTGTTGCCTCGATGCGAACTGACCCATAGCAATATATGAGAAAACAGGGGAAATGGCAGTTGAGGGGGGACTGCTGATAAGTGATATATTCAGCATTCCACAAAGTTGATAAATGCTCGCAATTGTACAAGTGAACGGACAAAATTGCGCCGAGCGAATTTGCTCCTTGCCGTCAGTATAGTGTAACATATTCGTGCACCCCGATAAGACTAAGGAACAACTGACGGGTGTCAGAGATAGAAAAATGCCGCCATTCAGGAACGAATTTGAGAAAAAACCAGGAACCAGGATGCGAGAAAAGAAGTTCCGATACGAGGGAAAAAATGTGCTTCAGAATCGTATGTTTCGTCCAAATCGCCTGCCAAAACTAGAGCCGATGGGGACCCCAGTTCAAAACGTGCAACAGCAGCAGCGCCAGACAGGGTGGGCTTGACCCCACAAGCCGCAGCCAAGGGTGCGGGATAGGAATGTGAGAAGACAGAGAACATTGAAGGGTAGATGTTATAGTACAGGGATGTTACTCCGGAGCCGACCGCAGCGCAATGGAAGCGCGGTAAAATCGTAAGATTGATGATGCCCAAGCAGGAAAAGATGACGACGTCTTTTTTTTTTTTGGGGGGGGGGGGGGGGGGGGCAGCGAAAGGTCGGCGTTTGACGGCTATGACCCAATTGTATTTGACGCAGGACCGAGAAAAACGCCGTACGCATAAATTCCATGTGTAGTAGTCGAATCCCGAATACACGTTAGCTACCGCCTACCGGAGTGATGAAGTAGTATGTAGTAAGCTGAGTAACGTAGGGGAATATCTTGAGAACATGACAGAGTCCAACTAAAAAAAAGACAAGATTAACAAGGGCTGACACATAAAGCAGCCCGTTTTTACGTATACATTTGATTTCGTCCCTTTCCTAGTAGACCAGGCATACGGTCGCACGCTCCGCGATATGCGGGGTCGTAAGCTGACACAAAAACAAGACTCGAGGCGCAGCAACCGCTGACGGGGGCCCATATTTTTTTTCCCTTCGAGAGAAGAAGAGCACAGTCGGGAGGCGGGGAGGCGAACGTGCAGAAATGCTGCGTGGCCCAACCCGTCTCATGGCCAGCAGATCCGCCGCCCGGCAATGGAGCCTTTTGCCGTTGCATAGCATGCTTGTTGAAGGGTCATACCAAGGCCTGACCGGTATTGATGCGTTGCGATAAAACGCCAGTTATTACCAGCATGCGATTGGCAAAAAGAAAATCAGATCAGAGCGCCCTGCGGGATCGGAGCGATGCTCGAAACAGACGAACTACCACGTTTTCGGTATCTACCTCGGATTCGCGAATCCCCCAGTCATCTGGAATTTTCTGGAGTAAAATTGCGACGAATTTGGGTAGCCGTGGGAACGATATTGCAACGCAATTTCACAGCAGCCGGGATAAGTCGTTCCTTGGTGGGGGTCAGGGACCGTGCACTAAGATTTCGAGATGAAGGGAAAACCCGGATTCTTAGAGTCTGTGGAGTCGACCTCATTTCGCTAGCAAATGATACCAACTTGGCAAGAGACTGAGAAAGGAAAAAAAGCCTTGCGCCAAACATCCCTGCAGTGGATCTGGTGTGATTATCATTAATGCGACGCAGATTCCTGTTCTTTCCCTCGCTCTCGTATTCCCCATGAACGCTTTGCGACCAGGGTGATGTGCTTCTCGAAGGGCCGATAAAGATTCCTCATAGTAACCAATCCGGATTCAAATGGCAATGCTGCTGAAACCATTTCCTAATCTAATGGTCCCCAGCCTCCCGTTTGGGTGATTGCATATATCCGCGTTCCCAATGTTGTTGTTGTTGCTGTGTCCCATATTTTTGGGTTTCAGGTTGAACAGCCGTAGATACTGGCGCGTAGCTTGGCTGACTGTGTCCTGATTGCTCATTTCTTTGAGACGGGGCTGTGTACACCTGGTCTGCGTTGGGGTGTGCTTTGCCATCTGTGTCTCTTGCTTCTTCTGCCATGTCGCCTTGCCGCACGATCGTCTCGTGTGCAAGACCGGAAATGGTGCTTCTACGACTCAGTGAACCGCTGGGGCCGTCCGGCGCCCGCGTGGATGCATCAGATCGGTTTCGAGCGTGTCCTCGCCGACCTGGTGTCGATGTCGAAGACGACGATTTGTGCGAGAAAGAAGGTGATGCGTTAGACCCTGGCGCCGATGTAGGATGTGGTGCTGGTTGGTGTGGGCCTTGAGCCTTGCGCTTTTTTGGGGAGCTGGTGTACTCTACGTCAGACGCATGCGACGCTGCACGTTGCCGTGACTGGTGAACAGGCGAAGTTTTGTATTTACCTGAAGGCGTAGCTGGCGGGTTCCCACTCGAATTCTTCTCTTGTGAAGACGAGGATGGGGGAACCCAGTGGTGGAAGTATATTGAGGGTGATGATTGGTCCTGTTGTTGTGTCTGTGTTTGTTGTAGTTGTTGCACTCCAGCTGGCGTTGCAGGAGGCTGTTGTATAGTCATTTCGTTAGTCGTCAACCGTGGTAGTTGTGACTGTGGTAAGGATCGTGGTGCTGATGTAGGGGGGCCACCGAGACTGGCTTGTGCAGCTCTTGCGCGTGGTGAGAGCTGTCCTCCACTATATACTGGATTCGAGATTGGTGCTTGTTGATTTTGCGTAGGCAGTGGTTGGCCAGGTAGAACTGCCGTTGGGGGAACTATCGCTTGTGCTGCTTGTACTTGGCCAGCATACGTTGTCGACTGTGGTTGTCCGATCATCCTTGGGTCTCGTCGGAGATCAGGAGAAAGTTGTGGTTGCGCCTGAGCCTGTGCTTGTTGGTGGGCAGCTTGAACCTGTGAAGTGTATTGTTGTATCCATTCGGCACTGATGTTTGCAAGGCTGCCTCCACCAATGCCGGCGAATATTATAGGTACCAGATGAGGCGGTACTCCGCCTTGCATAGATTCTCTAAGCATTGACTGCTCAACCTTTCGCTGCTCAAGCCGCAAAGTTTCCTGCCTCGTCTTCTCCTCCTCTTGCTTGCGTCTCTCCTCTTCAGCTTTGGTCGCCAACCAGTTCTTCATTCCATCTTCGGCACCTTGCCACTGAGAAGGAGCCGGAGGTAATTGGCCCAGTGAGGAAGATATTGGTGGAGGTCCTCGCGCCGGATCTGGTAGGGTCATTGCCGAGGGAGGAGGCAATCCCCTGTGAGGCGTGCTCATCGTGTGAGAAGAATTGGCAGACTGTGAGAGAGGCGACCCGCCGTGGGGCTTGTCAGAGTATCGAGTAGCTGTAGAAGATGAAAAGGCTGCAGAGTATGCATGAGGTTTGAAGTCGAAGTCGGGCTTGACTGGATTAGAGAGTGTGAGCAACATGAAGGAAGGTGGAGCCGATGCGGAGGATATGGTGAGAGAAGTCCGGCATTGAAATGAGTCGCTTTGGGTGGCGCCAGAAATTTTAAGTTCCGGAAGGAGAAGGAATGGTGTACATACTTATTTCGCCAGGAGCATGTTCACTAGAAGCACTGTCCACATGACCCAAGATGAGATCAGTAGCCGTTGCCTCAGAGCCTAGGCTTAATATGTCCCCTGGTCCGGGAGCCTCGATCTGATTCGTGATTATGACAGGGTCACAGGCAAAGAGAGCGGAGGGTAACGGGCAAAGCTCGATGCAAAGAAGATCAAGCCCCCCCCGTAAATGGTCGCGTGGGCTGGCGCGGTCGATCCGGTCCAGATTAGAGACAGACGAAGGAAAGTGCGCAGCGGTGGGGAATGGCGTGCAAGAAGGGAAGAGGACCGACTGGAGTCGGGCCAACCGACGGCAATGACGGCGCCAGAGGCTTGAGAGCAGCACAGAGAAACGGCACACCGTACGTCAAGGAAAGCCGATGTGTGGCGTTCTGCAGGTGATGGAGGGTAGGGGACTTAGCAAGGATATGCATGGAAAGAAATGGTTGTCAGCGAATGCACTGTTGCTGGAACTGCAGTGCGCGTACTTTTAGTCCCACCATGCAACACGCCTGAAAAAGGCCTTCATTTTGATGCAAACTCTGGTAGTGGTTCCCACATGTGGCGTTGGAATTCGCCGCAGGAACATGTCCCGCTGCCAGCCAAGCATACCACGTACTCAGCTCAGCACCAGTAGTGGTAGTTGGATATTATGTACTCGTACCTCCGACTCTCGCTAGACACATCGGCCTGGCATAGCGGCTACCGTGACTCTGGCCCCATTCTTTTACCCTGGTCTCGTCTATTGCAAGGTAGTATAAGGGCGATACGATGTATGGTTCCCTCTACGTATACACATACACATGCACACGACGTGTCTCTCTGCTTTGCGCTGTGTACGACAGGACGCGAGCCCTGAAAAGTTGCGACATAAGTAGACCTATGTATACGTGGTACCGGGAACGCCCCCAACCTGGTTCTGGTGCAGAGCGGCTCTATTCTTTTTGTCGGGTGTTGGGCTTCGATTGTTTGACGTCGCGCCCATTTGAAATGGCATGCCGTACGAATTAGGTAGTTTGGCGTGCCACTCTGCTCTGGAACACGTCCATCGCTACTTCATTCATGGCACATGCATCTGTGGGCGCCGCGGTTCAAGGATTACGATGTGGACTGACTGGCGCGGCCTTTGCAGTCTGAGCCGTGCGCTAACACCAACCAGCAGGGTCAACGTCCGGGAGGAAGCGAGCGCAAGATTACCGCTGCAGAGGTTGCTGTGGCATGGCTCCTTCCAAAGCTGCCCACATGGCATGATGAGGAAATGAAGGGTCATCTCCGTCGTCACGTCTTCAGCCAGATAATAACCCGAAGGGGAAGCGTAAAATGAGGGCTTCGTGTTCAAAAGAGCCTCCGTGCATGGGCACGAAACCTTGGAATTGGTGGAAGCATAGTATCCTGTGGCCCAGCTGCAGCACCCGTTCCGAGCTTAGTGTAATGCCCGAACAAGTATACAGATACCGGCGTAGCGTCAACGGCTGAGCACAGTTTGATGACTAGCACAGACAAAAGTGGTACGGAAAAAGGCGCCGGCCTGAGCCTGTCAGTCTTGGGGTGACCCCTCCGGATCGACAAAGCCCGACAATCATTATGGCCCAATCGATAAGGGTGGTGACCATGCGCTCCGACACGCGATCCAGGATCTAGGGTAGGGTGTCAAAGTGTAGTGTACACCTTACCTTGGAGCTGGACTTGGGTGGATGAAGCAAAAATGGGGGTCTTTTGCTCGTGCGCGCCCCTCCGTTCCGCTAGGTGGAGTTGACTACTTAGAATAGCGGAACACCAGCAGCACTGACGGTGAGTTCCCACTATAGCACGTAATAAGGTCGCAGATGACAGCTTGCAAGCCACGATGGACAAAGGGACGGGTCAACAGATGCGGTGTTGCGCAATGCCCGGGCGCCTGGCACCAGCTCGAACGATCGCCTCGAGACGTAAATTTCCGCGTCGGCGCTGAGGCTATGCTTATTCGGGACATGCAGCGGATCTACGTGAAACTCGCGGCGCACCGGATCTGTACGAAGGATCTTTGAATATGATTTCCGGCGACGGCTGGCTAGTCCCTCAACCAATCACCCGCAATTTGCCCTGGTGATTATCATCATAGCAGTCGAAATGGGGACACCATGGCGAAATTGCTCATGACTGTACTGCGTAAGCAGAAATGACAGTGGAGAGCAGTCTCTATAGTCTAGATTGAGTCGACAATTTCTCGACCAGGACGCTACCATATGAGTAGAGTAGAGCTGTTTTCAGTAAATCATCCTAGATGACAAGTTGTCTGTGCCTAAGTATCTACATACCCACGTGTGAACCCGGCCAAAGGGCAAGTTTCAGAGAGTGCACAGCAAGGATCCGGTAGAACCGCGAGACAAAGGATGGCAGTCATGGCTCTGACAGGTGTCTCGTACCGAGCCCGTTGTATGTGTGACGTATATCGATGTATTTGAAGACGACTTTGAAATGCCTCGAAGGAGGGGGGAGGGGGGCCAATTCACCGATAAAGAAGAGGACCATCTGCCGACAAGGCGATCCGAAAGGCGATTCATGCTGATGCTGCGACACAAGTAAGTGGCGATCAGGCGGTAAGGTGTGAGCAAACAATGGGCTTTGCAGTGGCATGTTGTTTTGTTTTGTTTGAGCAAGAACAGAATGAATGTAGAGTGTACTCGTCGTACTCTAGCACGGCGCGCGCCCAAGGCATCGGGGGTCGGAAACAAGGGACGCCGCGAAAAGCTGCCGCTGCTGCTACGGCATCCATGGGTAACAGGTAGGGTGAGGCGGACAATTGGGGGAAAGAGACGCTGTGCAGTGCACGTAAGCTGCAACTCAGACGTCGATCATTCGTCTCCCGCATCTGAGAACCGTCTTGCTGGCCACCCCAGTCAGATCGATTAGCGTATCCAGATGTGAAGGACCTTACACGGGCCGGCTAGTCTTTTACCGCATAGGCTCCGAAGCTGCTAAGTAAAGAACATCGTCTTGCACCGCTGGTCGTCGCTTGGCCTTCCCTATCCTCACCTCACCTAGCCAGGGATGTAGTGCAGTTGCGGGACGGCTGTTGCACCCCTCCCCCCCCTCATCCGCGTCTACCTGGTTCGCTTCTAAATTGAGCCAAGGCGTGCTGATCTTTGCTTCACCTTTGAGAAAATCAGACCACAGATCAGCGTCGGCGTGCTCTGTTGTTGCATCTCGACCGGCTCCGGTACCCATGAATGAAAACGAGGCGCAGCTTTTTGCCAGTTGTGCTCGGAGTAGCCGATACATTGATGCTCGTCGTCGACGCGGCCACGCAGTTGTGATCGGAAAGGGTGGTGAGCGAGGCGAGGCAGAGCTGTGCGCGCGCCGTGGGGAGGCGAATGCAAAGCAGTTCATCGGGAAAGTGCTAGCGGCAGTTTGCCACCCAAGTCAACCTGAGCATCCCTGATTGCCTATTTGGGCCCCCTTCCACCTTTCCCCGTCGCCTGTCGTCATTGTTGCCGGCACCGCATTCCCAACACTCTGCCGCCCCGGTTGCACATGCCTCGACGGCGTGCCGAAAGGTTGTTGCTGGACTTGGACGTCGACGTGGAGCAACGTCTACTCTAGTATTGCCTCATCTCCTACCACCCTCTCCGCAACTTTTACTCTTTGTGGCTTGAAACCCCCCCAAACCCTCGCTCGTTGGCGCCTCTACTATGCCCACCACCCTCTCCAATGGCCGCACCTATCAATTCCCTTCCCCCAACCACCCCCTTTGACATGCCTCATTAGTCAAACACTACGCTCACACGTTCTCGCGTACTCGCTTCGATCCGCCTCCCCTGGCAGCGCTCCCGGAGGTACTGCCCCTCTCATCTCTAGCTCAAAACTCTACTCTCCTGAGCCAAGCAAATACTCCAAACACTCAGCCCAAACAGCTTCAGTCCTCTTATGGCCCATTCTTCCTATCGGACAATCTCCCGATCCATGTGTCGACAATGTTTAATACGTCAATTATCAATAAGCCACCAACCCCCGTTCGCTCTCAATCAAGAAATATTGCCTTCCATAATCATTACCAACTCGTGCCTCTTCACCAGCATCTCCATGTTCCAACTGGCATAGCGTAATCAACTAGTATGTATTATTTGGCTACCTGCAGAGCCTAGATTATATTGGGTATACATGAATACACGCAAAAATGCAATGCTTCCCTATGCCGTTTGCAGAAAGAACGCCGTCTCTGGTATATTGATATGGATTGCGTGAACAGACCCGGAAAAGGAACAAAAAAGAAAAAACACAAGAGGTATCTTGATCAGTAATCGTCGCAGCCGTGCACCCAAAACCCCCCCAGCTCAAAAAAAGGCCAAGGCCTGGGAAAAACGCTTTCCCAGAATCATCCATGTTCACACCGTGACCCGACAGCGGGCAACTGATGCATCCTTGATACCAGTCGAGTGGCAGCGTCGTTCGGGCGGCACCGCTAAAAGACGCCCAAAGGGTAAACAGGAAGTGATGTGTCGCGGCTAAAGTGGGCGGCATCCCACTAAAAAAGCAAAAGGTATCTCGTGTTGCAAAACCTTGGAAAACGTAAAACGTGCCAGCCACGTTGAGATTTGCGCGCCACCGATCCCTAAGAGATCGACCCGGTAGCTTCTGGAAAAGGCCATGGAAGGGGGGAGGACGAGGGTTCAACAGGAAGCGTTTCTATCTTCGGTGCACCCTCGCCCTTCAAATCGCAATGCGCCCGCAGAGCCTGAAGTTGGCGCTTCCGTCCCATTGTACTTGGAACCGCCTACGTCAGGCATTGGCTCGTTTCTTCCTCATCTTGTATTCTGCCTTGGCTACCCGCATCAGCAGATCCTCGTCTTTAATCGGGATCCATGATGTCAGGACCTTCATGGCATTCTCAAAGTCGGAATCAAGCAGGATTTCTCGTGTTGCATCGATAAGTGCAGCCGATGTAGCATGCAAGACATCCATATCTGCGTTGAACTTGGATGCTGGTGTAGTAGCGTGGGACTTGTCGCCCAACAGCATGAATACGTCCCAAACGCGGAGTTGTGCTGGAAATGGTAACGAGTAATTGAACAAAGTAAGGTACCAGCGTGTGCCGTATGCAGTTGAGGTGATACCCAAGTCCGTCTGTGAAATGTTGTGTTAGCTGATATGCCATGATTTTAGGGTGTAGAATTGTACTTACCAGCTTCTGCGCAATGTCACCTCCGCGCAGCCAGTTGAGCTCAAAATCGTCCAGAGCCTCCATGAGGCCTTCAAACCCTGCCTCATAGAGCCTCTCCATGCCTCGAAGCTGCCACAATCGGACGAGCATCACAAATGCCCGGTCTTCTTCATAATAGCACAGGAGCGTGGCAGCCAACGAGGCCATGCCTTGAACATAACCCGTTTCGGGCAAATATAATGACATTGCGTGAAGTACACGGAAAAGCAGTCGTTGTCCACCACGATATCGGCGTCGGAACATGATGTGTCTGTTGATGGTGCGTGGTACATCAACATCGATCTGGACATCGTCGGCAGAACTCTCTTCTTGAAGCTCATAAAAGTTGACAATAAGCTCCTCCTCAGTTGGACTGTCGGCATCCGCGTTGGCACTTGCAGCCAGGAACGAGTACCATGCAGTCGCTCTCCAGCGATCGGGAATGCCTTTCCACGTGCGAGATATGACTTTTGGGTCTTTGGTCTCGAATTCGAAAAGCATGCCGCCCTTGTCTGCACCTGCTTTGACAACCTTTGCCATCTTACGCCATTTTTCGTTCCGCTCGATTTCCTTTGCCTTCATAGCTCGGGCAGCCCTACCACCCTCCTTCTGTTCGGCAACCTCAGCCAAGCCTGGTGGTAATTTGAGCATATCGCTTGCTTCGTCTCTCAATCGGCGGTCGCGGTTGTGGGGTAGTTTGTTTGCGGCATGGCGCAAAGGCTTGAAGGTAGTATGGGAGTCTGATGTCTTTCCAGAAAAGATAGATCTAGCGGGCCTGGAGGACCTGCCGGAAAACCGTCGTTTGAGTGAGCCTGCTCGAGGACCGCCAGACTTTGTGGAAGGCGCGCGTGAGACACTCCGGCCTAATCGGCGACGCCTGGGCTCTTCGGATAGCAGCTGCAGCGTTGTGGTGACTCGTTGCATGTGGGGTTCGTCGGAGCCGTCTATGCCTTCGCTGTTGGATTTCGATCTTGACCGCTTGGGGATAATAAAGCCATATCGATCAACCTCGCCGCCCTCGAGATCAGCCCAATCCTCCAGCCCGCCAGCAGCCTCAGTGGGCTCTTTGACAATGACGCTACCGCGCCTCGAGCTCATAAGGGAGCTATCGTCCTCGATGACTTCCATGGCCGTGTTGTTGACACTGCTGTTACCACGATAACTATCCTGAATGCTCCTGCTGTCTTCCTCTGATGCATCCCAATTGACGGCACTCTCGTTTCCGTGCATGTACATGCAGCGCACCTTGCGCGACAACGTCATCTCATCAGCGGAAAGAACACGGTGGCTTATGGATCGTGATCTGCCGGAGACACGAGAGGTTGCTCGTGGGGAGAGGAGTCTCGCGGTGGGAGGCGGGGGTCGCGGTTGCTCTTGTGACTCTCGCTGTGTTTGCTCTTGTAATTCTGCCTCCTCGTGCTGCTGCTGTTGCTCCTCCTCCTCCTCCTCTTTCGCCTCCTTCACCACCTCCTCTTCCTGTCGCGGCGGCGCACTCGGTGTGGGCGCGCCTTCTACAAGCAAATCCATCTGCCTACTCTTCCTGTTTGCCCTTTTGCCACCCAACATCATGCTGCCCCGCTTCGAAAAAGATATCAGCGCGTCCGAGGAAATGTCGTCAAAGCCGCCGGTAGGGATAATGCAATCGAGCCTGGAAAAAGCAGCGTCGTCTTCGTCGTGTGCATGTTGTGTCCCGGATGAGCGCTCGTCGTGAATCACAATTGCAGGCAGGCTTGGCGTCCTGCGCAGACTCCTTGGTGAAGGCGGTTCGTTGACGATGGTGCCGTTGGAAGAGGCCAGAGCCGAATCTCTGCGATCGTCATCGTCTCCGTGTGGCGGCGTGCGCTTCAAGGTAAATGCGCGGGGTCCTGGCGAAGTGCGCGGCCGGCGGACATTGGCCAGCCATGAGCGCGACGCCGTGCCTTTTGCTGATAGTGCACTTTGGGGATTTGAGAGTACAGGCGCGAGCGGATTCGAGGCCTCGTACGGCTCCACCGCCGCGTGGCCAGAGGGGTTCACGGCCTCATCGCTCATGATGTGCGTCGCGGGTCCTGGTCATGGAAACTGTCCCGGGCAAGAATAGTGGCGGGTAAAGCGAAATGAAGGGGTGCGGTCGATACGACCCCCTGCGGTAATATATCCAAAATATGTACAGCGGGCGAGGACGTCAGAGTTGCGATTTGGGCGGTGCAGCGGCTCCAGCACTGTGGGAGGGCAAAAAACGCGGCAGTGCAATTGAAAAACAGAAAAACGTCTGCGCCAGTCTACGGCATCAGACGAGACCCTGGCTTGGTACTTACACTGGGGAAAAGGGGCGTCGCTATCCGCCCGGGTCGTGTGTCGGTCGTGGGTCGGTCGTGGGTCGTGGGTCGCATGCCTTCTCCAGACTTGCTGCCGGTCGGAGATTGCCAAAGGCGCCGCTTTCGTGTGACGCCTGCTCACAGCGCCGCCGCGGGCTGTACTTGCCCAGACCTGGCTATGCCATATTTGCTTTTTCGCATCCTACGCAGCATGCTCCATATTACACTCTTGCGCGCTGTCGAATCGCTCTTCTTCGTTGATGCTTTGCACGTCCAGGCGACGCTTGTCACTACCAGAA